TGTCCTGCTTTTAATATACAAATACTGTAATAGTCCAATAATTACTGTAATTGTCCAATAAATACTGTAATAGTCCCCACCCCCCTCGTACAGTCGCGTAGTCGCAAAAGTTTTTTAACATTTCATTTTTTTCAAAGCGCCTGTACTTTCCAAAAATTCCTCTTTGGTATCAAAAAATAGCTGAAATTCAGGGCTATTTTTTGATACCTAAGCGCACATTGTAGCATAAACCAGTGTCGAGAAAAACTCGTTCAAAGCTAAACTACGCAACACTCCGCACCGTCATTATGGGGGTGGGGTACTATTACAGTATTTACGGTAGTTCAATAGAGAATATCTCAGACTTTCAAATAATATCTAATAGGAGTTGATTGAATTTGATGCTCAAGGATTTGATTCAAAAATTGCTAAGCTTTACTACTTTGACCATTGAGTGATAACTTCTGTAATAACTTACAGAAATTCTGTAGTAACTTACTAACTTCTCTAATAACTTAACTTTTAACTTTAAAGAAGATCAGTTTGATATTTTCCTGAAGCACTCAGCAAAACGATCACCGCCGAGGAGAGGAAAAAGATTAACGCGAAGAGGGTCAGTGTGGCGATTCGAAGCTAATCCTAAAAATCGAGATCTTCATTTTAACAAGCTCAATGTTTTTTTAAGGGTTAAATTCTAATTTTTTTTCGGATTTCAACCAGTTCACTCTCCGATTTACAAGCAAATTATCCATATTTTTTGTGAAAAACAAATTATATGGAGAAAAAAACATGGACATGTGTGTGTGTGTTTTATTGTTTGTTTTATTTGATATCCACTTTGAATGTGATCCTTTCGCTGTCTACCCAAACAAATGCCTGTGTTGACTTCAATAAAGGGAAAAGGAGGGTCATTTCTCTCAAAAAAAAATGTCAATGATCAACATTTTGACCCGAGTTTGGGGAAAAATACAAGTTTTCAGGGATTCGGGGGTTTAATTTCCATTATTGTTAGGAAAATTTAAAGTTTTAATGCTTTCAGGTGAGTTTATTTGCATTATGACATCGGAATTATGGAAACAATTATTGAATCGGTGAAAAAGCTTCACGATTTGCTTCAGCTTCACGCTTCACGATTTGTTTCACGCTTCAACTTCACGCTTCACGATTTGCTTCACGCTTCAGCTTCACGCTTCACGATTTGCTTCACGCTTCAGCTTCACGCTTCACGATTTGCTTCACGCTTCAGCTTCACGCTTCACGATTTGCTTCACGCTTCAGCTTCACGCTTCACGATTTGCTTCACGCTTCACGATTTGCTTCAGCTTCAGCTTCACGCTTCACGATTTGCTTCAGCTTCAGCTTCACGCTTCACGATTTGCTTCAGCTTCAGCTTCACGCTTCACGATTTGCTTCAGCTTCAGCTTCACGCTTCACAATTTGCTTCAGTTTCAGCTTCACGCTTCACGATTTGTTTCACGAGATATGAAATCAAAAAAATGCAAGGTGATCAGCTCAATTTTTGACTCATTCCTCATTGAAAATGCAAAAATTAGAATCAAATGGAATTGGATTACTTGAATTACTTTCTAAACTAATTCCAATTCCTTTGAAAATCGATTGTTTGATAGGAAGAAATTCTAGTCAAGAGTCAAGCCTTGAACCTCAATTTTGACATATTTCGAAATTTCTCTCAACCGAAATTTCTCATACCCGAAATTCCAATGAATTCACGAATTTTTGCAAAGACTTTGCTCTCTTTTTCCAGAAATGGTGATAATTCTCGGCAAAAAATCGCCTTAAACAATCAATTTCCTCAATGGGTTTTCGCCTTAATACGCCATCGCCCGTAAAAAAAAGAAGGAAAAAAAGATAATTTTTCTGGTGAAAACCTTTGAAATCGAGAAACACGTTACGATTGTGAAAAAGTTTTGCAAATTTTTATCAGAAGATTTTTGCAGAAAAAGGAGTGGAGTGTCTTTATGATCGGATGGGGGAATGACAGCTCAAAACAGTAATCCGATTCACTTTATAAATTGATAGACATTGTCTGGGAAACGAGAAATTTCCACGATTGAGTGGCTATAGTAGACAGAGGTTGGGAGTGGGTGTTATTTGTGCTCAAAGATCGTAAACGTACACTTTTTGGGGCACTTGATGATTCATTTTCTTGTAAAACTAATGTGTTTATCTAGAGTGATGCGTTAAAGTGTATCTAATTTTAGAAAACTATCGTAGTCAAGCGGTTAGTTTACAGGGGGCCACAGTCAACGCGTATCCCAAACGTTTGCAGGCTTGTCTGAATGCCGATGGAGGCAAATTTGAATTTAATTGTTAATTTGTTACTGTTATATGTTGAATAAAGATATTTAAGTTAACTTTTCGAGATGGGATTGCATATTTGGTTAAAAGCGAGGCCTTTTGTGTGTTGCGGTAATTTTTGGTCACCCTGTACTTTAAATAAACTTTAATTTACTTTAAATAAACTTTAATTTACTTTAAATAAACTTTAATTTACTTTAAATAAACTTTAATTTACTTTAAGTTAAAAATTTAAGTTTAATACAAATGCTATTGGGGTAATATCAAATAATATTAGCCGAATATCATTTGAGAAATCCCAAGGCTAAGTCAACGATACTAGAACCGCCTGGATCTTTACCTCGAGCAGTTTATTTGTGGTAGTGTTAAAATAGAGTTAAAATAGGGTAATATCAAATGATATTAGCCGAATATCATTTGAGAAATCCCAAGGCTAAGTCAATGATACTAGAATCACCTGGATCTTTACCTCGAGCAGTTTATTTATGGTAGTGTTAAAATAGATTCTTAGCAATATGAGCTAAATAGCAATATGAGCTAAATAGCAATAGGGCTAATCCCTTAGCAATATTTTTGTAAACAAACCCTTTCTAATGGACTTAAATTATCCATTTTCACATAAAAAAAATCAACATTTGTTTTCCCTTTTCAAAATTACAAATTCAAAATTCAAAACCAAGAAAAACTATGCATTAGACATTTTCCTTATAAAAGCAAGGTGAAAAGGGGAAAACGAAGAGTTCAGTGCGCTAGAAAGGCTGCTTTTTCTAGCACAAAGTACAGATAAAGGATTTGAGTATATAATTTTATAATACTTTCAAAAATCGGATCAAAACCAGATCATTTTCACGTGTTAGTTTTCGGTTGAGTAACGTAATTTCTTATTAAAACTCGACAGTGAAACAAAAAAAAGGATTATAAAATAACACAAAACCAGTCTTGTTTATCATTTGTGAGATTCACGTGAATGAGATTTGTTTAGAAGGTTTAGAATGGGATTTTTATCTCGAGTTGAGTGCATTTTCAAGGTTATTTTGCGGTCATGGCTAACACAATGACATCATTTGACGAAAAAAAAAATGGATAACATTTGCAGGGAATGGTAAACAATTTTAAAGCAGGCTATTTATGAGTGACGGTTGTTGATAAGAGAAATTCGAGAACAACCAAATATACTGCAGGGAAATATTAAGTATTTCGTACTTGTCGATTTTGAACCCCACTTCTTGACTCAATAAAATGAATAGCTTCAATAGAATGCTAAAATAAAGTTTATTATCAGTAAAATGAATATCTCTAATTGATTGGCCGACCTCGAAAACCACCGGCTACAAATTCACAGCTGAATATCTTCTTTTTAGACAATCTACAAAAGAAAAATGACTGGCACTGAGTTCTTTGTGCGGCTGCGTAATCGCTCACCGTCTGGCACACGTCTCTGAGGGATAGCCGTTCCTTTCCAAGCAATTCCAATCTGTTATTGAGCGGAGGAGCCATGTTTCCCGTTTCGGAGCGCACTATGCCCAAAACCCCAGGACCAATTCCGGGCTTAAATTTTGCTATACCTTTGCTTTTGCTACAAATGCTACAGATTCGGCATCCTTTTTCACAGGGTATGTCTTCCTCAAGAACTCTTGCAATTTTCTACCTGCAAGCCAATAATAAATCTCGGCGCTAAAAGCACTTCTCCCAGTGTGATCCCTGGACTGGCAGCGGTCCAAGCAGAAAAAAAGGGGAGAAAAGAGTCAACAATGGAAGACGATTAGAACACACGGCTTTCTTCTTTTTGTCGAATTGATGGAGAAAAAAGTTCGACTTGATTCCTCAATCACTCACTTGGGATCTCGGGGATCGGGGAATCCGCTTGATTTGACCAATTGTTCATGGGTTTTCTCGGGATCAAGAGTTAAGAGTTTAACTGATATAAAACCGGGGACTTGATGTAATTTCGAAAAATTTCAAAGTGGCTTTAAATTTGCAATTTCCCACACAACTTCCATTGAATGGGGGCTGTCACGCAGTTTCCCATGCGGAATTGCGTGGCGGTTCTTTTCAAAGGAATTTTGTGGGGGGAAAATCGAAAAATTTGGAGTGAAATTCTTGAAATTACATACAGTTAAACCTGGAGCTAGTTGTTAAATGTAAATTTTTTGGTTTAGATTTAAATCCTTGAATTGTTGAATTCAAGTAATCAACTTTTCTTTAAACAATCATTTGTTTATTTACAAAACTTGGTGTCGAGCTGGCTATCAATTAGAGAAAGACGGGCTGGCAACAATTGCAGCTTGAGTTTTTTCGATAACACGAGTTATATTGCAAAAAAAAAAACGAAGAGAACGGGGAAGTGAAATGGAATGAATTGGAAAGGAAAAGAAAGTAGACAAATGGGTAAATATTGTTCTCAAATGGTGAGCTTTCAAAGACAAAAAACAAGTTGCTTGGAAGAAACGAGTTGAATGTCACGCTGCAGCTGATCCAATTTTTAGTCTTTTAAGCAAAATTCAGCAAAACTTTTTATTCTAATTTTCTTGTCAACTTTTTTATTCAAATTGACAAGTGCATCTACATTAACTATACATTAACAAAAATGTTAATGTACAGCAAAAAATAATGGCCATAAAGATTCTAAATATAGATTATTACAAAATATAGAATTTTTTTAAAGAATTCCCTTCTTTAAAATATCTGATTTGGATCATTTAGTCGACTTTTCGGGTTCTCGATTTTGCTTTCATTTTGTGCTGAAAATGCGTTAGATCCTATAGACTTTAGTTCTTAAAACACACGATTTTCTGCTCCTCTTCTCCACCTTCATCATCTGATCGAATATCTTTCACTTCACCTCCCGTAATTGTTCGAATGACAATCTGTAAAATTAAATTATCATCAATTTAGTGACCTTAAACTGACCTTGGCAATCGTTATCGTCCAGAAGATATGAAGAATGAGAAGCACTGCTAATAAAATAATGAGAATTCGAGGCACGTACGGAGTCTGAAATCTAATGGATTAATGCATAATTTTTTTTTTGAATACTTGATAAGTATCGTAGACTTTGTAATCGGGATGAATACAGTTGGCAGCCTCGAAAATAGCGGATCGAATCACGACAAATGGGTAATAGATGAGCCGTGTGAGAATCCAACTAAAGGTTTATTAGATAACAATTTTTACATGTTACTCTAGAAAATCACCAAAATAAGTCAAGTTATTGTTGCGATCAACAAACAAAAAATCTTGCCTCAGCATAAAAAGCGTGAAGAAAACATCGGTGAGCGTCTTGTGACAATTTGAATAGCGAAACAGTTTCCCAGCTTCAAGTAATATATCAGCGACATCGTGCGAGATCAGAACGAGAGTGCCAATCTGAAAAATAACATACTTTATTAAGTAAACTCTTGAGCTTTATCTCTTATTTTACTATTTTTACACCAAAGAACTCACCCGAATGAAATTGATGGTCCACGAAACGGATAAGAGTCCGATGGTGACAAAATGGTGAATGATGAGCTCCCAAAAGTCCGAACGTTTAACATCAAAGAAAGCGCTGAGAAGAAGTGAATAGTAGAAAGACGTTTCAATCATGTAGTACCACCTGGAAATTGATAAAGTTTAAGTTTAACTGATCGATAAAGTTTAATTTGAATAAATCCACGACAAGATAATACATTTTTTTCTCTGTCGGTTTGTTTATATCGATTTTCATAAAGAAAACTTTTCGTTTTTACAATCAGAAAACAACTTTAGTGCTAAAATGATCCCTAAAACCACTAGCATACACCCAGGAAACGTCTGTAAACCAGCATCCAGCGCCCGCTCAAAATAAGCTTTATCTTCGTGTTTTAAATAAACAATGATTACAAAATAGACCCACCAAACAGATCGATCAACGGTGTGAAACGGGTAACCAATCCAGCTTTCTTTTACATTCCAAAGCCAAGGCTTTTCCTAAAAATTTAGCAGTTATTACAATTGCGCTTTTAAACCAACCCAAAGTATAATAAGACCGTAAATCCAAGAGAATGTATAGAAGCTGAATCGCCAAAAGCCTTCCAAGACTCGTTTTTGCCTCGTGTTTTTGAAAAGTAACGTTACTTGCTTGTATCTGATGTAGCTCTTTTGTTTACCTTGCAAAGCCACCAGAAATATGCTGTAGAACATTGGGTATCACTGGACCGCTGGCGTATCCAAATAGGTGACCAGCGGGGATACCTAAATGAAATGATTGACTTGATTGAAAGAGTAAACCAACCAACACAAGACTCCCAGGAAAGTCGCAAGATGAGGAAGGGAATGGCTCCGTAAGGGGCTCGAAAGATTTCAGTCAGTTCATAGCCGCTAGCCACCTGTAAACTATGAGATAGGTTTAAGTATAGGTGTACAAAGTACTTTTGTCTATAACTTTTCATAGACTTGTCTAATTTTCACGATTTTAGTGGTAATCGATAGAGAATGTTCTCCCGCATCGAATGACACTAAAATCATGCAAATTACAAAAAGTTATAGCCAAAAGCTACACCTATATCCGTTTGGGGACTGTGGTTCGAGGACTCAAAAAGTAATTTTTTAAAGAAAAATGGGCAAGACTTTTCTGATAAGACTTTTCTACCTGATAGGACTGAGGGATGGGCACAAATATTTGCGAGATTTATAACAGAATCATACTGAAAAGCTTCACCAACTTGCATCTCCGACCATGTCATGTTCCACGGGAGCCAGTAGTCAGGATGAAGTGCCCCTCTCATCTAAATGAAATAACATTATCCATATAATAATATTAGTCAAGAATTTCTAAAGATTAGATTTCAATATAAGCAACTAAATTGATTTCAATAGAGTGAACAATGTTTTGTCTAGAGAAGGGGAAAATGTGCATAAAAAAAGGGGGATCGCGCAAATGTTTATAAGAAAAGAATGTTTAGAAAAAGTTGTAGCTAAGCTTTAGAATTTTGAGGAATTTAGAAATTTGATAATATCAATGCATTACTAACAACAACAACAACAACAAAAACTAAAGCTTTTGTGTGATTTTCAATAAGTGTACAACGGAAAAAAGGTGATTTGACTACTTAAACGGCTACTATTTCAGAATTTCTTGCAGAAACTTCAGAAAGTTTTTCCGTTGTACACCTATTGGCAATCAGATTGATAAATGAGCAGCTTTAGTGACAAGGGAAAGTAACAAGGCTGAGGTAGTCAAATGACATAAGCCATATACTCCTATCAGTCCCTATATAAAGATTCTTTCGCCAGCCCGAAAGCCGTGCTTGTGGTGTAGTGGGTAAAAGTCTTGCTGCCAAAACAAGGTATTGATATTCTGCTCGGGTTCGATCCCTTCGTTTTGTTTTCATTTCATTTTGTTGTTTAAAATTCGAATTCGCTCAAATTATTTATCTATTTTAACTTTACAATAAGTATTATTGTAAAGTTTAATTGAAAACAAGCAAAATAATTGATAAAAAGAAAAATTGTGAGTTTATGGCCTTAGCTTCATCTTTAGCAAGATATCCTTAGCAAGATGGCCTTAGCAAGATGAAGCTAAAGCCATAAACTCACCATTTTTCAATCTTCTCGGCTTAACCAAATCTAGTAATGAAATCTAGAACTTAAAAATTCAATCGTTTTATGTAAAGTACAGGAGGTGATCGAAATCCAAATCGGGACTTTCGAGAATTTTTTTGGTATTGTAGCTTTAATTTTGTGTGTACTCACAAAGAAAGAGAAAGAGATCAGGGCCCTCATGGTGTATTGGTTAAGTTCTCACTTCCAAACTGAGGGTGTGGGGTTCGGCCCCCCTAGGGTTCTCTTCCCTAGCCCGTGCGCCCAGACTAGAGGTCTCTTCTCTAGAGCTGACTAGAGATCCCTTCTCTAGCGGAGTTCACTCTTCCACTGGGTTGGCCCATTCATGGCTTGAGGTTATTAAAGCAAGAAGCCTATCTTCTATCTATCTTCTTTTCTCCCCGCCTCCACATCGCCGAGTAAAATATCTCATCTTTCTCTATGTATTTATGTGTAGATTTGTGTATTGTCTGACTGATTACGCTTTATTTCATGTCCTGAATAAAGTATGAATATAATATATATTTTATATTCTCACCCGGTGCACAAAACAAAACCGCGCGAAACAAGGTTTAAAAAAATGCGTTTTCATGATGAAATCTCTTCTAATATATACCATTTGACGTAGAATTTTTTGCTGAGTTCAAAAATGATAATGTTTTTGAAAGTCGTCTTACAAATCTTTGACCATTTCACTTTAAAATCGTTAAAACAGGATCGTTTTCACTCAGAAAAAGTCGATTTTCAAAAAAATTTGTAAGACGGATTTGAACAACGTTATCATTTTTGAAATCAACACAAAATTCTGTGTCGAATTGTATAGAGTAGAAGAGATTTCGGGGGTGAGACAAATGCGACCTTTTTTTGCGCACCTGGACATTTGCGCACCTTTTTTTTGCTGGAAAAGGCCTTAGGCAAGGCCGTAGAGCTTCGAAAATATTTCCACATAAGGAAATCGTATGCGTAGATTCCGAATTTCGATAAATCAGACCTCGTTGACACGTCAAATTTGGGCTAAAAGGCAAAAGCTGCGGAAAAGTGTTAAGTTGCGTAGTTTTTGCCTTTTAGCCCAAATTTGACGTGTCAGCGAGGTCTGATTTATCGAAATTCGGAATCTACGTATACGATTCCCTTCTATGAAAACATTTTTGAAGCTCTATGGCCTTGCCTAAGGCCTTTTCCAGCAAAAAAAAAAGGTGCGCAAATGTCCAGGTGCGCAAAAAAAAGGTCGCATTTGTCCCACCCCCGAGATTTCATCAAAAAACGCGTTTTTGATGTGCTTGTTGTTGTTGTTGTTTGTTGTTGACCTCACTTTTCATTATAGTGCTAATAAGTTTTCGAAAACGTGGAAACTTTCGAAAGCTACCGTAATCTTGCCTCTAGTTTTATTCAATTGATCTATTTCTTTCCGAAAGTTGAAACGTTTTAGAAAAGGGATTCGATTAGGTCTTGACCAATTCCCAAACATTTTTCCAAGTCACATGGTCACAGACTCAACGTTTATTTTTCTGTTTTTTCAGGTTCCAATGATGATTTCTCTTGAGTGGACTGCACAGTGACCAGGAAAAGAATTTTTTTCTAAAAAAATGAGATTTCTGTGTAGGAGGATGGGTTTTTCTCTTCTCTAAGTTCTATTTGTCTGAAAGTGAATCACGAGAACCCACGTGTCGATTCTTTTCCTTCAATCAAACACCACAAAAATAGATCATTCTATTCAGTCTAAAAGTGTTCCAAAAATACTTTTTCTCTACTATTCAAATAGAAAAAAGCTCTTGAGAAAGTTTTGGAAGAAAAATATTTTTCTTTTTGCTGAAGAAGAACGCTTTTTTTGGGGGACTAGTTTATAAAAAACTTTCCAGTTGTTTTTCAGAGTGTGCCCAGTGTGCTCAAGTCTAAACGCACCATTTCTTGTGCGCTGAATTATGTTTCCAAATCAACGAAAAGCTGTTAGGGAAAAAATGAAGATGCGTTTACAGATTAAAACAAAAACATCTTGGCTGTGCAGAAAAGTAGCTCTTTTCTGTGAAATCTTATTTGATGCTTTGATTTTGAATACCGTATTTTCTCTAATAGTAGTGCACCCCGGTGAGCCGAGTTGGTGACTATTTTACGGTTTCCAAGCTTTTGCAGAAACTCAACACTCAAATCCCCCAATAGCTCTCATCGTCAGCTACATTTTTCGACCCCACATCGATAGGTCCTGATAAGCGCTTTTCGAGATTTCGAGTAATTTAGGCGACGCTCAGGGTGCACTACTATTAGAGAGAATACGGTATTAGGTGTTAACCACATCAAACACCAAACCGAAGCTGATCTCGGCGATTCGCGAAGCTTTCGAGAAACAGGGAGAGCTGAGAGACAACGCCGCTTTCGCTCATCAATGAGAGACATTTTGAGTGAGTGGATAGAAAATACTACTATTAGAGAAAATACGGTATCTCCGATTCTCTTGTCCTTCCTCTAAAGATCGTTTGTGTGATAAAGAGAGAAGGAGCCCACTTTGTATTGCTTTTATTTGGCTTTCACACACTGAACCAACGATTGATTCTAATTTTTTGTATCTTCTAGCTAGATTAGTGATTGTGCTATATTCGGAATCATAAAAATCTAAAAATCATTGCCCCATCGGTACCCTCTCACGTACTGCACATTGGCAATAGTTGATTTTCAGTGAGCCAGCCAGCCAGCCAGCTATCATTCATGCTTTTATTCATTTTTGAAGCAGAAAGAAGTGAGTAATTGTTAATTGAGAATGATAACATTTTATTTCAAAATATATAGTATATATTCTAGTGATTTTCATAGAATAACTAGAGAAAATATTCTTAAATATTCTTTCAAATAAGGATTGCGGCAAGATGTGGGAAGAGAAATCGAGAAGAAAAGAATCCGTCTGATTGGTCATTTCAATTTGAAACATTGAAATATTTTGTAATTTTGAATATTTTTGATAGAAGATTGAAATTTAATAGAAATTCTCAAGGAAACCATAAATTTCATGGATCTTTTTGCAGAATTTGCGAACCGTGCGGCGTTCGACTCTTCACCAAACCCAATTTGCAGATACATCTGAAAAATGAAATAACTTTTCATTATATAACTTCTTCATATAACTTCATTATATAATATTAATTAGAATTAATAATAGATTTTTTAATATAAATAGATATTTATAATCTTTTTAGATATTCTTTTTTTACCTATATTGATCGGGAATCTCCAAGAGTGAGTGCACAGCGATTTTCACATCAGCTTCGTCGCCTGGAAATTTATCGATATAACTTTTAAATATAAAGAGAAATTAGATAAATAAAGATAATGCCAGCACTCAATCTAGTTGAATATTAGATTAGATAAGTTTGAACTAACCTTGAGCGCACTTCATAATCTCGTGGAACTCGACGAAATGGAAATTGTCCCAAGCTCGTTTTGGGAGTGATTCGTCGAATACCTGAATGGAGTTTACGATAAGAGGCTAAAGCTTAATATATTGGTATCAATGACGCAAGAAATAATTTCAAATCTTGCCCAGGATAATCATCCTTCATCAAAGCTGTTCCTAGGACCAATTTCCAGAAAAAGACAAGACTAAAGTCAAGCCAAATCAAAGGCTAAGCCAAGACTAAAGTCAGGCCAAGCCAAACCAAAGGCCAAGCCAAGACTAAGGCCAAGTCAAGCCAAGCCACTTATTTGTCCAATTTTCCATAAATCCCAGACCAAGGCAAAGCCATGGTTTTAGACCAAATTCAACAGTAAGATTGAAATTCCGGACATTGAAAGCATTGACTTTGCTTAGCTTTAGCTTTTTGGAATAGCTCAGCTCCTAATCGCACTCACCCGCATCATGTCCCATGGCCCGTCACCGACACCGACCACGATGATCGACAATGGATATTGACAAGCCTGGGAAAATTTGATTTAATTTTGGTATTATTGGCCTAACAGTTAGCTAGTGTTTAGACGAAAGTTTACCCTCAAGCAAACCGTTTTCCTTCCTAATTTTGTCACTAGTTGGTAATCTTGTTAGAAAAAGTTCAAAAATAGGTTTGATATGGTATTTGATAATGTTATCTCATCCATTTCATATCTTTTAATTGATATCTTTTAATTGATATCTTTCAATCGATATCTTTCAATTGATATCTTCCAATCGATTTCATTCATTCATATCGTTCAATTGATATCTTTCAATCAATTTCATTCACCTGCACAATTGCTCTCCTTGTCGCTTTCTCATTCGTCACCTGTCCATCGGCGATGATCACCAAAATGTGATACTAAATTTTGTACTACTAAATTTCGTTTTGTTTATTGTTTTACATCCTGAATCCTTTGACATATTTCAATTGCTTGATAGATGAGTGGAGCGAAATTTGTTGGGCCTGACAGGTCAACTGTTGGTGTCACATCGTTATAAACTCTGAAATAATGTAAATGACAAAATAAACTCGGAAATTCAGGGTTTTTCATTGTGAAAAGCTATCATATACAAAATACAGCCAATCCGATTCTTTTGTGACTTTTCTTGAGACAAAGGGTCAAACTAAACTCCGCCAATAGGTCCGACTCTGAAAACCGAAGGGCACAAATTTTTAACATTAAATCTCATTTGGGAATCATTTACAGAAGAAAAGAGCAAATATATAATAGTGTAAAATCTAAAATTCCTTACTTTAGCACTTCTTCCAATCCTCTGCAGTCCCCTTCAGCTTTTAAAGGGAAAACACTCCAATCACTCGTTTTCGCGTCACCAAAGCCATAGACGGGAATCGCGTTTGTCGAGGCGAATGGGGCAAGGGTTCGGCCAAGAATTGTGATCACCTGGAAACACCTTTTTTAAACAGTCAACCAATCAGTCAACCTGTTGATAAGGATTCTTGACGGATGGGTGAATCGTGTGCAGAGATTTCCCTCCGAATGAATCCTCGCCTTGATACTTATTCGAGGCTGTGTAGTCGATGCCTGGAATTCAAAAAAGTTTGCATTTTGGTTTAAAATCGATGGCTTTTCCTTTGGAAAAAGCTTGTTATCTCACTGGGTACTGAATTTACGAGTTACTGTAGATCTTGTAGGTTACTAGGATGGGAACAGAGATCAAGTATAACTTTCATCAGGTACTGTGGCTTGAGGTACGCGATCTTCTAGCTTGATCTATGACCCAGTAAATTCTGCAAATTACCACAACACTGATCGATACTGAATATAGCTGCTTCAATATTTCTTCAATTCAACCCACCAAAGATCAAATTCGTGCTCTCGAGGCCAGCTTTAGCCATAGCATTTGACAAGGCTTCAAGTGAAGTGACGGAAAGGAGAAGTTCTTGGAGTGACGTCACGCCCATTATCGACAACAAAGAGGATTGTTTACGAAGCTGAAAATGGTAACTAGTAGAGATTTTTGGGGATTTTTAGGTTTTCAGACATTGGATGAATAGTGCTGCTGCCTCATAACTTTGTTCAGAGTGTTGTTTGTTTTTTGCCCAATTTGATAGAAGAAATGTCAGGCTATATAATGAAAAAGTAGAGGTCAATTGGCTTATTGCTTATATGCTTATTGCAGAGAAATCGAGCTAGGTCTATCACTCGATTTTCTCAGCAATGGATGAACCAATTTACCTCTACTTACAAGGGAATGAACTGGATTTGATGGCCAAATGGGATGCTATTACGCAGAATTTTCCGCTGATTGCAAATCTGCTTTCATTTTTTTTGCTATATATCAGGTTGGCAACTAAATAATGGCCCTTTTCAGTAAAAACAAAAAATTTATTAACAAGATGAACAAATATCAACATCAATCCAAAAGGTATTCTCCGTCATTCTTTATTACTTCTTTCCACTTTTGACGGAGCAACTGGATTCCTCTCTTGAAAAATTCTTCTGGTTGATCGTCAAAGAACTTCTGCACTGAAATTCGGACTTCGTCAAGGTCATTGAACTTTTTCTCGGCTAGAAAGTGTTGCATCGATCGAAAAAGATGGTAATCACTAGGCCCCATATCCGGGCTGTATGGCGCATGAGGAAGAACATTCCAGCCCAACTCCTCGATTTTCTCCATTGTAAGTTTTGCAGTGTGTGGTTTTGCGTTATCATGGAGAAAATGAATTGAAGAGGGTTCGAGTCCTTGAGAGCGAATTGCTTGATCTACACGATGTAGTTGAGACGAATAGAGTTCTGAATTAACCGTTTGCCGGCTTTTGAGAACCTCGAAATGCACCAACCCACGAGAACTCCACCACACACAGAGGAGAGTTTTCTTTGAGTGAATATCCGGCTTCGGAGTTGGTTTTGGGTCTTCGTTTGTGCTAAGCCACTGTCGTTTTCGCGTTCGATTATCATAAAAAGATCCATTTTTCATCAGAAGTAACAATGGAATCCAAGAAGCTTCCCTTTTTCGCAAGTTTTAGTAGTATTCCAGCTGTGATAACACGAGTAGCCTTATTTTCTTCGCTCAATTCATGCGGAATCCACTTTCCACTGCGGTTACTTTTCCCCGATGCATGAAGTCGCTTTTCGATTGCAGTATGCGAAAAGCCCAATCGATCCCCTAGCTCGCGTGATGTTTGACTTGGATCCTCCTTTAAAGCTGCTTCCAAAATATCGTTCTGCAGAAGTTCGGGTCGTCCTTGGCGAGGCTCATCTTCAAGACTTTCATCCCCTTCCTTGAACCGTCGATACCATCTCTTACATTGTGTTTCGGAAAGAGCTTCATCACCAAAAACTCGCAATAAATCTCTGTGGGATTCGGCAGCTGTTTTGTCTTGTTTGTAGTCGTACCAGAGACAGACACGCATTCGATATTTGAGATCTTCCATTTCTAAACAAAATTATTTGAAAAGTATCAAATCAAGGAAAGTAAAAAACGTATAATAATGCACCAGAAATTCAGTAATATTCAATTAACAACAAGCGAGGGTAGATTAAACGCAAAGATTAAAAGATTTTTATCAAAAAAGGGCGGGGCCATTATTTAGTTGCCAACCTAATAGCACGTAAACGCAAGAAATTTGACCTCAAAAATTTTTGATTAAAAGGTTGAAACGCTTTATAAAGGTGAAAACTTTGAGGCCAGAGCCTGAGCCTGAGCCAGAGCCTAAGCCTGAGCCAGAGCCTGAGCCTGAGCCAGAGCCTGAGCCATCCCAGTTGACATTCCCTTGTTAGTTTCATTCGATAACCTAACATTTTCTCTATCAAAATATTAGAAAAAAAATATAAATACCAACTCTGAACAAAGTTTTGAGCCATTAAAGCAGCACTACCCATTGAAAAATACCCGAAAAACCGGTGAGCTGATTTTCCAATCACTCCCTACCGATTTCCATTGTGTTTTGACTGTCATCGTTGATTGTTTGAAACGTTTGTTAGCAAAATACGAGCACAGGCAACAGCATGACGAACAAGACATTTGGGAGTTTTTGAAAAACGACAGTTCGAGGTCAAAAGGGGATTGAATCTTTAAGTGAAAATTTTTCCGATCAATCGTTTACACTAAATCTCCATGGACCACACATGTCTCAATGGCCTTTTCACCTTTCCATTCACACATACACACAGCTGTTTTTCATTATCCATTTCACTAGCGGAATTTTCCGTTTAAAAAAGAAAAACTTGTAGAAATTAGTCCATCTAGGTCCATTCATTACTAAAATACAATCACTTGGGGTTTTGTTTATCGGACATTTTCCAATTCTATTTCTTATTGTTAACCGTGCTTTGTCTGTGCCTATCTAGACAAGTTCTTGAGCAGACTTTATGCCAATTCTGGCTGGTTGATAACCTAGAATACTCGGATCAGTGAGAGAAGTCAGTCAAGTGTCAGCTCTTTGGACTCTCGACCAGGCCTGACTGAACTGATCTGTGAAAAATCAAATCGTTCAGAAGCTAGGACAGGCTACAGATGATGATCTTAAGTAAAAACTTACTACAAGATCTGACTAGAGCTATCGGTCTGGCCAGATTCGTGTACAAGATGTTCCAACCGGATCCAAGGACCGGTAAGCTAGGCCAGTTGTTCATTTCTTGATCTCTTAAATAGAAACCCTTACCCAACCGTTAGTTTGTTAAAAAAACGAGCCAAAATTTAGCACCAGCATGCAACAAGGATAAACTTTTTGAGGTAAAGATCTGACATGTGAGAGCATTTGGTGTACCCTTGGTTGACCGTCAGATGATTGAGAAAGCTCAGATGGAGACGGGACACGCAATGATAGGCCATCCTCGGAAAGGACGAGAAAATCATCGAGAAGATTTGACGGGGAATGGCGTTTGTGTTTCCGACGTCCACTCGATGGTGAAAGGAAAACGGGAGCCGAGCCGGATTGAGTACCAAACTGGAATAGAAAAACTGGAATCTAACTAAAGAAATTAGAGATTTTTTTGATGCAGTGGAACTCGTTCTTTGGTTGAAAATGAAAACAAGCCATTTCTGGCTGATTTGCTCGTCAAATTTAGAAATTTAGTCGTTTCTTTGCTTGCAAATAGCTACCATAATCCTAGGATAGCTATCGGATTACTACAAATAACTACCGTAATCCAAGGATCGATGCAAAGCTAGCATAGCGTAGTAATATCTTTTTACAGTAATAACTTCCATTACGATAGATATTCTAATGTTTTCCCCAGAGAACGAGTTCCCACTTCTCTATTAAGGTTCAAAACTGGTTTTGCTCAATCTTTCCATCAAAACCAATTCCGTTCACATAACTTTTGCTAATATCTAATAAGCATTCATTTCTTTTACATAATAGCTGACAATCTCAAGCCGTTCCATGTAAAGCATTTTGTTTTTTTTATTTTGTTTTGCCGTCGAATGAAACCCTAAATCTAATGAAGCCTAGAAAGCATTCAGGCAACTCAAAAAAAAAACATTTAAACATTTGGAGAATCTTTTTTGAAAGGGAAAAGGTGCAGAACTGAAAAGTGGCTAGCTGAAAAGCGAATTTTAAATGCCTCAAATTGTCAGAACAAAAAATTGGATAGGATTTAGGGAAAGTGAATTCAAAATTTACCCTTGGTGGCTCAACGTCAGATGATGGGGGTTCCTCGTTGGGTGATGGCTTGCGATTGGCCTGAATTTTGAAATTTTTGTTATTTTAAAGCACGATCTTTACAGTAAAATTAGCTATGACAAAGTTGCCTACTTATGACTGGTTCATAAGTCACTTACATTTTGCTAGCCAACTGTACAGCATTGCATACTTATCCTTTTAGCGTTGGAAAGCTTTAGAATGTTTGAATCAGTAAAGTCTTATCTTTATCCCCAGTTAAACAGTTGATTAAAGCTTTTTCACTTGATCGTTTTTACTTTCTACCTTCACTTGCTGTGATCCTTGTGGTCTCATTGAATCAAATTGAGCTAAAAAGTTTTCTTTTGAAAATTTCTACAAAAACTGTTACCAAGTTGTTGACTCTCGGCAGCGATTCGATCAAAGATCTCTTGAAAGTTCTCGCTCGATTCACTCATCTGAAAGATAAGTGATTGGGAAGAAATTTATCAATGTGTGACGCAACTTATGCTGGCTAAAAGGATCGTATTCAATACCTGATCTGGCGGAATTTCAACCGATTGAATCTCTGGTGCATACGTCATATCATCATGATCATCGTGTTCCATTTTGTCGAAAACCTAAATTAATTAAAATTCATTTATATGCCATATTCTACCTCATTTGTTTTAATCAAAGCACTTGTCGCCTCTCCAGAAGGCATTCGAACGATTGGCTGAATTTAACGGTACTATAGTTAGCCAAATTTTCTTCATCAACTATATCTAGCCAGATCTAGCTAAACTTAATGAACCGCTTAAAACTTGGTGCATTAGGTAGTAAACGTTTAGGTAAAAAATACGCTTTACGGACTTTCCGTCAAATCAGTCAGCAAAGTGATTTAATTCTTCAATTTTCCCGTTCACCTGTGGCTTTGGTCTATCCCCTTGACTACTCAACATTTCTTCTTCAATCACGAAACCGCTGATATTCGGTGAGTGATGGGGATGAGTGGGTTGTTGTTGCTGTTGAGGTTGTTGCGGTTGATTCTAAAGATTATTCTAAAGATTATTCTAAAGATTGTTCTAAAGAATGTTCTAAAGAATGTTCTAAAGATTGTTCTAAAGATTGTTCTAAAGATTGTTCTAAAGGTTGTTCTAAAGATTGTTCTAAAGATTATTCTAAAGATTCTAAAGATACTTAACTATAAGTTTATTCAAACCTTTTGATTTGCCAAGTACTCAATGGCGTCATCAACAAACATATCCGCTTCGGCCAATCTCCGGGGATCATCTGGAAAGTTCTGGATTTTATACCACAAACACTAATGAGTACAAGCCGATAATAGTGATTATCTAATCTACAGTATTAGCAAAGGTAACATAGATTAATAAGCATAGTATTCGTCGAATCATTCAAAAAGCATTTATCAAGTAAACTCTTCTTTTATTTATGAAATTAAATATAAATTTATCATTTAAATGCTTAATTTCCTTAAATTTAAAGTTTATTTTTTCAAATTTCCATTTACTATTAATATTTTCGCTATTTATATATCTGAAATGTAAACAGCTGTAATATGTACATGGTGTAGTACGACTGTCGTACCGTACTACGACATTAGCATTGGACCAGTACAATAGTATAGGACTCATATATACTATTATCTTATAATACTATGTAAAGGTTACAATATCCAGAAGAGTTCTATCCGAGCTACAGTACCTTATACCTTAACCTACAGTGCTTAATGAAGAAGGTACAGTACCTAGCGAAAGTTATCCCTTATCCACATCCGGCCTTATCCATATCCACAGTAATCCATAAGATCTACAATAACCCATCACTTTCATCTAGAGTATTCATTTAAAACAAACCATTCAAAATAGAGGCTCTCGTCTCGGAGACGTTCTGCTGTCGTTGTTGTTGTTGTTGGCCAAAGATTTCCTGCTTGTTTTGTGGCTGTTCAATCGGGATTTCTTGTGGCAATGATTGTTGTGGTGGATTGATCTGCACTTGCACATGGAATGACTCAAAAGGACTCTGAAAGTAATTATTACTGTAAAAACCTTACTATAAAGTTAATATTAAAGCACTCCTTTAGTAGTTAAAAGTCTTCATGCTTACAGTACTGTACTAATTGTACGTTTACAGTACATACTCTTGCTGCTTATCCTACAGTGCTTGCTGTTGCTTACAGTAGAGTAAGTCTACAGTACGCTTTAGTATCTAAGCGTACTTAGACTTAGTCAATGCCTACAGTACTGTACTAATTGTACACATACAATACGCACTACTGCTGCTTACAGTACGGTAAGTCTTTAGGTATGGGAATTTAGAGCTTCACTGCTACAGTACGTTTGTTAGTATTGTAACAGTACCATAGTAAAGCTTAAGATTGCTATTGTGAAAGATATTTCTTACTTGTTGCACTCCATACATCTCCTCCATTTGTTTCATCAGCACTTCTTGTTCTTCTTTCGATGTAGGAGCCTCAAATGGTAGGCGATCCCTTTGATCAACAAAATTGATTGGTATTTCTTCCGAAGTTTTCGATGCTTGCGAAAGATGGGAGTCATCCTGAAAATCTTTTCTTATACAATAAAATCTTAATTTTGTACCTTAACCGGCAAAAAAGCTGCTCTTTGATTGAGCTGCGGTGTGGCCAATGGAGTCGCGTCTGTGCCCATGTCATATTCTTGAATGAGCGCCTGAAAATAGAAAAAGGCAATACTTAAATGAATCTATGTTTAAATATTCAACTATTCAGCTATTCAGCTAAAAGCTCGTTACCTGTAGCTGTGCCGCTTCTTCAGCTGTTATTGGTTTCTTTTCCTCGGGTGGAGTGATTCGGAGTTGATCGACGGAGACCTAAAAAATGATGTGAAGTTAAAAACTAACTTCTTTACCGTATTAGATTTTACCCCAAAAACCCCAACTTTATCCAGATATTATTGGTAATTATTTCTGTCGTTTAAGAAAACTCGAATAATACTAGATAGACTTCATATGTAGCGATCTGAATTGATTATTTTCTCCCTCGATTCTCAGGATTGGCTAGTCCAATCGACCTCTCTTAGGTATCATTTGAAAGCCTGAAGTCTTCTCTTTAAAACTATACCAAAAGTTATTAATAATAACATATCTGAGCAAAGTTAAAGGCCCTCAAAGTTGTGTCATTTGTTGAAATGTTCAGATTCTAGACAAGAAGCGACAACTAGTACCAAAATATGACCTACTTTCACAAAATCATCCGAATCCGTGCTGGCTCTCGGCTGACCAAGATGAGCCGCTTTAAACTGAACATCCTGTGTGGGCGAGGAGCCGTCTCGACCCTGAAATCAATTCAATCAATCAATTAATTTCCCAAAAACTAACGGGTCCAACTGAGATCTCCGATTCGACATCTGATGGCAGAATGCTAAAGCTTGATTTGATCGGCTTAACTTTTCCTTTACCTATGTCGATCCCAGTGTGGACTCTGTGCTCCCTCTCCTTGCAATTGCTTGATCTCGCTCATCAATTTCTGCTCTAATGGGCTAAAATTAAGAATCATTATGTGAAATCTTGTCAAGCTGTTTATCGACCTTTTCTCATGATTGCTATCACTTGAGGTGTACATGCTGATGTGTGAAGCCGGCAGAAGTTTGTCGATTGCTCGAGATTCATCCGTCGATAAGCCTGATGAGGTTTCGCCACCAACCTGAAATCAAATAAATGCATCGATCTGAAGCAGTACAATAACGACTTTACTTTAAAAGTTAAACAATTTCGACACTGAATAATGAAGACAAGTTTGTTACCGTCACTGGATTATTTCAAATCGAATTGAGTCTTTTCATGGTTTTCTCGGCCGTTTCTTCGCCGAATACTTTGAAATTTTGTCTACAAGCTGAACATATAGATTTCTATCTATCTGTAGACAAAATTTCAGAGAAATCGGCCAGGAAGACAAAGGTCGAATTAGGTTGGGATTGGAATTTTCCTATGTCTATATCTTTTTAAGTATCCCCTTTCATTTCTTGTCATTATTTCCCCAAAGCACACCTCCTTTTCCTCGAGTTTCGCCAAGCGATCAGCCTCAACACGGCTTAACTCGGCCTCCCATTCGAGTAAAGCGGCTTGTTCTCTAAAATTGATACGTATAAATGATTGAATTTTCTATTCAAATCAAATTTTATCACTATCATTTTTCTCAAGAACAAACTCTCTGCTGAGTGGTTGTTGCGTGTTCACCTCACCGCGCATCTCTTGCAATTGTTGTGGGAGAGCGGCCAGCTGAGCGCCGAACTAAAATCATGAACTGAATTGGTTAACGTTAAAAAATGGTGAACAAATTGAATTTAAACCTAAATCTAAACCTAAAACATTAACAATTAAAGAACAAATTAAATTCAAGCCTAAATCTAAAGCATTTTCCCGAATACCTTTTGCATGAAAGCGTCCGCCTCGTCGATTTTCCTCTGCAGACTCGGTTGAGCTTCCTCGGTGAAATGGGAGACTTTTTGCGGGATCTAAAGCTACTTTTAGAAATCTATTAGGATTTATCTATGATATATTCTAATATCTCTAATATTTTCCCACCTGTTGCACGTACTCAGCTTGTTGTGTCAATCTTTCCACCTGTTGTGGCGTTTGTTGTAACTGGGGCAGGTTGCCGGCTCGCTGTTGGGCTTTCAGGTAAGCTTCCTAGATATATATATCTCTATTTTTAGATTTATTATATAATCCTTACATCAACGGCACTCCTCGTGGCCTCAGCAAAGTCCCGGCTCAGCTCTTTCGCTTGTTGAGCGCCTGAGTAGACTGCCTGAAAATTTCTTATTCGTTTCCTAATCGTCTACAATTTCTAAAACATAACAATTTCCCGAAAATACCGTAATCTAGCCTCAAGAATACTTATTAAATCAACAGCTAGTTGCAAAATGACAAAAAAATCTTAGATTTAAAAAATTGACCATTTTTTGAAACACTTCATTCAAGTTTGAAGTTTCATTCACTCACTTCTTTTGTTTGATCAAACATTTCCCTAGCTGTCTCATTCATTGGACGCGATTCAGGACCGTTTAACAAATTCTAAAGATAATTTATATTCTTTAAAAAAAGTCAACTCACCACGCCAGCTCCGACGATGTTCATGGCTGTTCCGAGCACTTGGCTAACAATTGATTCCGATTCCTGAAACTTCAAGTTTATAACTTCAATTTTAAAGTAAAATTCAAAGCATTTTCAAAGCATAATTTTTTAAAGCTATTTTTCTAACTCTAACCGGTTGTTTCTCTTTTCCTTCTTCTTCATCTTTCTTCGCGTTTTTGTCGACCATTCGGAAGAAGAAATACGCAAATGTGATCGCCATTGCGGACAAAAGAACTGGAAAAATTGTTTTCATAAAACATTTTATAGATGACTATAAAATTATGATATCGTAATAGGTGCAAAAAACTCATTGTCAGTTTCAAATGCGAATTCATTTTTCACGTTTTTTAGAAAATATCTCCAAGTTTCACTTTGCCTAAATAAACCAGGTGTTCCAGTTATTATTACCAGGTATTACGATAGGTACTTAAATCTAAATGTGTGCAAAGCATTACTAGTCCAAAAAAAACCTCCACTCACTTCTGACCGGTTGCGAGAAAACCATGAACTTCTCCTCTTCTTCGCACTCTTCCCACTCATCCGGATCATAGCCCAGCTCGGCCGAGTAGACCATTTTATTACCCGTTAATAGCTCGAGATTCGGGAGATTTAATCTAAACTGAGTATAAAGTATAAGCAATAAATTTGTGTACGTGAAAGACAAATGAAATAAAAGCAAGATATGTATGTAAGTAAAAGATTTGAAAGTTGGTCAAATACCCGATTTCCAATCTGGTTATAAGCTCAAATAAGCTTGACTTGATAAAAGCAATGAAATGTAAAAAGTATAACAAAAAAAAAATGATTTTCTTCTTCAAATCGATACTTGTCGATTTGGGGTGGGTCGAGGGCTCAAGCTTAGAAAAAGAAAAAGGAAAAGAAAATGGGAAATGAATCGGCTTTTTGCATGGGAGTCTTTACAACAGAAAGGAGTTGAGGTGGAGGAAGGGGGATCCCCAGAGTGAGCAGGGACCTTATGCCTCACTCTTCTGCTCACTCTCACCATCTCTTTCGTGAGATCACTGAAAAGCTGAGAGATTTCAAAAATCCCCAAGCGAACCACGGTAATCCGAGCTGGGATAACTATCGTCGGGCCAGTTAGACAAAGATAAAGCAAAATGCAAATAGGGAACTTATGAAATCATAGAAACACTTGATATCATATAAATAAGAATTGAATAAAAAAAACCCCACGGGATTCTATTCGTTCGAACAATTAGAGTAAGTAAGAGTCAGAAATAAGTTTCCATGTATATTCTTTAAAGAATTTCAACTAACATTTCATCAACGCCAAGCCGCTGTGCGTATCGGTGAGTTGTATGTAAGTAAACAAAATGCGAGTAACGGAGAATCGGATCATTGAGAAAAAAAAGGATATTTTTCTGATGATTTTTTCTGGTGATTTTGTGGGGTGATTTTGTGATCCACCCCACATCAGACAACAAGCTTTTTGTCAAAGGTGAGTAAACAGAAGGAAAGTGGGGGCAAAGGATGAGTACGCAAAAATCTTATTTTATGCTAAAAATCGATGTATTCGTTAAATTGTTTTAAAGTCGGTAGAGATTTTGATTGAATTTCGAAAAGAAAAACTCGTAAACAAATAGAGATCGGCGGTAGTTGAAGAGCAAAAAAAGTGCAGATTCGTTGCAAGTAGAGAGTTGTGTCAAAAAAAATGCAATTTCTATTTTCTAAAACGTGTCAACTCCTTGCAAACTACCGTAAAGTACGAGATTTTCCTTGAAAAAAATGAGAATCCGGCAACCAAAAAACTCTGATCAGAACACTCACAGCCACAGTGCGAACAGCTGTTGACGAGAAGTAACCCCACTTTTCTGCTTCCTGATCCATGTCTGTCTCACAATCAAAGCTTGGACATTTAAAAACGAGAAACGCATCCAAATCGTTGTTATTATGTACATATGTTTGATAAACACACTTTAGCTTGACTAAACCAAAAATCGATTCTTAAAGACAAATGATGTTGTCTCTGTAAATAAAAAGTGGAAGTGATTGATTGGAGCTATCCTGGTGGATTGGCTGATTAATTCCCTAGCTGGAAAAACTCGAGATTTTTTGTTTGCTTGTATCTTATCCCATTTTGTTATCAAGTTCCTTAAACAATTGATCCACTGGTGTTTACACAAACAAGTACAAGAAATCTTACAATCAACACGATTACGCGAAAAGCCAATGTGACTAGACAAAAGAGAATTCAAAAAAAAAGGAGGTCGATGAAGCGAGAATGAGCTAAAAAAACATGGGATGATATTCAACGTTCTTGTCGATCCCATTTGATGGTAAATCATTCACGGTTGTCCGTAACTCTGGCTGGAATCCGATCAGCGAAGTTCCGTCAATGACATCACCAAACATTTGCCGCCTCTCTGACTAGTCTCACTGAAAGAGAAATTATTAAATGAAATTAAAATATTGATTATTCTTTATGTTTAAGATAGCCAGCAAAACAAACACCCACCTAACAACACGAGCCGGTGGGAAGAGCGCATCATCACCCAAACGATGAGCATATCCATCGATGATTGCCTAAAAAGTGGGATTTATTTACCCAACGGACAAAAGCTTACATCCTTGAAGCCCTCAAAATCGCTTTGATCAACTTGACGGTTCTAAACAAAAAATATTCTTGAAAAAAACATTAAAAACCTTCTTAAGAGACTTCTTTGCGTAGTTTTGCTTGTAATCGGGATAACCATCCATCAGATCCTAAATGTAAAATTATATTCTTTATACAGCAAAACACGAACGAAACAAGAGTGATTGCCGCGTGCCCACAACTGCGCATCAGAGTGACCAGAGGTAGTTGCCGATGACATTTCGCTTGCATTGAAGATACGAGGCCACTAAAAGTAACAATATTTAGCTAACAATATGATTAAAATAGACGGGCAATTAGCTTTATAGAGTCAAAAACAACACTTACAGTGGTTTCTGTTCGCTTTGCAGAGGAACGACGAGACGTTGAAGAGCGGGAACGACGCGAAGTTGACCGGCTGTCGGTGGCCTGTTTTCCCAGTTCCCGTTGTTGATGATGAATGTTTGATGGAGGGAAGAGACGATCGGTGCTTAAATCATCCGACAACAGAGTGTCTGGGTAGGTCATCTAAACAAAAATGTTAATTACGTGAAAGGATCAACTTCCAAAGATAATCACTTTCAAAAAGCTCCCCCTGCGATCGGAACTCTCCAAACTGTCCGATGGACAAGAGCGACGGTGACGACTTGGAGCACAATTTGAGCGGAGACAGCTTGGTGGAGATGGGGTGGGTCGAGAGAGCCAAAGAATCAACGTTAAGCAAGAACAAGACAGTTTCTAAGTAAGCAAATAAACAAATTTACCTTAACCATTGGCTCGACAGCAACCTTGGATCCACTGCGACATTCATTTTTCCTTTTCTGGGAGCCATCCCCTTTGCGACACAAAGAACAGCGGCAACCCGGGCGAGGTGTGCTCCCTAGAGAAAAAATGAAATGATCTCAACCATCCAATAACTTTAATTAAGTATCAAATAACACACTTGAATTGGATGAAGAGGCTTTGCGAAATGTAGAAGTGCTGTTGTTGTGAAGGACTTGGCTCGTCTCTCCTTTCTTACTCAAGTTGTTCTCGTCGTTGTTGTTTGTTGTGATTGGACGGCGTTTCACTGTGATCGACGTGATCTTCCCTCCACCCACCGTCAATCGATTAATGTGTCGCACAATTGGCGAGGGCAGCGATTCCTAAACAAAAAAATCTTTGCACAAAATCTACCTAAGGTAGCCACGAACTTTTCGTGTTAAAAAAAATGATCTAACAATGTTTTCGAAGCTATACAATAACAAATTATAAAGAATTAACTTTTTAAAAAGAGAGCTCAACGTGAATCCGGGGGTAATCCGTATGTCAGTGGCGCCGCGGTATATTATTGCAAAACTTACTGTCATTTTGGCAACAATGTATATGAAACTGCTCATACAGAAAATTTATTCAATCATAATTATAATCGCTAGGAACAAAAAAAACCCGCCATTATAGAAGTGAGAAGAATAAAGCAAAGAATCATTGTAACCTACCAGTAAAACAGAAAGGTCATACCAAAAACAACTAAATATATGCAGCGATAAAATTGAATAAAAAATGATTGTTTAATGTATTGATTTAATGTATTCATCATCAGATGAGTATTGATCATCCGAAGAATCAATTGAAGAAATTGATTGATTTGTGGAAATTGATGAGATGTTTGAAAAAGAGATCGTCCTTTCATATGTAGCATTATCCAAAGTCGTCTTCAAAAAGTCAACATCAATGATCCGGGTTTCCCGAGGTGAGCGTTGAAGACTCTTCATGGTCAGCCGCATTTCGTTCGTCCTCACGTCTGAGATGTCTGAGATGTCTGAGAGGCAGTTTCTTCGTCTTCGTCTTCCTCTTCGCTCGTTGGAAGAGAGTTCGTCAAGCCATGATACTGATGCTGAACATGAAAGAGCGGAGCCTGTTGACGGCGAAGATATTTCGTTTGCATCAGCTCTCTTCTAAATAAGGTGCTGTGATTTCATTTATCCAGATCTTTAAGGTTCAAAAACGCGATTTTCTATACAACTATTTATGCAGTTAGGAATATGCAAACCTCCTCACTTCTTCTTCAATCTCTTGGTATCGTATGCTTTCAAACACATCTTCATTTAAACATAAAAATCCTGGGCGAGCACCAGTCTTACATCGCTTACTGAAATTTCAAAAATCAAATATAAAGGTTATCAACTTTTTTGTTTAACTCAAAACCCACCTCCGATATGGAAATGAAATGATATCTTCCCAAGAATGTTCACCCGGTTGATTTACCCATTGATACAAGTTGTAGATCGTTCGTATGTCGTATAATGAACTAGAGCTGACGAGTACAAAAAACATGGTTCATTACAAACCTTGATGGATCACGATTTTGAAGAAGATAAAGTATCACGCCAATGCAACGATAACCACAACTCCAACCATCCATCTAAAAAACAATTTTGCCAAAGTTGTTTTTATTGCAAACCTGTGGGTCGATGTCATACACGTGCTCAGCAAACACCTCGTTTCTGCCTTCCTGGCAATCCAAATGGCCGAAGAGGTCCAGTATTTGTCGCACGACCGAACTTGTAATCTAAAACGATTTTAGTTCAATTAACATAGACAATTACCGTATCTTTTAGAAATCGGCCCTTCATGCTAGCTTCGTTAAGTAGTGGATCATAGACTCTCAACAAAGGCTCTCCGTCTTCCAACGTTAAATAAACCTAAAGCTTCTTATAAAAAGAAAAAGAAAAATAAAAACCGTTATATAATGCTGCCTGTATTGATCAAAGATGATTTGGATCACTTCATCGCCTGGCTTGATTTGTGCTTGCAATGTTGGATCACACTAAGACCATAAATGATCTTATTCAAAAAGTGCAGTCACCAAAATTGATTGAATCGCAAAAAAATCCATTGACCTGCCGAGGGGCAACCATTTGTACCCGATCACAGAACACATTAAGCATGTCATCACAAAGACGAACACCAAATGGACCCTAAACCGAAAACTTTATTAATCCAATGCAGTAGTAATTTATAAACACGAGTTTCTAGCCATTCTGATCAAAAGTATGCAATAAACCTCATCATTCAGAGCTTCAGTTGAGCAACCCATTGTGGGCTCGTCTCCGTGCTCGTCTCCGTGCTCGTCTCCGTGCTCGTCTCCGGGCTCGCCACCGCTTTCTGTCGTGTTGTCTATCTTGCCAAAAATGAGAAAGATAAAAGAAAACGGGGATTTGAAAGATTAAATGTCATAGTGCATCTAGATAAATGTTGAGGCTAAAACGAATCTGCAGGTTAGAGAAGGATTTGGCAAACAGGAGTTGAAACTAGCAAGGATTAGAGATTTTCCGACACAATTTAGATTAAACGAAATGAGTACGGTAGTAGGTGCAGTTTAGAATTCAACCGCACCTTTTCCAACAATCATGAGACTTTTGAGAAGTATTTATAGATGTTATATTTTGTTTCAATTTTGTTGTAAGTTAAGCAAATGGCAGGTACTCATTGGCTTCAAAAATTCATAAAATCCCTCGTTAAACAATTTATTTACTCTACTACACAATGAGATACATTAATGAACGGATATAAATCAGCAAAAAGTTATTTTTGCTAAACATTCTCCAACTATCATAGTTTTAAATTACCCTATTTTACAAAAGTTATCACAAAATGACCTTTATTTGTTTACAATCAGAACGAATAAATGGTACTAAAATCCCTATATTGAAGTGTAGCGGTGTGCGGCAAATTGAGCAAAAAGGGTAGTATGGGAGAGAGTGGCGCTCCTCACATCGAATTCGACATCACAAGGTCCTACGTCCACATATTGAGCAGCACGTGCGGCACGAGCCGCAGTCTTACTAGCCTAAAAACGAAAAAATCGAGAATTATTTTAATTCCAACGTTTTAAATTTGAAGAAACAAGAGAAAATAAAAGAAAACCAACCTGAAGAGTGACGTTCAAAAGAACGAATCGACTGCGATTAGCTCTAGGGGCTCGACCATACGGGTTGTTTTGAAATTCACGCTGGCGAATTGGAGCATGAAGAAAACGCCAGTGCGTCCGAGTTTCGGGATGATACACTTCAAAGTAGTCTTGGGTGAATCTGTACCGTAAAGCACGTTCTTCCGTAAACTTGATCAGTGGGCGATCCATCTAAAACATCAAATTAAAAATCAACTAAATATTGAAATCTATATCATAACAAAATGATTTATCATCATCTCTTCAGCAAATCTATTAAATCATAGCTATGTTATAGAAAAACGTAGGAATTATTATCGTAAAAACTAACCTCTTTCTCGGATCCCGATTCGGAAATCTGATGTTGATTCAAGCTAAATGTTAGATTTAATTTAACCTTTAAATGTTTTAAGTTTGCTAAACAAAAATTTCTAATTACACAAATAAAGAAAAATGAATTGAAGTCTCGTTTAAGCATTTCATTTAATTTAAATGAAAATTACCTGTTTTCACGGATGTCGGATTCATTCATATCATCTTCATTCTCATAGTCAGAAGTGGTATTTGGCGATAAGTCGCAATCGGGAGGCTGTACCTAAAATTTATTCGTTCAATTCCCGAGAAAAGCCTAATGTCTATTCAAAATTAGAGGAAGAACCAATGATGAAGAATCAAGGAGTTTAAACAAAAAGTGAGTAAAAATTTAAGATACTACCTGATGATAGCCAGCAACCCTTGTGAGTTTTCCCACAAAACTGCCAAACTTGAGTGCATCTTCAAATTCAGCACAGAGGTTGACGCGATAAGCAGTATCAAATCCAGCTTGATCTTCATACTGAAATAAAGAAATATTTTAATTATATTACGTCCTGAAATGTATTAACTAACCGATAATCAAGTTGATATATACGAAAAGATATAAAAAATGAACCTGAAGCAACATTTCCTGCAAGGTAATCTCGATCTTGCCCAAGGATTTGATGAAAAATTTCCGATCCGCATGATTGGTTGCGTAGCCAAAACAAAAGGGTTTGCCTCCATAAACAATCTCCAAATAATCCGATTCCAGTGTGAAAGAATCGAAATCTTTGAAGAAGCAAACTTCAGGTGCCGTCATCGCACAACTAAACAATTAAAGTTAATGAATAATGATCAATTCACAAGAATCAATGATGAATTCTGTACCAAAAATAAGACGTATTTGATAAACTGATAAAGTAATAGTGATGAACGAATTGAAGAAAAATGTTAATCGTAAAAGAATATTTCTAAACTGCACCTACTACCGTACTCATTTCGCTTAGTCTAAATTGTGTCGGAAAAATCTTTAATCCTTGTTAGTTTCAACTTCTGTTTGCCAAATCCTTCACTAACCTGCAGACCTTTTAAGCGGGACATTTGTCTAGATGCACTATGGCATTTAGGTGCTATAGTAGTTCGGGGGCGCACGCACGAAAATGCGTTTTCTATAGAATTTTGATAATGGAAAAAGAAGCACAACAGAAGAAGAAACACTTTGAAAATCTTCGACTGGCTCGAAAAATCCGCTCCAAATATTGTCGACAAAGAAGATCTAATGTTCTGACAAAATCAGACAAAACAAACTTTTTCTAGGGTGGTTTTATGAGTAGTTTCCGAAAAACACAACGAGAGCTTGGGGAAATGAGTTTTAAGCCGAATTTCGGGGCTCCAAAGTGCGCGTTTCTATAGTGTACTTCAATATATGGAGCCCAAGCTATCGACTATTGGAGCACTTTTCAAGGTCAAAACTAGGGCCAAAACCATTTTTAACCACTAAATATTCATTTTCTGACTTAAATTGACTGGTAGAGGCAAAAGAAGCTGAAAAAAATTTTGAGATTTTGACTCATGTGGTCGAAAACAGGGTCGAAATTTGGAAAAAAAATATTTTTTATTTTGCTCTAATTTGAACAGAAACGTAATCAGTAGGTTAAATTATGCCAGAAGAAGTGTAAAAACCTTGAAAGATGTTTTGAGAGATCATTTTTAGACCTCTTTCCTATCCCTCTCATCACACTGTATGGGCGCGCACTTTGGAGCCCCAAAATTCGGCTTAAAACGCATTTTCCCAAGTTCTCGTTGTGTTTTTCGGAAGCTACGTATAAAATTTACCCTAGAAAAAGTGGTTTTGAAAAAAAAGTGACCTCACCACACACACAACCTTAATAGCGCCAACTCTTTTTTTTCAGCTTTTTGCTTCACAATTTTAATTCGCACTGTTTTCAATTAGAAAACACGTTTAGATACAGACCCCAAAAACAGTAATTTTCGTGTCTCCGATTGGACTTTTACTTTCTATATAGATCTTATACCATTTTCTGATCCGGTGAAGGTGGTAGGAAAGTGTGTTGAAATTGGTAGGAAAGTGTGTTGAAAATCGCGAATTCAACGCTTTTGCTAGCATCTCGCTTTTTCAACCAATTAATTTCCTTTTATAACCCTTGTTTTGGCACAGATGTTTTTGCACTTGTGGTGTTTTGTCATTTTTCTACACAATTTTTTGCCAACTTTTTTATCGGCTTTGTCGTAGTTGAAAGATGTCATTTCTTTTGTTGCACACAGTTTATTCCCAAAACAGAAGCAATCACAAAAGAAAGTTTAGAGCCTTCGTTGAAAAGAGAAAAAAGTAATATTGAAGGCTAATTTACTTGCACAATCAACAAGGACTTATGATAAAAAGCAAAAACAAAGCAAAAACACATTTTCGGGCGAGATCGACAAAAATGAGTGAGCAAAAATCGATTAAAGAAGGTGGCAGTGGAAAAACCGTATCGAGGAATGAAAGTTTGGGATTTTTATTACAAAAGAAAGGGTAAATACCGTAAAAGCACAAATAGAAGCACCCCTATAGGAGCGTCGCGTAGTCTAAGTTTACTCTCAAACAAACGCTTATATCTCGACATCTGTACGTTTTTTCTGCGCGCTTAGGTATCAAATTAAAGTAGAGAGGATGGGTGATTTTTTGAGATGTAACACATATTTTTAGTATTAACCAGCGCTTAGAAAAAATGATTGAAAAGTGGCAAAAAAAAAGGAGATTTTTCATAATTTTTCAATCATTTTATTTCTAAGCGCTGGTTAATACTAAAAATATGTGTTACATCTCAAAAAATCACCCATCTTCTCTACTTTAATTTGATACCTAAGCACGCAGAAATAAACGTACTGGTGTCAAGATATAAGCGTTTGTTGGAGAGTAAACTAAGACTACGCGACGCTGCTACAGGGGGTGCTTCGATTAGAGCTTTTACGGTAACTAAATGTTTAGACGAGAAATTTTATTGTACATACAATGGCAAAGAACAAAATTCAATTTAATTTCTTCAGCAATTCGTCGAGCTGCTCATACCGAAGGGTTTTCTAAAAATTTTTGACATTTCAAACGATAAACTAGTAATTTTTTTGTAAATGAAATAATTAAGTCATTCAGTTCTCAACAAAAGTAATCACTGAATTTCTTTGAAATCCCTCACCCCAATTTCTCTCCTCATTTACTTAAGAACGAACTTTTGCCGCCAATCTACCGTATCCCTCCAAATTTTCTCGACACTTTTCAAAAGTTGCCCCTTTTCTCGATTCAAAAGAGCGCGAGAAATAGATGTCACTTTGAATAAATTATCCCTATTTCAAGGGAAAATCATTGGCTCTGAGAAATCGAAAAGAAAAAAAGAAAAGAAAAGAAAAGATAAGCGATCTTCCCCTCACACCAGAATTTCCCGCTTTTTAGCCACCTCACAAAAAAAATGGCGTCCATTTCACTGAAAACGAGCACCTTTCCCGCACAAAATCCCCTTGCCCTTTTCTTTTCTCTTTTGGGGATTTTTTGGGAATTGGCCTCGTTTTTCTTGCGGAGATTAGGAAAAATTTGAATACAGTGAACACTGTGAGAAAGGGAAATTAGAGAGAACTGTTTCAAATTTGAAATGCGAACTTTTTCAAGAGATTGAAGATTTGAATAACCTTAGTTTCCTTCAAGTAAAACCTTTCTAAAACTACCGTAATCTTGTACGTTTCTCATGAGTGCGTCTTCTAAAAGCTATCGTATTTTCTTTAGGTCCTTTCTGCTTAATTTTGGCTAAATTCGACGAAGAATTAGATGCCTCAAATGGTATCAAAATCAAGTAGAAATAGAGGATTACGGTAGTTAGCCACCGTTTAGAAAACTGATTTCTCACATAAATAAACTTTCTAGACAAAACTACAGTGTTTTTCAAAAGTTGCCACGTTTTAGAAAAGTGTGAATGATGCTGCAAATCCCTAATCGAAAGAGAGAAAGGTCAAGAATGGGTCTCCCCTCTCCACAAGTGTTTATCCATCATTAGGCAATTTTCCCATTCCCATTTCTTCATTTTCTTTCATCCATACCGATCTCTTTTTGACATATGGCATTGGATAGGCGTTTTTCCTAAGTCTGATGGGAATTGCGCAATTCCCACCAGTACCGCAAAGCGCGTTCAATTTATGGAAATTTGATTGAAGAGATTTGTATGAGTAAAAAAAGATTTGTTTTTAAGAGATATTGATTGAAAGATTGTCATCTGCTTGGTAGTTGATTGAGTCTTTTTTTTGAGTCATTTAAAGCCACAACTTTAGTACTTAAAAGTTTTTCAAAACAAGATTACAGTAAGCCGTCATTTTTTTTCATCAGTTATCATATAAATTCAGATAGTCAGTGATTATTTGTTGCCTTTTGTCATTTCACTGACTTGGCCGGACTCTTTGTCCCTGCACATCCATCAATCGGTTTCCTTCTCACAATCTGAAACGGTGATGTGTCCAAATGATCCAATTTCTTCTTCACATCTTCAAGCGCTTTCTCCGTTAACTGAATATCCTTTTTTTATGAAAAGGGTTTATGAAAAGGTTTTGTTTACCTTTCTCGGCGAGTCTTGTTGTACACCAAGAATGCTAGAGACGGAGTGTTTCGAGAAAGTTGTCGCTTGTCGATGTAATTCGGTCACTAAAAGGGGTTGATTGATTTCAGTTCTTGATTCAGTTTATTAGCTGAATGACTTGTCACCAGGAAACTAGGGCGACCAGCTTCTAAGCCAGGACCAAGTCAGGTCGCTGACAACTGGCCTGGACAATGGTTAGCCTAGATCGGAAGCTAGATCCAAGCTTACAAGTCTTCTGAAATCCTTTACTTATCACCAATCAACTCACCCGTTTGATTCTCAGGTACACTCGTCGATGGTCGAGTGTAAACAACGGAATGTTGTGCTCGTTGAGCGATCGTCAGATTCCTCAAGAATTGCGCATTCTGCGTGGCGGTCATCCAGGTGGGCTGAAAATCTTTTTCCTGATGATTGAATCGAAAGAATTAAATTTGATCAGCGTAATCGATGCTCTTTCAACCTACATTTTTTGGTAAAACAATCGGCTGAAAGTTTGGTTGGGTTTTGTTTTGTGCAGGTGAGGCGCCGTTCGAATTCATCGTCGCTAATGGGGATATTGGAGAGAATTGAGAAAAGAGAAGAGACTAAAAATTTGAATTTAAATAAAGATTTACATAAGTTATTATCTTTTATATAAAAGATTTACCGTTTTATTTACAGGAGAACCCGGCCAATAGTTGGGCAACGGTGGGGTAAGAGTTTGTCCAAGTGAGGTCAATTTCTGAAAATTTATGTCAATTTCTGAATTTTATCAAAGATCACTTTGAAAAAGCTAAATATCTTTAGTTGATTGAATATTTTTTCAGTTTTACCTGTGCTTGTGGTTTAGCTAAAGCTGTTCTCTGTTCTTTTTCGATTCGCCGCCGTTCTCTTTCAGCGATCTCGGCCAATTGCATCATTGACGACATTCCGATGTCGGTTCTGAAAACATGTTCTACTTGAGCAAATCTTGTGCATTGTCATTTACTAAAAAGAGTTCCTAAAAAGGAGCGCTAAAAAGCTACTGTACACTCACAACTCAATAAAGACGTTTCCTAAAAAGTTCTCTAGAAAAAAGCTACTATAAGCCCACTCATTGTCTTTCGATAACGCTTTGTTCTATTCTAATCACTATTGGTTTAAATTTCAAAAGCAACCAGTGTACGGTATCTTTTTCACGTTTTAAGAACCACTTTCAAAGTATAAAAACTGTAAATTAACACACTGAAATCTCGGGAATTTGTTCGAATTTCCCGCAAGATTCATCTCGGATTGACTGCGTTTCCCGCCAAGATTTCCCTGAAAATCATTTGATTTTAGAAGAAAAGTCGTTAAAATATAAAACTCTACATAAAGATTTATAATAAAATTCGATTACTTTACCTGAATTCCCCGATATTGCAAAGGTGTTTGCGGACAAGAAACTGGTGATAAAAGTGGCTGTTGATTGAAACAAATCGACTCATCGAAAATCCCATTTTCTGAACAATAAACAATTATTTGTTTCTTTAGAAAGCAAACCATCAGGCTCTGGTCCAGAATAGACAAATAGTGGGATTTTCTTTGTTCCGAATAGGTAATGCACTTTTTTGATTAAACCCATCGCAACGAGGACGTTTGCAATGTCGTAAAGACGGCGACATCGACCTAAATGAGATCAATCATTTGTACCATTGAAGGCTATATGTTTCCTAAAACTATCGTAATCTTGTCTCCGTTTTATTCAATCCTTTGTGAACGCTCACAGAATCAAAACAAAAGTGAATACCGTATTTTCTCTAATAGTAGTGCATACCGCCGAGCCGAGTTGGTGACTGTTTTACGGTTTCCAAGCTTTTACAGAAGCTCAACACTGAAATCCCCGATAAGCTCTCATCGTCAGCTACATTTTCCGACCCCACATCGATAGGCTCTGATAAGCGGTTCTCGAGATTTCGAGCAATTTAGGCGACGCTCAGGGCGCACTACTATTAGAGAAAATACGGTCTATTGAATAAAAATCGAAAAGATTAGGGTAGTTTTTGAAACTTGGCATGGTTTACTTGAAAAAAACACAAAACTGACTTCGACTTGGCGGCTCGAATCCCTCAGTTTCTGGATCTTTGATCAACACCGTACTTGCTACGTCAAGGCTCACTTTGCGTGCCGTTTTCTAAAAGCTTTTCAAGTTACCAAATTTACTATCTTTATAGCTATCTTTATAGTTTGAACTATCTTTATAGAATCTTTATAGTACTTGTGACTCTAATGAATCAATTTGCATTAACATTTAAATTTAACGCCACAATTTATATTTGAAAATGATAAAAAAAGCTTGAAAGAATATCGCTTGTCGGGAACGCAAGAGAATAAAAATGAAGAAAATAGAAAGCTGCTGCAACGATAATTTGCATAATATGCTAATTTTCTCCTTGTGAATGACACGCCTTAAGCTACTTGTGATTCTATTGGGGGCTATTCTTAAATATAAATTGATATGCTAAATGCTAAATGGTCACAAGCACCTGAACAACTTTACAACTTTCTATTAAAATCCTTTTCCTAACCGGATTGCAGAGAAGAACCATCAAGAATCGTCGACACAACTGGGCAAGGGAATTTCGTGTGTTCCGATCACGGAGTACGGACTTGAACTAAAAATTTAAACATTAAAATTGCACTTTTTTTCGTACCTTCTTTTCTTGCCCCATTTGATTTTCGGCATCACTTTTCTGATTTGGAGTGATCGGTGGGATAATTGGGGTGATGTCAGCCACGGAGAGGAAAGAGCCTGAAAATCTTGGTTGACAATAAGTTAGAACTAAATCAGGGTTATATCAAGGGTTAGACTTCACATCAAGATAGCTAACTCCTAGACTAACCGGTAAAAATACGTGGGCCAAGCACGTGACTTGACCTGTCCAATCATAGTTTAGAGTTGGACAGCTGCTTTTATGGGTTGGGGCCTGGGATTCGAACCGGGCTCGCTTACCGGGCTAGGGCTCTGCCAATGAGCTACACTGACGCGTGTCCCATCGCCGCCAGTGTAGGGTCTTATGCCTTACTCACCGGTCAGGTACTAGAGGCAAACTGGACTCGTCATGGTCTGCCTTGACCCCGGCTTTTGGCTGTCTATCTTTACCCACTCACCTACAGTATCCCTAGCTCCAGAGCCGAGCTCAGTGAAAGAGCACATCGCGTGTTCAACACGGAGGATTCTCTCCGGCAAATGCTCTTCCGTGGCCTCTTTCTAAAATTTCGTAATTTGATCAATTTGAAAAATGAGCATATCAATTAAAATGAATTGACTCACCTGCAAATCAGCCATCAATTTCGGTAAATCCTGTAGTCCGTGCCAATTATAGAAAGATTTATTCGTTTTTGACATGGCCTCGAGTGCTTCCATCACATTCACAATATCGTAGATCCTTCGTTTCTCAACATCTAAGAATCTTAGATATAAGAATTGTTGACTTATTCCGAAATCTTTCCCATTTCACTCACTCATTTTCCTCGCCACCGACTCCAGGTGCACCGTTTTTGACTGACTCATCTCCGTCTCGGCTTTCATCGCCAAGAGAAATCTGAAATGAAACTGGTTAGAACTTATCTTTATGAAGAAATAAAAATACTATCCAATCAAGACAGCCTGGTCTTGCCCTGGAAAATACCCTTATCATTGCAACAACCCTGTACCCAACTTTATCAGCAAACTTTTCCCCCAACAAACCTTTGACAAAGCAGCCCCAAACTTTTCTCTTTTCTCGATACTCGATCCTCTTGTCCGTCCTCCTCACTTTCCGTCTCCTCTGCTTCGTGTTCTAAATTTGCTAGTTTAAACTATAAGTTTTGGCAATGCTAACAAGTGACTGGAGCATTTAATCTCATTTGATCATTTGATGATTTACATTTGATCTCCTTCAACCCACCAGTTTCTTCCACTTCCATTTTCGTCTCCTGATCCGATGTGCTCACTTGTGATTGCGATTGTGATTGGGTTAAATTAAGTGTAGTTTCTGAAAGCTTGGTTTTAGCGTGACCCAGCTAACGTAACCCATAGCCCAGTTACCGTCACTCAGATAGTAAGCAGTAGTACTATGCACTATCGTCACCGTAACCGTTCATAAGTGTTACCCAAAAAGCTTACCCGTTGTCCCGGTAACCGTACTCCCAGCGGATGCGTGTGATTGCGGTGGAGAGATTGTTCTCATCGGAATCACCGGCAGTGTTGACGGATCCCAGTTCTCTTTGTTTTCATCGACTTCTCGGAGATCGATCGGTTTTGATGAATACACCATTAGCTAAAATTCTTTTAATTGCTTAAATCTAAACAATCATACTGTAATCTATCCAAACTAGATTGATAAATAAGTCACCTTTTTTCATACTTTCGTTTAGAAATGACTATTTCACCAATTCACCTATGGTTTCTTCTAAATAGAAAATGTTTATTGTTGTGTTATTGCTTGATTGCTGTTTATTGCTTGATTTTCTTTCTTTTTAAATCAATCTTAGCCCGTTTTCAAGTGTTTTTGCTTAAAATTCGATACAAAGTTCTATAAAGAAATCGATTAAAGAGATTGCTTTGAAAATTTGGGTATATATTTAACTTTTTATGCTCTATCTTTTTTCTATTAACATTAAAATAGGTTTCTGTTGGACTAAAGTATCTAAATAGGTCATTAGGGGGGGCATTTTTGACTACCCAACTTACCATTTGAGTCGCGCTCGTTTCCATCGAGGTGATCGTTTGCGACGATGATGCCGTACTCAAATCACCAATATCCACCTAAAAGAAAAGATTTTTTATAAAGTTAATGGTTACAGTATACATATAAAATCATAATAATATAATAATAATATAATAATAATATAATAATAATATAATAATTGTTAATATTACCTCAACATCGATAACGTCTTCCTCCGATGGAGACGCCGACCCGTGTGTGCTCATTTTTTGGTCTAAAACTTTACAATATATATAGATACTTTATTCAGAAGCTGAGATAAAGTGCGCTAGATTTAAGATTAATACAATTAATACACATGAATTCATACACATAACACAAAAAAGGGCCGATAAAATATATAATATAATATATGGGTAGCACAGATAACGTCAAGGATCCACTAGAGCTTCAAGATCATCTACAGATAATTGAAAGGTTTCGAGACTATTGGACTCTCTCAAAACTCTGGGGACTCTAATTTTTTCCCAATTGTGCGTTTTAAAAAACGCATTACTCGCGAGGAACACACTCTAGGTAGCACAGATAACGTCAAGGATCCACTAGAGCTTCAAGATCAAGATCTAGATCATCTACAGATCATTTAAAGGCTTCGAGACTATTGGACTCTCTCAAAACTCTGGGGATTCAATTCCAAATTCTGGCAGTTCTTATTGGAAAAGAGTTATAGACAAACTTATTGGAGGTGACTGGAATTTCTAAAACGAAAGAACCTCTCCTTGAACTAACCGTCGGATTAACTTTGAATAAATCTCGAAAAAGAGGGATATTTACAAAAGTTATTAAAAAAACTAAAATGAAAATATAAAATTAAAAAGATAACAAAGAACTAAAATGAAAATATAAGATTAAAAATAATATGGAAATATATAATGTCCCACTATATTATTCAGAAATAGATCTGAAATCAAGCATTAGATAATCAAATCGTACCTCTGAATTTTTATTTTATTACTACAGAATACCAAAAAAAACTGATATTGTCCACTACAGTACCCCGAAAAGTATTCATTTGATAGAAGTCTTTTTGAACTAAAGCTTAAGATATTCAATCGTAGCCGCGAATTTTTAATTCGGTATTGTTAAAGGAAAATTGGGTAGGCTAATTTCCGCCATTCTATTTGCACAATTCGCCATAACTTTCTTCTAAGTAAGCCAATCTTTAAGATTTTGGTTTCATTTTGTAGATCTCAATAAGTCTAACAGAATAACACCAAAATTATAAAGATTGGTTCACTTAGAAGAAAGTTATGGCGAGTTGCGCAAGAAATTTAGCGCAAAGTAGCCTTTCCCAGGAAAATAGAAAATAGATGAATTGGATTACGGTGGAGAAATACAGGAAATGATTATAAATACGGAATTTTTAGTTTATCAATTTGAACAAAAAGTAAGTTACTAGATATAAATGGCATCTATTTTAGAAAACTTTAGTAAAACTGTTAGTTTACATTCAAAATCAGCTTAATTTTAATATTATTGATTGATTGTAAATCCCCATCGAATGATGGCAAAATTGGGCTGATTCGACGTAAACTAACAGTTTTACTAGTTAGTTTTACTAGTTAGCTTTACTAGTAGTTTTATAAAAGAAGTGCCTTTTTGAAAACGTTACTCGAAGGGAACACATTTTATTTGGTATACTGTAGTGAGATGTACGGTAGATAAGTTACAGTATTCTTATAAATGAATATTTGAGATATATCGTAACTATTTCAATAGACGGTCATCCCTAGGTAAAAATGATCATTTTGTCAGCTTTATCAACTTCCATCCCGATTTTCCAAGGCTTTGATGTTTGAAATGTTTGAAATGATTACAAAAAAATGTTTGTTTGTTGTTTGAAACATGTTTGAATGATGTTTGAAATGTTTTAAGTGACATCTATCACTTAAAATGATAAGCTTGAAAACCTTAATGAACATAACACATACCGTAAATACTGTAATAGTACCCCACCCCCCTCGTACAGTCGCGTAGTCGCAAAAGTTTTTTAGTATTTCATTTTTTTCAAAGCGCCCATACTTTCAAAAAATGCGTCTTTGGTATCAAAAGATAGCTGAAATTCAGGGCTATTTTTTGATATCTAAGTGCGCATTGTAGCATAAACCAGTGTCGAGAAAAACCCGTTCAAAGCTAGACTACGCAACACTCCGCGCCGTCATTATGGGGGTGGGGTACTATTACAGTATTTACGGTAGGAAATTTCTTTGTAAACACCCATTTTTTTAGCTCTTGAAAATTTGAGAAAATCTCGAACGATAGCGGATCTAAAAAATGGAAAATTATCAAAAGGTTGAAAAATAGACAGTCATGACCAAATTACTCAATTTATTTTGTGCTTAAAATGCAAGCAAATGTAAGCAAATCCATCTATTGGAATAATTACGATACTTTTTATATAAAAATAAAGCCAAACCAGACAGGGTTTAGTTGAGGCGGGAAAACAGCGAAGAAAACTTTTCAAAAAAAAAAGAGCTTTTCACTATGGAAAGGTGCTGATAATGGGAATGAGCGAGAAATTTGAATATTTGTCGGGAAAAGGGGAATTCAAAAAAAATTGACAGAGATAAGCAAGCGGACAAAAGTGGCGAACGGCCAGAAATGGTAGAAATGGAAATTGGTGGGGGAAGGCTAACGAAATAGGATTTGAATTGTGTTAAAAAATTATATATTATTTTGAAATTTTAAGAAAAACCAATTCATTGGCTTGGTTAAGTTTTTCAGTTTTCTTGGAAAAGATGAATAAATGATTTGTTTACATTTGATTACATTTTAAGCACAAAATAAATTGAGTAATTTTATTTTAGAACCCTAGAACCCCTTCTAGTGCACCTTTAAGTGCACTAGAAGGGGAGTTTGTTTAAGTAAGCATAAAGCACAAGCTTGCCAAGTTCGACTCTACGCTTTGGTGTCAAAAAAAATGATACTGGCAATGGTCCAAGTTGTACTTGAAGCAATGTGAAGGAGATTTTTCAAGTGAAGATCTCAACAAGACAGTGGGAATGGCTACAGTGTGATAGGAGAGGGATGCTCATTGCGCAACTCTCTCCATCAACTATAGGACTTCAGCGCTGGTGAAGGCTACTTCTCCCGCTGTGATCACAAAACAAGCAATGTTTCCAATTTGTGCTTAAAAATGATATTTGATTATATTCAACTTAGGGATTACTGTATGCAGGGCATTGCTTGAGATGAAAAACTTGAGACAAAAGTAGTTTCAATATTCAAAACTAGTTTTGAAAGCTAACGCTTAAGATTACAGTATTGATTACCGTATTTGTTCGAATAGAAGACCGGGTAAAGAGTATGATCGCGTACTCCTGCGTAGCAGCCCTTTTTAAAATTTCTTTTCTGCATAAAAGCTTTCAATGAAGTGCTATAGAGCTGGAAAATGACTCAAAAATCTGTTAGCTCATGTGGTATGTCGGACCGTCCACCGTACACTTTGCCTTTCAGACGTTTCAGCGCCAAACGTCGGAAACTACCGTAACCCGACGCAATAAAAGGACCCCGCCACAAAGAATTTTTGGGCAAAAAAATCTGTTAGCTCATGTGGTATTTTTGAGTCATTTTCCAGCTCTATAGCACTTGATTAAAAGCTTTTATGCAGAAAAGAAATTTTAAAAAGGGCTGCTACGCAGGAGTACGCGATGATACCCTTTACCCGGTCTTCTATTCGAAGAAATACGGTATTTGATTAGATAAACTAGAAGTTCCGGTAGGTTTACCACGTTTTAGAAAACATATCAATGCTTCCTAAATAACGAATATTTCTAAACTTTCTCAACTGGGGTTTTTTTAAAGTTAAAGTTTTAAAGTTTTTTTTAAGTTTTCCTATTCAAATCACTCACAAAACTTGATCTATCTAGGAAATCTTTGCCTAAAAAGTTGAGTAAAGTCCCAGATGACCTTGGGGATACGATCCCCCTCAATCCCCAATCCAAGATCTTTCCTCTGTTTCTTCCAAAAAATGGTTGTAACCTTGAGTAAGCAATGGTGCAAATTGGTGAGAAAAGAGACAAAAAAAAGTGGACCAAATGTCTAGGAGACATTGTAAATGCCATCTGTGGTTTACCGGAACTCGTATGGAAAGGAGATTACAGTATAGACTCAATCAAACTTGAGAATTGACATTTGCTTGAAGAAAGAAAACTCCATTCTATCGTAGTTATAGATTTTAGAAATTCTAGTCCATAATACCTTTAGAAAATGCCGTAATCTAGACTGAAACTGGATTGGCATAGTACGGAGTGCTGTAAAGCAGTGATCTAATGCAATGAAGTGATGTAATGAATAACTCGCAGCAGAATAGCTTTAGAAATTGTGAAAATGATTGCCAAAAACGAATTCCCTGTGTCGAAAACCTCAGCATACAAATTTCAGCGTAAAATGGTACCCATGGATAGCGTGCTTGCCGTACGCTCACACGACCCGGGTTCGATCCTGGCCAGTGACCACCTACTTTGAATTTTTGCAATTTTTTTAAAGGCACAACTACAGCCTATTCTAAACTACCTCCGAAAGTTTCAGCTCAATCGGACTACTTTAAGACCAACTTTTGCTGCGCGCAGACAAACAGACAAACAGCTATATATATATATATATGGATTACTAAGTAATGATCTAAGAAATGAGTCACCATTGATAATAAGAAATTGCGCCAAAATGCCAAAAGTGCAGGAAATGCTTTTTAAAGCATGCAAAAAGTTTCAAATCTCATAAACCAAGGATAAACATAAAGCTGGATATCAGAAACAGAGTGAAACCCAAGCTCAGCAACGGGTAAATAGTTTACAGGAAAATGGTGGCAAAGAGAGGAATGGATGGGGAAAGGATGACCCTTGGTGACCTGTCCGATGGCAGACTGTCTTTGGGTAGAGATGAGAATGGGAAAGGGGAAGGGGGAAGGGAGGGGTGCCTGGGGGTTCTCAATGAAGAGACGGGTCCACCCCCAAGCTCCCGATACAGAAAAAAAAGGAAAGGGCACGGGAAAGAGCGGGTGATTTTCGCGCGCAAAGAGATCCACTGAGGGAAAGGAGGAATGACAGGTGGGAGATCTCCACCGAAAAATGAGCACGCCTTCATGAGAGACAAATGGTTTACTCTCGTTAATCGACGAGAAAGGCCAAGTAAAATCGCAATTGGGTTGAGGATTCGAAAGTAATTGTTTTGTTTAAGAAATTTGCATTTAAAGCTTGAAGCTAAACAGTAGACAGTAATTTGAACTTTTGGAAAAGGCGACTTGTAAAGTTTGAGTTTCTTTACAATCTACAATCTCAGTTTATTTAGAACTCCGAGGATAAGATTCTAAAGGCAAAGAAATTCCCAAATTTAAATGCTTTCTGAAAGGATAAATTCCCCAAACTAAAAGCTTGCTCAATTGGGCTTTAGAATCTTCATTTTCAAAGCCAAGCCAACAAAGAGATAAGCTCAGCTTTCAAGTTAAAGTCAAATTGTGTATTCCTCAACTCCTCACACAGCAAATCTCAAAAAATGATAAGCACCGAACACTCGGCGGGAATATGAAATTTTTGTCGAGTTGAGCGGGAGAGTTCCCTCTTTTTTTTCCACTCAAGCACCGCGTTCCGCTTTTGCACTAAAAAGTGAGATAAGGTTCACAAGAAAGAACAAGAAAAAGCTTTGTTTGGGTGAAGCATGAAAGCCATAGCTTGCAGATTTTAAAAGTAAGAAATTTCCGAATATACGGTAGTCGAATAATGCGTTTTCTAAAGCGTGGTAACTCTAAAAGTACCGTAATCCAGTAGTCAGTGTTCCCTAAAATGTGTCAACTCTCAAAACTACCGTAATCTAGTAGTCCACTATCACCATGTTCCCCCAACGAAATGGTGCCAAGAATTCAAATGGAAACCACGAGAAAGTAAAAAGAGGACTGTTGGATGAAATACGGGTGAATTGAATAGAGAATGGATGGGATGGGATGGGGATGGCTCGTTCGCGCGCACCATTTACCATTTCTCTCCCTCATTTCATCCCGTATCAAAGGGGGAAAAGGTGCATACGCGTGTACCCTTTTTCTCTCTTTTCTTTTCCCCATGTACCCTCTGAGAAGCCTCTTCTCTTCACAAATGGTGCACGTCCACACGGGAGCCGTCCCCTCTCCTCCTTCAAATGGCTTGCTTTTGGCGGGAAACCCACCATTCGTTGTCTCTTTTTTCAATTATCCCCATTCATACCATGGCCATGGTGCTTTTTCCTTACCTTCAAACTTTCGAACAAAAACCGGCTCCGGCACATTGCTTTGAAACGATCCGAATTCGAATTCCTGCTTGTTGAAAATACAAATCTTTATCATAAAACGAACTTGAGCAAAATTTTTAAACCGGTAGAAAAGGCTTGAGATGTAATTAACAGAGATCATCCAAATAATAAAGGCATTGCATTCACATGGAATACATTCACAAAAACTCGACTATAAGAGAAATAAATAATCAAATAAATACATATCACAAAATTTTAAATAGAATCAATAGAGACGACATCCGATGAAGGAATTAGTTTAAGAAGACTGCACATAATTGGAGAGACGAGTTGCATCGAGGAGTGACACCCAACCAGGATTAACTGAAAATTTAGACATGGTTATCAAGAATTATCAATCTTTTGGAGTGACCGCCCGGGAGGAGCTACTGCTCAATACTGAAATTTCTGATCGACTTGAACCTTTTTTGAATCAGAGCCCTTTCTCCCAGCTTCATTTTGGTAATAAATATGTCGCATCAATTGTAAAAGCAGCCTCTAGAAAACTTATCAAGAATTATCAATCTTATCAAGCATTTGTGATTGATAATTCTTGATAAGTTTTCTAGAGGCTGCTTTTACAATTGATGCAACATATTTATTACCAAAATGAAGCTGGAAGAAAGGGCTTTCGTTTAAAAAAGGTTCAAGTTGATCAGAAATTTCAGTGTTGAGCAATAGCTCCTCACGCCACCCCAAAAGATTGATAATTCTTGCTAGCCATGTATACGAAAATTTGTGTTAATTTGAAAGTTTTAAAAAATTGAACCTTTGTTAATTAGAATAATTACCTTGTGTTTTGCTCGAGTCAACGCGACATTCACACGGCGCTCATCATGCAAAAGTTCGCATCTCTAAAACTTGAATAACTCCACTTCAACTTTCAATGTATACCGAGTCCGAATTCGTCCAAACAAGACTCCAGATGATAATCGATTTATCACGCCCTTGAAACTGATCTACCTAAACTTCAAAGTTTAAGTACACTGAAAACTATAAAATACCGTGTTCACTTCAACATATTTCTCATCGAGTATGTCTCTAATCACGTCGACTTGTCTTCTGTACGTGCAAACCACTCCAATATCCACCGGGTTAATACCCAACTAAAATAAAAAACCCTTTGGTTTGTTTTTACATCTTTAAAAAACATACCCGTACAAATTTGTTGCAAATCTGATTAATTTGAGTAGCCTCGAAATTGTTATAGGTTGCAGAGGACCCTTTTTGAGAGCTCATCTAAATGTTAGTACATTGCTAATTTTCAAACATTTTATTTACCTGAGACTCCGGAGAGCTCTCGGAATGCGTATCCATAAACACCACAGAATGTTCCAGTTCGGGAGAGTAAATTCGGGACAGCGGCTCTAAACATAAAAATCAATTCAATAAAAAAATAGCGAAATAAAATACTTTCAGTGGAGTTGATTTTGATGCATTCTTTGGCTATCGATTCATTCGCACAAACTAGAGTTCCCGAATAGAAAAGTGTTGATGAAAAGCCGGCAACTTTTCTAAAACAGATTTCTTTTAAAAAACAAATTATTTGCAAACTCATTCATCCGATACTGAGAGTTGAGACTGGTTAGAGCAGTGGTATTTTTTTGCAGCTTTTCGAATAACGAGATGCCCATTCCAAGTTCCCTAAAGTGGACTTTAGAAAAAAAGGTTGATAAACACAACTTTGCTTCTCGACTCTGAACTAATGGGGCCAATTGTTTGGCATCACCGACGAGTACAAACTTTGAGCATACCTAAAAAATTTTTGACTCGTTCAATTCAAATGTCTAATAGCCAGCAACAGTTTACCGATAGTGCTGATAACAATGAGGACTCGACGGCAAGTGAAGCCTCGTCTACCAAACAAACATCGAAGCGACGAAACGAGAAAAGTGGATGTGAGTTCACTGATAGGCATGTTGCACCAACCACTTTCTAAAGAATGACTAAAGTATTAGATCATACATCGGCACCCTTTGATAACTTTTCAATACTGACCACAGAATTCAAGATTTGCTTCATTGCATGAAAACGATCCTCTTTAATCTTCACAAGTTTTGCTTCAATTGTCAGATGAGCAAGCTAAAAAGGTTCAATTGAATTTTTTCTAAATGTAAAAAACCTTTTCTTTAACAGCATACATATTACCAATCCGTAGTAAATCTTCTTCTGGTACATCCTAAACTTATACTGTTTTAAAAATAAAATTTTTCTCACATTCATAAACTTTTCGAAAAGATTGTCAACAGCTGAATGTGTATGTGAGGTGACCAAAACCGTTTGTCCGAGCTTCAGAAAACAGCGAATAACACAAGAAAGCGTCGTACTTTTACCTAATTAAGTTAGGCATATTTGTAAACAAAAGGTTTAAGTGTCGATTAAATCATACCAGCTCCTGGAAGTCCTTGAATCAATGCATAATCTTTGGCGACCAATGAGCGAACAACTGCCCGAGCTTGCTCTTTATTTAATCCTTTTATCAGCGAACTCACTCTAAATATTACCCAATTCAATTAATTCATGTAAACACGAACTTTTCAACCATGCTCTTTGGGATTTTATCGAAATGCGGCTCGTCGAGGTCGATAACAAGCCGCCGAAGTTTAGTTCTAAGAATAAAGATATTATATGATATGATTTTGCAAAACAATCTCTTTACCGTTCAACATCATCGCTCATAAAGGAAGCCACCGAAGCGAGACTCATTGCGTGAGTTCCCATTGACTCAAGTCGATCAACCTATGAATACAAAGTAAATGGGTATTCAATAACAAACAACTTACATCAAAATGTTCATTCTTTTCCGTGGTTGAGAGTGAGTGATCTGATGAAAGGACAACCGATGATCCTAAAAACACTTATAATTATTAACAACAAAGAAACGGGTAGTTTTGTTATACTCCAGCTGAAGCTAGTAAAGGCGTCAATATTTGAAAAGTATATTTTGGTAACAGTTGGAGAAAGGTAAAAGAATAAACTAAACCCAAACTCCTTACCATCAATAGAAGTTACAAATCCAGTGATGATCGCATAGCGGCTTGCCGTCGAAACGATAACCATGTCACCGCGAGATATTCCCTCATTGATGATCTTGTCGGGCCTGAAGAAAGAGTTTTGTTTTCTTTCACAAATATGAAGGACAACCTTCATCTCAGCGCGACTAGGTTTTAACATTTTTTGCTTTTGCATGGTTTTTATGGTTTTGCTAATATTTTTTACATTTTTTCCTAACTTAGGCTATAAGCATCGAATGCGCTGAAAAACACATTTAATTAGCACATACCAGCCGTTTTTTCAATGAAAATGTGCGATTATATCGAGCTATATATTGAGCTGTACTAAATTCGAAAAAACACACGTCTATCTTACGGTAGCTTACGGTAGTTGTCCTTTGTCGAAATTTGAACACTTTTCACTTTCACAAGTCTCTTTTTACGGCAGTGTTCATTTTTCACCTTTTCTTGTACTTGCTTTCAACTTTTTAAATTTCATTTTCTTTAGGAATTGTGACATTATGTGGGGTACCGAGTGTCTTCCAGCATCTACCATCGAAAATTTCTACTACTTGGCGACGTGAGTGTTTATTTATAATTGTGTTAAATTGATTTCAAAAGCAAACGATTAATCTACGCTTAGGCTAATTAAACAAACTCATCAAAAATTTCCGGATCTCTAGCAACATTGCCAGATATGCGGAAAAGGGGAGAAAAACGGTAATTGTCTCGCCCAAAAGCAGGTCAATTAACGAATATCTGCCGGCAGATAAATCATAACAAAGGGGTGTTATGCAAACAAATCATAAATCATTTTCTCTAGTTCACTTCAATTTACTTTTTAACAACCTCAATTTACCTTGAACTGTTTCAGAATGGAAAATAACTACGACAATGAAGTATTTCTTGAAAACGCCATTTGCGAGAAGGAAGTCGAGGTCGCTAAGGAGGAGCTGGAGGTATTAGCTTTTTTTAAAAAAACTATACTGGGAATCGACATATACTTATTTAAACTGTGAATGTTTAGGTTCAACCACTTGAGAACTTCATGAATTTGCAAACTAACGTGCAAATGACACCGACGTTTGCTCCAACTTTGGCTTCCTACAGCCCATACATGCAGCAGGTATGCTTCTTATAACTTTCTATTAAGACTTTTGCGCTTAGATGTATAACTACTACCCAAGCTACACGTTTCCATCGGCCACATCTTGGACGCAACATGGCTACGCAACTGTTCCTCCTCCTGTCCAAACACCGCCACTCAGCCCATCAACCTCTTCCCATTACGATAATGAAACGGTGTTGGAAGAGAAGCTTTCTCCTATGAAAGTCGCAAAGAAACCGAAGCGCCAAACAAGCACAATTCATGCAAAATGCAACGTAAGTCTTTTCCAATCTTATTTCATTGTATAAATATTTAGATTTGCCAACAAGAGGAATTTAACACTGGACACATGTCGATGATCATGTCGCATTTGGCTTTCCACGAAAAAAGTCTCTCGAGGTAAAATTAGAGTTATTGTTTAATTTTATTTTTTGTGTTTAGATATGCTTGTACCGGATGTGGCTTCTCGTTTACCCGTCGAGACAAAGTCAAAGAGCACATCGCCTCTAAATGCGAAGGAGGAAAGCTCGAAATCAAACAGTTTAGTGCTAAAATAGTTTGTAAAAATAGTTTGTCTTTAGAGACCAAGCCTACAGAAGCAAACTTCGACGATGGGCCGCCAAATGCTTCCCGGATGCACTCGTGGAAAGAATCATGGATCAATGTGCTAAAGAAGCCGAGAAGTTCATCCGCATGAACAAGGTCAAGGAGCAGACCGCAAACAGCAACATGATCACTTGCCGGGTACGTTAATATTAATTAATGCCGAATTTATGGAATACGTACATTTTGTTTTATTTCAAATGAAATTTAGAAATGCCAAAAGGAAGTTCAAAACAGTCCTGGAAGTCGAACGCATCACGCCAAAACCCATTCAAACTTGAAACAGTATCAATGCTCTGAATGTGGACATGTAAGTTCTTAATGGTTTTGCTTTTGATTTTTTATTTAGCAAGGACATATGAAGGACAACCTCAAGGTCCACAGCATCAAGCGTCACAAGCGACTTGTCGAAATCGTCGATCTATAGTAAGTTTACTGAAAAATAATGAGTTATCGTCAACGCATAATGTATTTTGTTGTTTTAGCAACAACCAGATGATTGACGAATATGCAAGGCTACACGAAGAATGCTTTCCACAAGAGGATCGTCGAAATGTCTCAAAGGCAACCACTGGTCACGCAGTCACTTACGAAGTAGAGCAGCCGCTTTTGGTAAAATGTTTCTATTTTTACTAAACTTTTTTGCTTTTAGGGAATGGAACCGACGAGCACCTATGGTTTTGCTGCGCAGTCAACGCCGATGAATTCTCCCTTTGCGACGTATCCCTGGACGATGCCTTCGATGCTATGGAGTGGCTTCCCACAAATCAATTCCCAAGTTGAGCAACTCAACAGCAACACCTATTAATATGTAACTATTCTTACCGTGTGAGTTTGATATTGAATTTCTCATTTGCCCCCTTTTTACATGCGTTGATTTGTAAATTCGATATGCAAGAGCCCCGTTTTTCCCTAAATTTTATCCCGTTAATTGTCAGTTTGGAAAAAAGACCTTTCATGTGATGGCATCTTCCAAACCGATGATAAATTTGGAACACGGCTCAAAGCAGTCTTCCATTCCAACGTCAGCATTCCCGTCCATTTCTAGATAGTCATTAATTATGTTGGTTTGATCTTTGTGATTTCGTAATATGGTGTTTACATGTTAAAACCATTTAATTGTTGCTTGGCTGTATATATCGTTGTTGCGTGTAATAAATTATTTATTTTTAAAAACGAACAAAATGAGTACCTCAAAATATTGTACATGTGATTTAGGCAAATGTGAACCTATGGTGGCGACGAGTTCTTTGAAAGTCGGGCTCACTGTCTAAAACGGAACGTGATTATCCAACTGGATTCGTTACTTGGGCGTTAAACTTCGATAATGTACAAGTTAAAGCATGATCACATTTTAGGCATGCACGATTCTCGGAGATAGGTTCTGGAAATTTGTTTTGGTTTACGAGTGGCTAACAAAATTTACCCGGAAGATTGGTGCTAATCTTGCTCGTGAACGTCGCTAAACGGTTTCGAACTTGAAAAGCGCCCTTTAAATCCACCAGCCTAGATAGATCCTTGATTGCTGAGACTAAAAAACTAGAATTTGATACTTGGGTGTAACGCATCGTGAAACTCCATCTTTCAAATATAGCAAAGATCCCGAATTTACAGGTTGATCATCGCGAATTGCTAGCATTACACAGTAAAGGAGAACCTAAAACAGCAGTGACCTTTATCTAAAGACAATTCAACCTGCAGATTGTGTTCAATCGAAAGACCGCTTTTCCCCGTTTTCAGCTCGAGTGGTTCCAAATAAGAATTATCGCCTTTGTTCTAAAATTCTTATTTTAAACTGTCATTAAACCTTCCTACATTGACAATAAGAGTCGAGTCAAGCTTCCCCTTTAATCCCAAACTCGGAATCCATATGTTTTCTTCGATATCGGATACGGATTTTACTCTGGAACCAGAAGGAAGAGGTTTGTGAGTGCCGATCTTCTCATTGATCCATTGACAAATGATCTAAATGTATAGATTTAATTTCTCAAGCTAATAACGACTCACCTTAACGTAGGGTTGTAATTCGGCCTCAAATGCGGATGGGGTAAAGTCTAAAGCAACCAAAGCTATGAGATAGGAAGGATTCTCTTCAATCGAAGCTCTCCATTGGGAAAGAAGCCATTCAGCAGAAACGATCATTGGAGGAACAAAAAGAGCTTTCTGAATGATAAAAAATCAAAAGAAAAAAATGCTCAAAACGCTACCTGGAAAAGTTCATGAATGATTGATCCCATTAACATGGCTTTGTTACTCGCATTTCCCCCTCGAAAGCGTTCGTTTAGCACCGTTTTCCTCGCACAAAAGAGTGCCTAAATTTATGGTACATTTTTCTAAAGATGGACTATTGTTTTATTGAGTTCAGCACTAGAAACATACTTGAGCAACAGATGTAGCTGAAATTAAAGTATCCGGTTCGACAACCACCAATCCTTGATCGGCATCAACAATCCAATCCTAGATTTAAAAACTCAACTATACCCTAAATAGCATCATACATTTTCATCCCAGCGCTTCGCATCAAAAAGCCTGATCGTGTTTCCAACGTTGACTGGTGTTTCAGCCCATTGATGTTGGAGATAGACAAATGATTGTCCATTTTTATCGTTAATACATCTAAATCTTCGTTTAATAAACTAAACAAAATAAAAACCAACTGTAAAGAAATCTGAGAGCCATCAGTAGAAACAGATTGAACCTTTAAAGTGACAGAGGTTGAAGTTCCCAATTGTAATTGCGATTTTGTGGTATCTAAAACGGAAAAAATAGTTTAAATGTTCAGTATGCTAATGATGTGTTTCATTTTCGACAATAAATATAAACAATTACCTGAATCAACATGTAGAGCAGGAGATCGCCTTTTCTGTTTTACAATTTCAGCATTCTCGTTTCGTCGTCTTTTATTCGATGGTTCATCAAACGAGGAATCAGACAACTCGGCAAGCACAGTACGTTGAGGTGGACGTTTTCGAGGGGACACATTCTACAAGAGACCCAAATTAGCAAATTCAATTTGAAAACTACACGAACTTCAAAAGAGTCAAAGGAGTCTTTCGAATTTTCATCCATCGTTTAATCCCGCAATGAGTATCCTTTTAACAGATTGATTGCACCAAAAACATACAACAATCTAAAATTTGAATTTTTCTTCTGTCATGGCACAAGCTCCTCTTTCAAAACTTTGCAAAGACCATTTCCTCTACAAAACTAACAAACTCAAAAGGTAAAAATCAATTTCGTGTTTCTGAAAAATTATGCATCGTTATTGCGTTTAACATTTTCTGTAAATACAATCAAATTACATAAAATTTATCAATTTAAGTGCATTTTGGTAGAAAAGAGATCATAATGGCACAATACACACAAAATCAATGAATCAAAAATGAGCAATTTACATAAGCACCAAACAAAATACCTAATATTAAAAATGACATGTAAATCGATCACAGTGAAAATTTCGTAGAAATAAATAAGTCGCTAAATCAAACATTCTCGTAGATTTGACATTGGAGCCATATCACCGTAAGGAATCAACGATTGGAAGAGTTTTGTCTGGGCATCCTGCAAATGTTAGTACTCTGTAACCGCGAATAAAATATGATACCTTAAATTTAGCATGTAAATGAGTGGATTCTCGCATTTGTTCTCTTTGAAAGCTCAGCATATCTTCTTCAATGTCGAATTGTTGCTCGATTCGGACAAAAGAGTCGTCAGTTGTCGAAGTTGCCCTTAACCAATAAGAGTCAAAGTTTAACGAAAGAGTACTTACCATTTCTCGAAATGTCCTTTCAAGTCAGCACTGAACCGAGTGTAATGTTGAAAAATGGCAATCGCATCGTCAATCAAAGGCCCCAGGCAGTTGGTAACTGGAGATCCGAGTTTCTAAAACAGAAAAAGTCGTGATACCATTAGCAAACAAACCGTGTCCAGAAAAAGTCGCTCCTCGATCAGCTTCAAGTGCTTGTCGTGCTGAGTGATGCATTCTGATAAGTCGATTGCCGAGTCCAACCGCGCACGCAAGCGATTCTTGGCATATTCACACTAAAATGTTTTTTCAATAAATCTTTTATTTCAATGACTCACCACATCACTTGCGTAATAGGCGAGAGCGTACACGGCACTATGAACATGAGCAAGAATTTTAGCCAAAGTGTTGATTAATGGATATAGCGCTAAATCACAAACTCATTGTTAAGACAAAAAATGACTCACTCCTAATTCGTTGTGTCTTGATTTCACGAGTCAATTCCAAATGTGATCGTTGAGCCTCCGTTACCCCTTGGCTAACAAACTAAAATACAATTGCTTGATTAAACTACTCAAAACTCAAAACAACCTGAATACTCCACATAGTTTGAAAAATATTTTGATAACGAAGTAGTGCATCTCGGGATAATACACACGCAGCAAGACCCGAAGCCTAAACTCGCTTAAACTGATTCAAAATAAACCGAATTACCGCTTTATACTTGATGTTAAAGGTGTTGACATAATTTCGGCGAATTGAGTCTCGCGGTGTGCTTCCCACTTCTGCAATCACTTCAAAGTGCGTTTGAGATCTCCCACCTGTAACATTTCAATTCAAAAAAATAAAAGATTACAACGTACGTCGACTTCGCGATATTATTCCATTGGCTGTAGCAGCCTTTACAAGCACCGAAGCTGCTTCTGCGGCCGAAATTATTTTGGAAAACTGATTTGAGACCAATCTAAAAGTGCTCGTTAAGAATTTCAATGTTTGAAATTACCTAATCTCATTGAACAACTGATAAGAGAATTGCTCATTAAGCAAGAAAAACACGTTGGAGACAATTTCGAGATGTTCGAAGAGATGATCCCGTTTCACCAACGTTCGTTTTACATCATTACCGGCGTGCGAGTAGATTTCTAAATTTATAAGTTCATTGGTGGCTTGAAATTAAAAATCTAAACCTTGAATAATATTGACCAACTGATTGTCATTGTAGTCGATAATTTGTTCGGTTTTAAGCTTTTGCATCTAAAACAACTCTTGAAAAAACTAAAATAATATTATGCCTTTGCTTGTACATCATCCCAACCGTCCCATTCTGCGCCACCGAGGCACCCAATCAAACGACCGACTTCAAGAATCTAAAAAGAATAATAATGAAACAATGGTCATCTTTACCTTTTGTGCCAATCGTGGGTCAGAGTAAAATCGAAAGCGTGACGGTATTCGATCCAGGCGATACGTGCCCATAACATCCAATTCTCCATTGGGACTTTTGTAAGCTTTTATCAGCCACTGAATTAATTCAAGATTTAATAATTTAAACTTAAAACTTTACTTTTCCGGAATATTCGTGTAGTTTTCCATTGAGTATCCATTGGTTCAGAAGTTCCAGATATTTGTCGATTAGTTGGTGAAGAGGAGCTTCCAAACAACTAAACGCGAAGAAAGACTTTTTTAAAAAGCGGTTAACAATTTACACTTGCAGTGTTGAGCCGTTCGTGCTTCTCGAATTCTTCTCCAATAGCGTGTCAACGATTTCAAAGCCAGCAGTTTCATGACTTTTCCAGGTGGTCCATAGATCAACGAGGCAGCGCAGTTTTTGTTCCCAGTCGCTGGCAAAGTCGTTCACGAAGTAAAAAGCTTGGTCGTCGGAAACTGATGCAACCTAAACTAGTACTCTTTTGAAACAGTAGACAAAGTAAACCTGCGCTGTTAGTTGATCGACGGCGTAAAGATACTTATTCCTTTCCAAAAACATGCTATGGTGAAACGCCTAAATTTGTTAAATTAAATGCAAAAACGAGTGAAATCACCTTTTTGAAAAGATCATTCGCCCTTCCATCTGGTGGCTGAGGTGGTAATTGAGCGCAAAGGTTTCCCATTAAAATGAAGTCACTGGTGCATGCCCACATTTCCTAAAAAAAACTGGGATATTAGTAACTCTTAATTAAAACCTACCAAGGTAAGCTCCGCCGCCGAACTTAGTCTCAGTTGATCGCCATCAGAACGTATGTAACTTCCACTAAGTCCTTTCATTGCGTGCAGTACTTCGGTGATAAGTGTGCGCATAGGAACTAAAACGAAGGTTGTAGTGAAATCTATTTTCAGTTTAGTGATTGGGTAGTGCCAATCATTTATTATCCCACTGGTTGCACCACAATATACCTGTCTTTCGCTCCGTGGCAATGATGGGATTTGGTGTTGAGAGAGGTTTGAGATTAGTAGCCAACGGAGATTCAAATCCAGCTTCCGGAAAAAATGGATTGACCACTGACTGTGTATATCTAAAAACAAAATACAAGAAAATTTGAAATCCACCTACTGTCCATTTTGGATAGCTGGTGGCCTTGTATACATTGGCGGCTTGAGTGGATGTTCCACGTTGTTCTAAAGAGCAACCATTGACTGACTACTTCCAACACATTTACTACCTGCCAATTGTTTCTGAGAATGTTTTCTTTCATTGTTCCTTGATGTGGCGATTGAAAAGGCGGGATTTCCGTCAATGATGTGGCTCCTAAATTGGAATTACCGTCGATTAATAGAAATCCTCACCTGTTGATGGAAAATCTCCAGGTCTAGGAATACGACGCTAAAACAAAAACTCTGATAAGTATTTTAAGCATTTGATTACCCTAACTGGTGGTGTTTCTTGCCGATAATATAAGTTTGTTGGCACGCGAGCCGCATCATTTCTAAATCAAAATTTTTTAATCAAAAATCGAGATTTACCGATCGAATGGCGATTTCGAAACACTTGAAAAGCTGCTCAACGTTGAGTGAGCATAGCTGGCAGTCGATGAGTTCTCTGGCGTAAAGACTGGGCCCCCCGGTCGGAGACTAACTGGCGATGCAGACCTACCCATTTGCGTCGGTCTCATCAAACTCTAAATAGAAGACAATGTTCGAACGTTAGAATTAAATTTACGCATTAGATCAAGAACTTACCTTTCGCGCTTCCAAAACAAAGAACAGTAAATTATTTGCCATCGTTGGCACTTCATGCCTCAGCGTTGCGGTGACATTGGCGAAATCAGTTGCGCGACCACTCACTAAAGAATCATTTAGAACGTTTGAATGAGCCAAAATTAATTTACTTCCTTGCGCATATCTTGATTCAAGTGATTTGATGGCATACGACGAGTTGAACGGTTGATTGACTTCATCGACATCTCGTTGGCTTACTAAAAGAAAAAGAAACAATTTCCTAGAAGCAAAACCTCAACTCACATTGGATTCCAAAAGCTTTTTGGAAAGCTTGCAAAATCTCGTAGCTCTCCATTCCTAAATAACCATAGTTTTGATTTTAAAGTAGAACAAGAAAAGGTTTGTTAAAGGTTTATGTGTCGTAACATTGATTGCTGAATTTTGATGAAGAACGGGAAAGCTTTTTTGAGAAGTTTATCAAGCAAAAACAAACAAAGCGCGATCCAACAGAAAACACACGATTTGAATTGCGGCTAGTTTGTAGTTTGATTTGCTGAGCGGGTACTCAAAAAGAGAAATCATGGCGCGCTATGCGAATACGAGTGAGAGTTAGTCGTACAGAGAGAACTTTGAGTTAACGAGGGGAATGAGTACGCGATAAAAATGAATTGGCAAATCCACCGGATCAGATTTCTATTCGATCTAGAAAAAAGGATGGGTTAAGCGGGGAAAAGTTGAGAAATGAGGAAATAGTAAATTTTATGGGGGTGGGACAAATGCGCATGGGACTTTTTTTGCGCACCTGGACATTTGCACAGCTTTTTTCGCTGGAAAAGCCCTTAGGAAAGGTCGTAGAGCTTCGAAAATATTTCCATATAAGGGAATCGTATGCGTAGATTCCGAATTTCGACAAATCAGACCTCGCTGACACGTCAAATTTGGGCTAAAAGGCAAAAACTACGCAACTTAACGCTTTTCCACAACTCACAAGAACTCTCACCATGACGGAATTTTTATTTTCTTTTCTAATGGCATATTCGTGGTTAGGGGTAAAACTACATACATTGAGTGTCATAGGACCATGATTTGAGAAAATCAGTTTTGTGGTGAGCTGCCCCTTTAACGAAGCAAAAATAAAATAGCATTTATTTGTGAGACAATGCGTTGTCTCACACGACACGCCAGCTGCAAAACCCGCCGATAGATAGGCTTTTCAGCTGGTTTTTAAAAAATTAATAAGCGACCAATAGCGAGCTTCCAAAATTTGCTGACTCTACGATAATTTATTGCAATAAATATACAAAAAACCAAAGCTATGTAAGCTAAACAACAAAATGAGATCTGTAAATATAAAATTTATAATAAATATCGACATTTAAAAAGAACAACAATACTGAATCGGTTACAAAAGGCACTTTAATCATCGTGTATCACAGAATATGATGGTTGCGAGAGGGTCCGCTCTTCGTGCAAAGTTTCCATCAAAGAGATCGTCACTTGTGAAAGAAAAGCCGGCACGCTGCTCAATTCGCCGAGATACCTAAAAGTATATTTATAATAGCTTACGTAAAGTACAAGTAGTTTGGATTCTTGTGTAAATCTACCAACTAAAACCACTCACTTACCCATTTCTTTCTGCCACTTCTGAGAGCTGATCTCGGAAGATCCATCATCACGGGCGATTAACACCAAGTTCCCGTCTTCGTACTATCAAGCATCGGTCTACGTACTGCTTTCTTCGCACTTTGTAGATTCAAGACCTGTATTGTGTCACTGGCATCGGTTGGCTCCGAATGAGTGGCCACTTTGCGCTGCAATTCCTAAAATTAACCCTTAAAAGAAAGTAAAAAAAACCCTTACTTGAATTGTAGTATCTTTGTTGAGCTTCCTCAAGTCGTCAATTTGTCCATTGGCCATATTCAATTTGATTTTCAATTCATCAATTTGACTCTCTAAATGGATACTTCAATTTCATTATTAACCTGAAAATGTTCTCGTATCGTTGAAAAAAAACTGACCGCAATATGCCTTATGCTCATCCAAATCTGTTCTCAATGATTCGTTCGTCACTCTCTCATCTTCCAACATCGAATGCGCTTTTTCCGTGTTTCGTTCACTAAATTTGATTAGGTGACTAACTTTTTAAAAGAATCATGCAGCTGCTTATTAAGCAATGAACTTTGGCAGTTCTCACCTTTCTGCCAGCTTCACTCTCAACTTTTCCACTTCATTGTCAAGCTCTTCAGTTCTAAAAACCAGACAGTCATTAGCAAATCAAATATAAACCTCTGATTCATTGAGGCAATTTTATCCACTTGTGATAGTCCATCTTCTGATCCGAAAATGTTCCGAGCCGTTGCGTTTCGAATAGCGCACAATTCTTTCTAAAGAAAGCATGGCCAAGATTCTAATGCTATCTAGATCGACCATGTATCCATCCGATCGATTTGGAGTGCCCGAAACAAGCGCCAAATTCCTGGGATCATTGCCCACATCTCGATTCGTTCCTCGAATTTGCAAGAAGAAATGGAATTGAAGTCAATTCAGTCAAGGCCAAGGTACGCAATTGCTAACCTACCTGACCCGAGCCTGACCCTATTACCCAAAGGTGCGCACTAGATTTAGTGTAATTTAAGAATTCCATTGAGAACTCCGACACTTCCAGGTCATCCTCCACCCAAAGGTGACAAGAAATGAAGAAAACGCGACGGTCTATCCGATCTCCAATCGATGTGTATCCCATTCAAATATTTTGGCAAAGTTTTTCATTTCACTTTTTATTGGCTGTCTATAAAGCTTTACTCTTTATACGAAACAAATAATTTTGGAAATTCTAAGGAAAACTGAACCACACGTGACAAAATAAAAACGATAGCTTCACCCTCGTCTAATTCTACTCCGGTTGCATAGATAATAAAGAGCATGAATAAAATGACTGAAATAACTGAAAATAACATAATAAATGCACTGAAACCGTACAAAAAACCGAAAACATCCTAAAAACCTATTCAAAATCAAAATTCAAAACATAGAAGGCCAAAAATTGTGTCTCGTATTCCCTGTCCGATTCTAACATGTAGACACAATCCCTGTTGGAGTCAATGTTTCGTCGAAAAACCAGATTTGATTTCTCCGTGAAATTCATCCTATCATTGATCAAATGCTTTTCCAAGAGTTCGTTCGCCATTTTCGTGACTCCGCCGAATCGCTTCATTCCAGGGTATTGCGAAAGAAAATCGACGATCCGGCCATGCATCTCCTGAGGATAGGGCTTTGTTGCCACATAAAAAGCCGCCTGCAAATTCTTGCTTGGGATCGACTTTTTACGATTAATTGCACGATCTCTTCAAAGAGATCCGGTTGACAATACGCTTGCAAGAATTCCACCAAAGTGTTGACAAAAGCATTGTAGTAGAATTGAAAGACAGCAGTGAAAAAGCAACCAAACCTGACACTTTTGCAATCACTCATCTGATTTGCAATTAAATTCTTGAAAAGCTCTTTGATCACTTCATTCGACAAATCAACTTTCTCGTAAAAATACGCGGATTCTTCGATCATCGAGCCGCAATTCTCAAAAAATTTTAGCAAAACCTCGTTTTTGTCCACCTCGAGCTCCAAATGTTTCACAGACTTCAATTGATTCGCGAGGATGGTCGTGTGTTCGTCGTTCCAATAAAATACACGATACCAATGACACGAGCGGATTCGTTTGGTCAATTGTAAGTGGAGACTGGGATTATGGTCACTACACCAAAAACTATACCCCCTCCAGCTAGAGTCAAATTTCCAGAACCGAATGGGGAATTTTTTGGTTGGGGGCAGGCAAAAAATTGGGGGGGTGGGGGGGGGGTATAAAATTTTTCTTTTTTGATTGGATTTTTTAAAAAGGGGGGGGGGGGGAAAAAAAAAAAAAAAAAAAAAGAAAAGAAAAAAAAAAGACAAAAAAAAAAAAAAAAAAAAAAAAAAAAAAAAGAAAAAAAAAAAAAAAAAAAAAAGAAGAGAGAGGAAAAGAAAAGAAGGAAAAGAAAAAAAAAAAAAAAAAAAAAAAAAAAAAAAAGAAAAGAAAAAAAAAAAAAAAAAAATAAAAATAAAATAGGACGGGGGGTTTTTCTCCTTTTCCAAAATATGATGACAAAATAAGATGCTAACCAGGCTTGTAAGCGAAAAAAAAAAGCGGGAAACTTAATCTCTTTTGATTTTCAAAGTAAAACCCAACGAATGGGGCAGCTACGCACTGCGACGGAAAAAGCGGAAAAAAATTGCGGAAAAACGTAGCTACCCCATTTGTTGACTGGAGTTGGGAGTTGACTTTTTCTTTGAAAATTAAGAGATATTCAATTTTTCTCTTTTCCGCCTACAAGCCTGATGCTAACGACATCGAGATAGTAGAAAAAAGCCCACTCACCTCATTCCAATCTCCGCTCCAACATACACGAGGTGGTTGGCCATTTTGAAAAGGAATTTTGTTTTGTGCGTTGCTCAGCAACTGCATTCAAATTTGATTATTATGCAAATTGTGTTTACTGTAGCGCAATAATTTATTTCAATAGAGATCACATGAAACAGGGTCATCCCTTTGAGTTCGTTTCTCTTTCTAATCACCAAAAAGGTTTTTGTTTTTCGTTTGGTAATCCCTGAAGCATCGTTTGAACGTGTCAAATACCTGTAATTTGAACGTTTTTACGGGATTGCCACACTCGAAGTACACAATTGGAGACGGATTATGGTAGTGTGACGATTGTCAACAAAAAGTCTAAGCTAATTCTAAGCTAAACTGTGGATAAGCTACCGTAGTCTGGCCTGGTTTTTCGGCAATATAAGCCACTTTTTTGTACTTGTTTTGTCCCTCTTTTTCAGCTTTTGTGAGAAAGTTTTTCCCTAGATTTTTGTCTATAAATCTTTTTTGCCAGTTAGCTCGTGTCATAAATTCTATTCTGCTAAAAGCTTAGAAATTACACAGAAAGTAAAGGTAGCTTTCAAAAGTCGACTTGTCTCCGTCTATCACCTGTAAACAAGGCAAATAGTCGACAATATTTGGCGGTGTATCGAGATGAGTTTGACAAAATGGAAGACATCGACCACCAAGGAAAGTGGCTAAACCGGCACGAATACAGCACGACGTGTGATCAGCCTGAAATCGATATTTGAACATTTTGTGGATATTTAATCGATATTTAAACATTGAGTGGAGGAATGAAAAGGAGTTATTTATGCAAATTTCGGATACAAGCTAGAGATCGTTCACCTTTGAAGAAGCACAATCAAAAGCTCGTCCCAATTCCGGGCCCGGGCATTGAAGGGTTAACACAGCGGTGATTAACTGAAAAAGCAACGATTTTAGAAAGTAACCGAATTAACAACATAATACCGATTTATCGGTGAATGTATCGAAATCACATAAAGTTGAGCATCTTGCCGAAAGTCTCTGTTTTCGACAACACAATCCCAATTTCTCGTTCGCCGTCAACGAAAGGTGAGATTGCAATGGGGAAAGCTTAATGAATGGATTACTGTACCTTGTGAGTGCTTATAGTTACAGACTGATTACAGTAATCCTTTCATTCGATTACTGTAATCAGTCTGTTTTAGAAATAAACTAAATTTGCAAACTATAATCACCTCTCGAAAAATATCACCAATAGCTGTCCGTGAAAAAGATGTAATATCCGAGGGTCGACTCGTCAAATCCATCTAAAAAAAATGAAATTTGAAGGCTATTTAGTCTTGATATCTTATTCCAATCTTACTGTAGTAATATCTAGTGTAGTAAAGGGGATTACTATATAAACCTGTTGCGAGAATCGGCCAGCTTCGGGAAATTTCGTCACGAAATGTTTCAACTTCTCCGTATCGCTCATTCGATGAACAGCCTCGTCACGATCGATTGAGAGGATTGTTTCATCTGAAATATTTATAATATAATATAATATATATGTCGTAGCCGATTATGAATGAAATTTTTTGGCAAATCTTTCTAGTAGAGCAACCCTTTAATGTATGAGGACAATATTATATCATCTTGTAGCGAATTGAATTCTGCGTCGATTGGTACCAAATTTGTGAGTTTAGGTTAAAAATTGCCGGCGCTACAACGTTTCATTCAAAATCGGCGGGATCCCCGTAGTCGATTATGAATGAGTGGGTCTAGGAGCGTGCAACCATCAAGTATTTAGTATCATTCAACGCAGAATCATTGATAATGATGTTAAATTTTTTTAATTAGCAAGATTTGATGAAAAGAAAAAAAATTAGAGCAAAAAAACTGTTTGTTCAAGAGAAAACTTTGAAGCCCCATAATTTGTGTTCTTTTTATCCAATCTTTCTAATTTCAAAAATTTAACATAATTATCAATGATTCTGCGTTGAATGATACTAAATACTTGATGGTTGGACGCTCCTAGACCCACTCATTCATAATCGGCTGAAATTCATAATCGGCTACGACATATATAAATATAAAAATATCTAAAGTTTTATTTTCTAAACGGTACCTATTGAGGCAGAGAAGTAATTTGGTGGATCCCTCTCGCTTTCTTGCAAAGCCAATTCGAAATTTTCTAATAAAATAAAGAATTTTAAAGTTATAAAGAATATTTTAAGTTGCACAAAGGCAATAATTGTTTTTAAATATGTAAATCTACTTCGTTTTTCCGGTAAAGGAATCGGCTCGGTTCGGTGGTTCATCGGGAAACGGCTGCGACGTGATGCACCACCCTAAAATTCGAAACTTATAGTTCTAGTGAACTGTAACTTTAGAATTTGAAAAAGCTTTTTTTTTCTTTAACTCACGCTTTCTCCAGAAAATCTCGGTGGATAAATCGATGAATGATGAGAAGCGGACAAAAGTGATCGATCCCGTAGAGTGTCTCAAATTTCTTCGTTTACTTCAAATTTTACTTTTAAAGCTCTCCTTTCAACTATGTTATTTTAAGAAGAAAAACTGGGAAAAGATAAAGTTGGAATGGAACATGAAAAGTTATTTTCTCGAGAAAACTCTACCAGCTTTATAAATCGGATCGGCTTGAGCGAATTGAAAGACGAGTGGAGCTTTTGCATTTGACCATTCTGCCGGATAAAAGCCACTTTTTGTCGATGGATTCTGAAATTAAGTTGATGAATCGTAAAGAAATAGGTAGTGATTGAGCCTTTGATATTAAATATTAAATTAAATTGATATTAAAATCTAAAAGAAGCTCGTACCCCAGCAGGTTTGTGTTCACCTTTCATTTTTAGAACAAAGATCACAAAAAGCTGCATGTTAACGACTGGTGGTAGAGGCTTTATCAGCATTAACAACCCCACAGCTGGTCATTGCTCAAAAGGAAACGAGTTAGCGGGGAAGTATTTCTTATTCTTTTGGCTTTAAGTTAAGCTTTAATGTTTGAATTTAGCGATAAGCCATTTAGCAAGCAGAAAGGTGAAAGGCAGAAAGAAAGAAAGAAAGAAAGAAAGAAAGAAAGACAAGCAGGCGGTATTTGGAACAAAACAAAGAGAATATTTGAAAAATAAGATTTCAAATTTACTTTTGTTATTTTTTATGCTCAAAGAAGAGCAATTTGAATACTTCTACGAACCTCAACAATAACGGGAAGTGGTTTTGCCGGAAGTGACGGAATTTGCCAAGCTTTTAGCGGGAAACGAATCATCGGTGTCAAGGGAATTCTCGAAGTTTCCCGTCTGATTTGAGTTTTCTGAAAAATTCAAATGAAAAAAAAGTAAAAAAAAGCTGTCTAAGGTAAGTTCAGCTTTCCCCCACCTTTGTCACCGGTTCATCATCCAATTTGGCAAATGGGATGATTGGTTTCGTCGCATTCTTGGCCACCGTCTTTCCCTAAATAGTAACTTTTCAACTATCGTATTCGTGTCTACCGTAATAACTGGAAGACTCAATGGAATGATCAACGAAGTTCCACCAAATGGCACTAATTTCTCTTTGCCGGCTGATCTAAAAGTTACTATGAATTCAAAAATTTCAATCTTTTCACTTACAAGGCACGGATTTGATGTCCATTTGTGGCCTGGAAAGAAATTTTTTTAAAGAAATTAAAAAGTTACAAACCAAACGAGTCGAATGAACTCGATCCACCTCGGAATCCGATGAAAGCTAGAAATTTGATGACTAAAATAGAAATTCTTTAAATACCCGCAAGGTTTTGCGTTGAATGATCTGTGATCGATTGATTGGACTAATCTAAAAAGTTTCGCAAAATTTTATAGCCTGAATGGATTTGGTCTTCTTGGCAATTTGGCTCACAATCCTTTTCTAGAACACTCCTACCGATGAACTTCGAGGCGTTGGCGTAGAAAGAGTTGTCCGCGGGGGTGCACGAGTCACAAATATTGGATCGACTCCAATTTTTGCTGTATTCCCACCGGAAGTTACTCGATCGTAGACTGAAATAATAAACTATTTTACAATATTGTTAGTTAAATGTAAAATGATAGCCATTCTTTTGATTACGGTAATTTCGGAAAGCGCATTGTCAAGAGAATCCTTTTAACACAGCACTTGAATTGACCAGTCATTTTACTGCTTTAGGTTAGTAAAATTGAATTTGTTAGTAATTTTTTGATTTAAAAAACTCACACGCCCGTAAAGCAGCATCCCGTTTATCGTAGTCGATGAGTGGGATTTGTTCGCGAGTATAAATTCTGAAAAGTTTTCTAAAGTTAAGGTACCGAATAGTTCAGTGGTTAGAGTAATTGCCTGGTAAGCAAAAGTTAGCAAAAGGGTTCAATCCCCGGGTTCAATCCCCGGGTTCAATCCCCGGGTTCAATCCCCGGGTTCAATCCCCGGGTTCAATCCCCGGGTTCAATCCCCGGGTTCAATCCCCGGGTTCAATCCCCGGGTTCAATCCCCGGGTTCAATCCCCGGGTTCAATCCCGGGGTTCAATCCCGGGTTCAATCCCCGGTCCAATCCCGGGTTCAACCCCGGGTTCAACCCCGGGTCAATCCCCGGCTCCCGGGTTCAATCCCGGGTTCAATCCCGGGTCCCCCGGGTTCAATCCCGGTTCAATCCCCGGGTTCAATCCCCGGGTTCAATCCCCGGGTTCAATCCCCGGGTTCAATCCCCGGGTTCAATCCCCGGGTTCAATCCCCGGGTTCAATCCCCGGGTTCAATCCCCGGGTTCAACCCGGGTTCAATCCCCGGGTTCAATCCCGGGTTCAATCCCCGGGTTCAACCCCGGGTTCAATCCCCGGGTTCAATCCCCGGGTTCAATCCCCGGGTTCAATCCCCGGGTTCAATCCCCGGGTTCAATCCCCGGGTTCAATCCCCGGGTTCAATCCCCGGGTTCAATCCCCGGGTTCAATCCCCGGGTTCAATCCCCGGGTTCAATCCCCTCTCCAGAAATCTACTTTTCCTTGCCAATTTCTTCACTTCTTTATATGGATCTCTATTAAGGTCGAGGTCGAGAGTTCAATCCGGAAAATTTTTGTTATTTTAAAAGCTGAATTTGATGACAGAAAAACATGGTGGCTTCAAACTTTTGTGTCATCCTTTATTTTAGGACTCAAAAAAAGTAGCGCAATCACAAACATATTGCTGCATCTGCTGAACTCCGTGTTTTAAGTGACCTACTGAACGTCGGAGATCCTAATAGGAATTTCTCCTGAAACTTTTGACACATTTTTAACGTCAACATGTTGGTTATCATCTCTAGATACAATATTTGAAAAGAGATTGAAAAAAGTTTAGTTTTGAAGAAAGTTTTTCCTCTAGTGCGAAAACTTTCTTTTTTGCCTGTACCTACTTTTCATGTCGCTCGTAGGAAAATGCGGCGTTTGGCACACGGATTAGCCGACTTGGGTAATTAAATCAGCCCAATAAATCGGTTTTTGATAAGAAATGTATAGTTTTTTTCAACGGATTCGAATTCCTCAGCTGGAAAAACCCCCCAGGTACAGCACTTTTGAATATTTCATTCTAAGGAATATTACTGTTTCCAGTAGTATGGTAGTTCAATACTAGTTTTTCGAAAAACTCGTACCGGATTCGAATTGCCCACCCTCGAAAACCCTGGAGTAGAAATTTTCAGGTCTACAGCTAGCATAAGCTGCTTTCGTCCGAAAGATCAGTCAAGCCAAAGCCAAGCCAAGGCTTTGTCGCGAATGTGTTAAGAAATAAAGCATCAAAATGAACCTTCTTCCTTTAATTGGTGCAACGATGACGCCATGAAGTGGGAGTGGTTCATCTGAAATGGAAATTCCCTTAAAGCTTGCGTAACTAAACCGTTCAGTGCTAGTGGGTCATTCCGCAGAATTGCTTGATCTCTGAAGTATTTCGAATCTCCATCAACAAGCAATAAATCATCCTGAATAGAATTTGATATTTAGTAAAGTTTAATTTTTAGATTACCGTAACCTCATACTCACCTCGGCAAACGTTGCGATCACTTGTAGAAACAAAAAATATAGATATTTAGGCATCAGGTCATATCTCTAAACATTGAAAAACTTATTGATATGACTGAATCTTTCGTAAAATAAAGTAAAAAATATAGTTAAGATAGTAAAAAGTCGCTCTTTAAGCTTAAAAAAGTGAGACTTTCAAGTACAAAATGGTTGCCATTTGTGGATCGAGTCGGAAAAAAAAGAGAAAGAAAAACTGGATATCGAAATGCCGAAAGGGCTTTCACTTTAACACGACAATGAACTTTGAGAGGAAAAACGGTCAATGATGGAAAAGAAAGCTTAGTTGGAAAGATTGAAATGAGAAGAGGAGAACAGAAAAGTACAAGAAGATAATGCCAACTGTAATCCGTTTTCTAAATTGTGTCAAGTTTCAAAAACTACTGTAACTACTGGAATAATCCAATCTATCCACATTTGATCGATTCTGTGATCTTTCATAAAGCATATCGAAAGATACAAAAAGAAGATTGGATAAAAGTCAAGATTGTAGCTTTGAAAGCTGACAAGTTTTAGAAACACATTGTTTATGTTATAATCCAAGTATAAATCCAAATAAAACAGTTTTTCGTCAATAAAACTCAGGTTTTTGCATAGCTGAAGGCTCAGTTAGCTGTGGAGGAGAATTGAAAAAAAAAAAGGCTAAAGAATGGCTTTTGGAAAAGTGAGAGAGAAATTCTCGATGAAGAAGAAGAAGACAAAGAGTATGAGAACAAGAGTATGGAAAATGGAGAAAAGAAAGGGGGAGACTTGATCGAGTGACCAGTCCTCGGGAAAAATCGCGTGAAGAACGGTACAATATGGAAGAGAAGAGAGACATTCATCTATTCAATGAACAGGGAAAAGCACACAAGTACCATCAAATGAAATTGTCTACTTTTAGCCGTTAGTAGTCTCTGCTTTATGAAGTGGGGGTTTCAGAAATGATATAAAGAACCAAAGCTTTCAATGAAGCCTGAAAAAAAGTTGTCAGCCAATAAAATTTACGGTAGTTGAAAAAGACGCGTTTTAGAAAACACATATAAACGCATATAATTTGAGTAAATTTCGTGATTCAATCTTTCGATGAACACTGAAGAATCGAGTATTTTGGCAAAATGAAGGCATTCACCAAGTCTTCCCTTCCCAGAGAACTTCAACTTCTCGTATTTTCCCTTTTAAATTCTCGCTCGAGAGATCCCCTTCAAGAAGCATAGATCTTCTTTTCATTCTATATACAAGGGAGGGGTGGCAATTGAGAGGAACCGGAGAGAGAGAGAGAAGAATCGTTTCTTTCTTCTCACAAATATATTCTCCTCAATATAGCCACCAGCCACTTGAGGATACCCATAAGGCAACGGATGCAAACTTCGAATAAAGGCTTTCCTTGGGAAATTGGGAAAAAGATCTGTACTTTTGTATTTGTTCAAGTCAATTCGTAACGAAAAGTTAACCATGGAAGAGAAAGGGCTGTAGGTCATTTCGAAAAATAGTGATGAACGGATTGAATAAAAATGTTAATCGTAGAAGACCCATTTCAGCACAAATATTGAAAAAATGAGCATGACCTAAACACAGCACTGTTTCTTCTGCAAATGGGAAAATTTGTAACTTTTTCTATTCGAAATTTTGCAAAAAAAGAGGAACACATCCTAGTATACTAGAGGTGCGGCGTAAACATAGCACTTGTTGTTTGCTGCAACTAACGACATAAGAAATCTTTTGGTTCCACAGAATTTGAACATAGAAACTGTTGAGCAAGTTCGCGCGTCATTTGACATGGATCCGTTTCGATTGCAGCCCTCAAAATATCGTTGTCTACCGCTTGAGGTCGACGAGAGTGTTCATCATCCTCGAGACTTTCATCACCATTCCGAAAGCGTTAGAACCAGGCTCGGCATCGGCTTTCGGACAATACATCATTCCCAAATGCTTTGACCAAATCTCGATGGGGTTCCGCGACTATTTTGCCCAGTTTGAAGTCGTAGAGTAGGCAGACGCTAATTTGATATATTTGAAGTCGTTCATCTAAAGCAAGAAAAAAGATCTTAAAAATAAGAAATTATCCGTTTAAAAAAATTCAAAGTATACACAAGATAACGTACTTTTAAACACAGAAAGACATGTTTTAAAAGCTTCTCTCACAACAAAAAGTTTAGCAACGCTTGTTTATATCCGAACAACCTAATACTTCCAATGGATTCAAAGCATATAAATACCAAATTATTAGAGGTTATTAGACGACAATGGGACAAGACTTTTTTGCGGCTCAAAGTTGATGTTTTCCGTAAAAAAAATTTTGTGCTAAAATGAATCGCGTGCAATAAAAACAGCTGCTTATAATCTTCGATATAACGAATGAACATTGTGGCCCCTTCGCATTCGTTATATAGAGGTTCGACTGAATTTGATAAACTGATAAAGTATTTGCTGCGTTGCGAAATCAAAAGATTCCTTATGTCGTTAGTTGCAGCAAACAACAAGTGCTATGTTTACGCCGCACCTCTAGTACTAGGATGTGTTCCTCTTTTTTTGCAAAATTTCGAATAGAAAAAGTTACAAATTTTCCCATTTGCAGAAGAAACAGTGCTGTGTTTAGGTCATGCCCATTTTTTCTTCAAATTTTTTCAATATTTGTGCTGAAATGGGTCTTTTACGATTAACATTTTTATTCAATTCGTTCATCACTATTATCTATCAGTTTATCAAATACGTCTTATTTTTGGTACAGAATTCATCATTGATTCTTGTGAATTGATTATGAGTCATTAACTTTAATTGTTTAGTTGTGCGATGACGGCACCTGAAGTTTGCTTCTTCAAAGATTTCGATTCTTTCACACTGGAAGCGGAGTATTTGGAGATTGTTTATGGAGGCAAACCCTTTCGTTTTGGCTACGCAACCAATCATGCGGATCGGAAATTTTTCCTCAAATCCTTGGGCAAGATCGGGATTACCTTGCAGGAAATGTTGCTTCAGGTTCATTTTTTATATCTTTTCGTATATATCAACTTGATTATCGGTTAGTTAATACATTTCAGGGCGTAATATAATTTAAATATTTCTCTTTTCAGTATGAAGATCAAGCTGGATTTGATACTGCTTATCGCGTCGACCTCTGTGCTGAGTTTGAAGATGCATTCAAGTTTGGCAGTTTTGTGGAGAAACTCACAAGGCTGGCTGGCTATCATCATGTAGTCTTTTAAATTTTTACTCGACTTTTGTTTAAACTCCGTGATTCTTGAGCATTGGTTTTACCTCTAATTTTAAATAGAGATTAGGCTTTTCTCTGGAATTGAACCCATAAATTTTTAGGTACAGCCTCCCGATCGCGACTTATCGCCAAATACCACTTCTGACTATGAGAATGAAGATGATATGAATGAATCCGACATCCGTGAAAACAGGTAATTTTCATTTAAATTAAATGAAATAATTAAACGAGACTTAAATTCATTTTTCTTTATTTGTGTAATTAGAAATTTTTGTTTATTTTCTCTGGATTTCAAATTGTTATAAGATTAACATTTAAAGGTTAAATAAAATCTAACTTTTAGCTTGAATCAACATCAGATTTCCGAATCGAGATCCGAAAAAGAGGTTAGTTTTTACGATAATATTTCTTACCTTTTTTCTATAACATAGCTATGATTTAATAGATTTGCTTAAGAGATGTTGATAAATCATTTTGTTATGAGATATATTTCAATATTTAGTTTATTTTAAATTTGACGTTTTAGATGGATCGCCCACTGATCAAGTTTACGGAAGAATGTGCTTTACGGTACACATTCGCTCAAAGCCACTTTGAAGTGTATCATCCCGAAACTGGAACGACCTGGCGTTTTCTTCATGCTGCCATTCGCCAACGTGGATATAAGCTCAACCCGCGAGGTCGAGCCCCAAGAGCTGATCGCAGTCGATTCTTTCTTTTCAATGTCACTCTTCAGGTTGGTTTTCTTTTATTTTGTCTTGTTTCTTCAAATTTAAAACATTGGAATTAAAATAAGTCTCGATTTTTTCGTTTTTAGGCTAGAAAGACTGCGGTTCGTGCCAGACGTGCTGCTCAATATGTGGACGTGGGACCTTGTGATGTGGAATTCGATGTGAGAAGCACCACTAGCTCCCTTGCAACCCTGCTGAATCAATTTATCGCACACCGTTACACTGCAACCCTGTGATGACTTCAAATATCATTAATTCGTTCTGATTGTAAACAAATAAAGCTCATTTTGTGATAACTTTTGTAAAATAGGGTACTTTAAAAAATATGATAGTTGTAGAATGTTTAGCAAATAACTTTTTCCAGATTTGTATCCGTTCATTGATGCATCTCGTTGTTTAGTAGAGTAAATAAATTGTTTAAACGAGGGATTTTATGAGTTTTTGAAGGCAATGAGTACCTGCCATTTGCTTAACTTACAACAAAATTGAAACAAAATGCAACAATCTATAAATACTTCTCAAAAGTCTCATAATTGTTGGAAAAAGGTCCGGAAGAATCGTAAAAGAATATTTCTAAACTGCACCTACGACCCTACTCATTTCGTTTAGTCTAAATTGTGTCGGAAAAATCTCTAATCCTTGTTAGTTTCAACTTCTGTTTGCCAATCCTTCACTAATCTGCAGACTCGTTTTAGCCTTAGCATTTATCTGGATTCACTATGACACCTTTCAAATCCCTCTTTTCGTTTATCTTTCTCAATTTACAGATCTTTCGCATTTTTAGCAAGATATACAACACGACAGAAAGCGGTGGTGAGCCGGGAGACGAGCCCACAATGGGTTGCTCAACCGAAGCTCTGAATGATGAGGTTTATTGCATACTTTTGATCGGAATGGCTAGAAACTCGTGTTTATAAATTACTACTGCATTGGATTAATAAAGTTTTCCGTTTAGGGTCCATTTGGTGTTCGTCTTTGTGATGACATGCTTAACGTGTTCTGTGATCGGGTACAAATGGTTGCCCCTCGGCAGGTCAATGGATTTTTTGCGATTCAATCAATTTTGGTGACTGCACTTTTTGAATAAGATCATTTATGGTCTTAGTGTGATCCAACATTGCAAGCACAAATCAAGCCAGGCGATGAAGTGATCCAAATCATCTTTGATCAATACAGGCAGCATTATATAACGGTTTTTATTTTTGTTTTTCAATTTCTATAAAAAGTTTTAGGTTTATTTAACGTTTGAAGGTGGAGAGCCTTTGTTGAGAGTCTATGATCCACTACTTAACGAAGCTAGCATGAAGGGCCGATTTCTAAAAGATACGGTAATTGTCTATGTTAATTGAGCTATAATCGTTTTAGATTACAAGTTCGGTCGTTCGACAAATACTGGACCTCTTCGGCCATTTGGATGGCCAGGAAGGCAGAAACGAGGTGTTTGTTGTTGAACACGTGTATGACATCGACCCACAGGTTTACAATAAAAACAAATTTGGCAAAATTATTTTTGTTCAGATGGATGGTTGGAGTTGTGGTTATCGTTGCATTGGTGTGATACTTGATCTTCTTCAAAATCGTGATCCATCAAGGTTTGCAATGAACCATGTTTTTTGTACTCGTCAGCTCTAGTTCATTATACGACATACGAACGATCTACAACTTGTATCAATGGGTATGTATAGAAAACCGGGTGAACATTCTTGGGAAGATATCATTTCATTTCCATATCGGAGGTGGGTTTTGAGTTAAACAAAAAAGTTGATAACCTTTATATTTGATTTTTGAAATTTCAGTAAGCGATGTAAGACTGGTGCTCGCCCAGGATTTTTATGTTTAAATGAAGATGTGTTTGAAAGCATACGAGACCAGGAGATTGAAGAAGAAGTGAGGAGGTTTGCATATTCCTAACTGCATAAATAATTGTATAGAAAATCGCGTTTTTGAACCTTAAAGATCTGGATAAATGAAATCACAGCACCTTATTTAGAAGAGAGCTTTTAAAGAGAAAATTGATCGATCGTATCTACTCACATCAGCGGTTTGTTTCATTGATTTTATTTGATTGGCGTTTTTTGTTTAGCGCTTTGTCTTTAAGCACCAAGGATCGATTGAAGCCTTATGCGCCGGAACAATCGTTTATCTATTTTATGAAGAACTAATTGGTTTTTGTTTAGAGAGTTTCCGATGATGGCTACAGACAGCTCTCCTTCTCATCTGCAAAATCCTCTTGTTCCTTATCTGTCAAGTTAGTAGTTTTGGTATAGGTATACCCATTATTTTATTTTAGCAACGATGCAAGCGAAATATCTTCGCCGTCAACAGGCTCCGCTCTTTCACGTTCAGCATCAGTATCATGGCTTGACGAACTCCCTTCCAACGAGCGAAGAGGAAGACGAAGAAACTGCGTCTCAGACATCTCAGACGTCTCAGGCAACAACCGATTGGGAGAAGCTTGTCCGGCAAGAACCAGACGATCCAGTCGATTGGGACCGAATCGAGAACGAAAAGAAGAGATGGGAATGGACGAAAGAAGATCAAGACGAGGACCAAGAACTCCAACAAATGCTGCTATTGCAAAGAGTAAATCGAGCGAGACTCTTGGAATACAATCATCGTGTCACAATGGTAAAACAAACGGCTTTGTGGGATCCAAGGTAAGATGGTAAAATTTGTGCACACGCTCATATGTTTTTTAAGGTATCATCTCATCCGAAAAATGAAAACATTTCGTTCGGCTACCGGAATGCCCACTCGACGATCAAGCAGTCTAGTGAACCTGAATTCTCTTCCACTGGAGCGCCCATTGGTTTACAATACTCAATTCGGCCTCTCCAATTCAGCCCCGAACTTGCCGACAGAAACGGTGCAAACGTGCTTGGTGGATCCGACCGACTCTCAGTTCGGGTTATTTCACGAGTTATTATGCAGTAGTTTTTTGTGCTTTAGCAACGAACAAAAAGTGAGGACGAACGAAATGCGGCTGACCATGAAGAGTCTTCAACGCTCACCTCGGGAAACCCGGATCATTGATGTTGACTTTTTGGAGACGACTTTGGATAATGCTACATACGAAAGGACGATCTCTTTTTCAAACATCTCATCAATTTCCACAAATCCATCAATTTCTTCAGTTGATTCGGATGACCAATACTCATCTGAATGAATACATTAAATCAATACATTAAAGGATCATTTTTTATTCAATTTTATGACTGCATATATTTAGTTGTTTTTGGTATGATCTTTCTGTTTTACTGGTAGGTTACAATGATTCTTTGTTTTATTCTTCTCACTTCTATAATGGCGGGTTTTTTTTGTTCCTAGTGATTATAATTATGGTTGAATGAATTTTCTGTATGAGCAGTTTCACATACATCGTTGCCAAAATGACAGTAAGTTTTGCAATAATATACCGCGGCGCCACTGACATACGGATCTTACCTCTTTGGGGGAACGTAGAATTGCATCAATCACTAAAATTTGCATTTAGGACTCATTTAAAAAAAATCGAGGCCCACCATGTCTTAGCATTTTTCCTATTTCCTCTACATCTTCAGCTGATTTATTGCTATGCTCAATGTAGTGGGTTTATGTTTCTTTTTTTCACGTTAAGCTCTCTTTTTAAAAAGTTAATTCTTTGTAATTGTTATTGTATATCTTGAAAAACATTGTTAGATCATTTTAAAAAAAATTTGTCTTTAAAGCCAAAAGTTCGTGGCTACCTTGGGTAGATTCTGTGCAAAGATTTTTTTTGTTTAGGAATCACTGCCCTCGCCAATTGTGCGACACATTAATCGATTGACGATGGGTGGAGGGAAGATCACGTCGATCACAGTGAAACGCCGTCCAATCACAACAAACAACAGCGACGAGAACAACTTGAGTAAGAAAGGAGAGACGAGCCAAGTCCTTCACAACAACAGCAAAGCCTCTTCATCCAATTCAAGTGTGTTATTTGATACTTAATTAAAGTTATTGGATGGTTGAGATCATTTCATTTTTTCTCTAGGGAGCACACCTCGCCCGGGTTGCCGCTGTTCTTTGTGTCGCAAAGGGGATGGCTCCCAGAAAAGGAAAGAATGAATGTCGCAGTGGATCCAAGGTTGCTGTCGAGCCAATGGTTAAGGTAAATTTGTTTATTTGCTTACTTAGAAACTGTCTTGTTCTTGCTTAACGTTGATTCTTTAGCTCTCTCGCTCTCCATCACCACCAAGCTGTCTCCGCTCAAATTGTGCTCTAAGTCGTCACCGTCGCTCTTGCCCATCGGACAGTTTGGAGACTTCCGATCGCAGGGGGAGCTTTTTGAAAGTTATTATCTTTGGAAGTTGATCCTTTCACGTAATTAACATTTTTGTTTAGATGACCTACCCAGACACTCTGTTGTCGGATGATTTAAGCACCGATCGTCTCTTCCCTCCATCAAACATTCATCATCAACAACGGGAACTGGGAAAACAGGCCACCGACAGCCGGTCAACTTCGCGTCGTTCCCGCTCTTCAACGTCTCGTCGTTCTTCTGCAAAGCGAACAGAAACTACTGTAAGTGTTATGTGTTTGACTCTATAAAGCTAACTGCCAGTCTATTTTAATCATATTGTTAGCTAAATATTGTTACTTTTAGTGGCCTCGTATTTTCAATGCAAGCGAAATGTCATCGGCAACTACCTCTGGTCACTCTGATGCGCAGTTGTGGGCACGCGGCAATCACTCTTGTTTCGTTCGTGTTTTGCTGTTTAAAGAATATAATTTTACATTTAGGATCTGATGGATGGTTATCCCGACTACAAGCAAAACTACGCAAAGAAGTCTCTTAAGAAGGTTTTAAATGTTTTTTCCAAGCATATTTTTTGTTTAGAACCGTCAAGTTAATCAAAGCGATTTTGAGGGCTCCAAGGATGTAAGCTTTTGTCCGTTTGGTAAATAAACCCCGCTTTTTAGGCAATCATCGATGGATATGTTCATCGTTTGGGTGATGATGCGCTCTTCCCACCGGCTCGTGTTGTTAGGTAGGTGTTTGTTTTGCTGGCTACCTTAAACATAAAGAATAATCAATACTTTAATTTCATTTAATAATTTCTCTTTCAGTGACACTAATCAGAGAGGCGGCAAATGTTTGGTGATGTCATTGACGGAACTTCGCTCATCGGATTCCAGCCAGAGTTACGGACAACCGTGAATGATTTACCATCAAATGGGATCGACAAGAACGTTGAATATCATTCCATGTTCTTTTAGCTCATTCTCGCTTCATCGCCCTCCTTTTTTTTCTACGCATTCTCTTTTGTCTAGTTACATTGACTTTTCGCGTAATCGTGTTTATTGTAAGATTTCCTATACTTGTTTGTGTAAACACTGGTGAGTAAAGTAGTGACGAAAGGAGGTGAAGACAAAGAAGAAAATGATCCAATTTTTGATGGTTTTTTTATGGAATGGAAAAATTTCGACGTTATTTAAATTCATATGGGGTAAAATATGTAGGGGGAGAGAGTGAAATGCGTGGAGATCCCAGAGATGAAAAATGAGAGAAATCTCACGAAAAGAGAAGAGAATCGATCTCTGCTACTTCTCTCGTGTGTAATAGGGGCCACAAACGAACCCCCATATTGAGTCCCACAACATAATCTGTCTTGAACTTCTTGATATTTATGGTACAAAATATCCCAGAAGTAAAGGTAAGTCTCCCAAATTTGTCTAACATCTCCCGTAAATCTAGCCATTTCATCAAGGCGAGATTCTAACCTTTTGGCTTCTTGGCTTTACGATTCTTCTAACGATTTCTGTGATTGTTTTCTACAAAAATTTTCCAGGTAAATAAACCAAAAGAAACAGGATCTGAATATTTTAGGCAATAAAAGACGTAAATTCCGTAAAAAGTTGAACGAAACCATGAGTGATTTTACGGAAAAGCTTTCACTTAAAGAACGGCAAAGAATGATCGCAAATTTGCTGTAAAAATTTATAAATTATTTATCTATAACAATGTAACAAGCAAAACAACAAAACAAACCAACAATGAACTAAAGAAGATAACAATAACGTTGATTGATCGGCTATTCAGCGTGAGCAGCTCCACGTCCGCGTTTTTCCATCATCTTTCTCCGCTTCTGACGAACTGCCTAAATATTAGCTTTTGATTTTTAAAGTTTAAACCTTAAATTTACCTTTCCACTTGTTTTTGCAAGAGACCTCTTGTTCAGCCTTTTCTTGAAAGTTGGTCGATCACGTTTCACGTGTGGTATATCACCCTTCTATAAATTAGAAATCATAAATTTAACTGCCTACTGATACCGTGTTAAAGCCGTCATCCTCAGTCATTTTCTTAACTTTCTGCTCGTGTTTTTCCATGTTCTTCAGCTTTTGCTTCTTCCTGAAATAAAACATGTATTAACCATGAATCAATTTTAAATTGGTATACCTGCCAGCATTTGATCCAGGCAATGGTGTTCCATCAGGCAACTCTTCACCTGTTTCCAGTGCTTCCTTTCGCTCCTAAAGCATTCTTATAATAATAGGGCAATAGATTATGTCATTTACGTCTTTGAGTTGGGTTCCCCCTGTTTTGGCATTGCTTAGCTTCTTGATCTTGGCCTAAAATAAACAATTAACGAACATAAACGAACAAGAGCATAGTTCTGAATGGTTCAGCATATACTCTGCAAGTCTCAATCACTTACAACAAAGAATCCATCAATGTTGTGTACATGTGGGTAAAAACGACGCGTTAGAGACAAAGTTGGATGAAAACGATATTCGCGGAATCTGCAAAAAGCATTATCAAAACCTCACAAAAGCTAACTTTGTATATCCTTCAACGCCGATCTCCAGCCCAGTTGGAACAAGTTTGCAATGTCTAAAATTTATCTGTTATTACGCAAGTCTAACGCTTACGCTTACCGTTTTGTCAATGCATAGTTTACAACTGCTTCATTTTCCTCAGCCTAAATTGTTAAAATAGAAATCACCCTTTTCAAAGAAAACTACCAAAACAGAGCATGTTGAATAAACCAAATAGCCGCCAGTTGGTGAATTTGCATCGATTGCGTCCAAAGCAGCCAAGATAAGTTGACGTTGCAAAGTGTGTCTAAAAGTTTTAACTTGTAATTGTGTTTCCTCCAACATTACAAGTACGCAAAGTATCAACTAACCGTCGCTGAACATCTTGACTGTCTTTGTTTGTCTTCACACTCTGATCTTTCCAAATAACTCCAGTTCCTATAAATTTAACACTAACATCGTGACGTTATAGCGAGCACTCACCAGAACAAGGAGCATCAAGCAAGACTCGATCAAAACCTTGGGATTGAACTTTCGGATACTCCAGTCCATCCAGATTCGAAACGATTGCGTTGTTCACCCCAAGTCGATGAAGATTACCGATAACAGCACGACAGCGAACCATCTAAATTGAAATTTAATTATTGTAGCTAAATAGGAAATACGTTTGGATCGTTGGCAAAAAGGACGCCAGTATTTTTCATCAAAGCAGCTATGTGCGATGTTTTTCCTCCAGGAGCAGCAGCCTAAAAATTTTAGATGAAAGAAACACTGTTTAACAAACCATATCCAAAACCCTCTCATTTGGTTGTGGAGCCAAAGCCATGACGGGCAAAAATGAAGATAATCCTTGAAGCATGTAATGACCAGCGAGATATTCCGGGGTAGCACCTGAAGTTAGTTAATATACACAAAAGAAAGTGAAACTAACCAATTGGAACTTGCGAATCATACACAACCAATCCGACTTTAGTCCATTTAGCGGCTGGATCGACATTCACTCCGCGAGAGATCAACGCTTTAGCCAGCTCTTTTCTGGAATACTTGAACATGAATAACTTCCGTAAGATGCATTACCGTTTCGTCTTCAAAGTATTTGTTCGAATAGTGACAGGCCTAGCTTGTTCATTTGCATCCAAAAATTCCATTAGCTAAAAGACATGCGTAGAATGCTTGACGCAAAATAATAATTATACACGAACCTCAGCTCCCTTTGGGAATAAATCCATGAACTTTCTGATCAGATACTCATTGTAGCCGTAATATGCACAAAGATCTTTAACCAAAACCTAAACCAACGTAAAAATTAGATTCCTGCAATAATATTCAACCTCCACATAGTCCTGCCGACTTTTACCTTCTTCCTTTCGGACTTTGAAATTGGCAAGAACCTACAAAAAAATTTAACTTTAAATTTATCGAAATAAACAAAACCTGTAAAACTTCGGAGATTCGTAGCTTCATGTTTTCAAGATTTGGAGCTGTTTTTAACTCCTTTTCAACGTCTTCTACGGATGGTAGGTGATAAGACGGCATATTGACATTTAGCTGAAGACTTTCCTCTTTAGACGGCTTCTCATCTTCGGAATCATCCGCATCTTCTAAAAATTATTAGGTAAATGAAAATGCAAAAAAGCGAACCAGGTAGCGATTCTTCATCATCACTATCACCAAAGTCATCAATCAACTCGTCGTCTGAGTCATTTTCACCCAAACCAGGTAAACCTATAAAAGTTGTTAAACTAAATAATAACATGTTTGTTACCAAGAGATTTTCCTTCAGCAAGCCCAGTCATATCCATATCCTCATCATCAGGTGTCAATTCGCGTACGGATTTTTTCTTTTTCTTTGTTTTATCTGCAAATCAACAATAAAATCAACCCATGCATTATAAATACTTACCGAGGGATCCTTTCTTGATTGGGTTTTGTTGCAAGATTTCCTCCGCATCCTCAAGAGTTTGTCCTTTCTTTAGTTTTTTTGGCTTTCCTAAGAAAATGTAAAAGTAAAAAGTAGAACAAAAAAAGCAACCTGTTCCAGCCTTTTTCTTGAAAAGAGCAGGGACTACATTTTCCTGATCGTCGATGGCAGGACGCTTGCTGGTTCCATTTTGTTTCTTCTTTAGTTTCTCTAAAAGAAAGAGTCAGTCATTCACCACGTTGAAAGTCTACCGGGCTTCAGTTTTGTTTTCGAAGGCGCTGGTGAATCGTTGCCGTTGGCTGCAGCACGGGACTTCACGCCGTTTTGCTTTTTCTTCATCTTCTAAAGAGAAAAGTAAGTGTTTGGCTGGAAACGAGGTTTTTCCCAGTATCGGGGGGAGGCAAAATAGAAGGCTTCCGCCAGGTGTTAGACTTTTTATTTTTTTCCGTCTCAGCGGAGGCCTCCGTGGTGCCCCGATAATGGGAAAGTACTGAAAGCGACAAGAAAAACCCTTAAGCAAAGTTTAAAAACATCATCTTTCAAGGCAAATCGAAGTTAACGGCGAAGACAAAAGAAAAATAACAAGCCACAACTTTTAAAGAGATTTTATACGCGTAATTCTCAAGTTTTCCCAGCCTGGTAAAATTTGGCATAGATACGGTAGCTTTAGCGAGAAATAAAGTCGAGAAATCCCCAAGACAGACAGACCCTCCTTTTCAGACAAATGATGAAAACAGTAAACAAGAATTTGGTTGACAAAAACATTTTTGAGAGAATCAATTTTCATTTTTCGAGCGTTTCACTTAAATCCTCATGTGGCGCGTTCGTCTAAAATTACAAACTTCGGCCGCCGTTTTGCTTGCTAATGTCAATTTCTTCAACATTTCCCCTTAAATTTCAAGCTTTAGATCTTTGATGATGGAACTCGACAAAATGAGTGGAAAACATCGACATTTCAACCGCAAAAACAACCATTTCTACGGACAGGTTCAAATTTTACTTTATGATCTCTATTAGCCATTCGGTTTAGACTTTTGGCAAGTACATGCCGCACAATCAGCGAATCTTGACCAAAAGGGTGATGTAACAAGAAGTGGAGGTTGATTTAACATCAATCTTCTAAACAACCTTAACTTTAGCTGTTTCTAAATTGCTTCAACTGTGTGAGCAAATACAAGTGCAATCTTGGGAAACAGCGATTTCACTCGAGTAGGTTTATTTTCGCTTAACAAGAACCGTATTTTCTAGCCGTCTGAAAACTGCTTTTAAAATTAACGAAGGATCTTTTGGTGAAGTGTACGCGATTCGCTCAAAAGATGTTCCAACAGAATATAATGTTTTAAAGGTTAACATAGTTAGAGTCACGACAGCCAACCATTTTTTTAGGTTGTTCCAATCGATGGTGCGGTGGAAATAAATGGTTTTGAACAAATGACGAGCACTGATGTAAATCTTTGACTTTCAAAACGAGAAAAATATTTAGATTTTGCCCGAGTTGCTTTGCTCTCAAGCGTTGACGAAACTTTGGGAAGAAGGAAAAGAAAACCGGACAAAATGCTTCATTCATCTCAAAAAGGCGTACCTCGTGAAAGGTAAGAGTTTTGGCCAGAGGTTTAATTTTTTGGTATTTAGGTGATTATCATCCGCATCTAATTGCTGCGTGGTATACTTATGATAAACAAGAGAAGTCAAGCAATGGAGATCCAACTCAAGTATTTTGTCAACTAAGGGTCGTGTTAACAAAAGTCGTGTCTTCTTTAGTTTCCCGACGATCAACTTTTTCTTCTTTTTGAATATGAATTCGGAGGAGAGTCCCTAGATCATTTTGAGGTAACAAAACAGTAAAGACTATTTAACAATTAGCCTTGTTTAGCTCTCGTCTTCTTCGCAACTTCTTTCTATTGTTGCGCAAGTCGCCACAGCGTTGGCGGCAGCTGAATGTGGTCTTAAATTCGAACACCGAGATCTACACCTGGGAAATATTCTAGTGTTTCTCAAGGAAATGTCAAAAATGCACAGGTAACTGAAGTTTTAATCCATTTAGTCATTCTTGTAACTCGCGTTTAGAGCGGTCGTCAACAACAAAACTATTGAATTCAACGATGCTCGAGTATCTGTACGATTAATCGACTTTACTCTTGCTCGCTTTGATTATAAAAAGCAAAATTTCCATTATCAATTTGAGTGAGTGTAGTATGGTTTGTGGTCAAGCATTTTTTTAGAGAAGATGATCCCATTTTTGAAGGCGATGGTTCAGAAGCGCATCATCAGATTTATAGAGGAATGAGAGCGTGTACGAGGTTTAAAAAGAGTACCTCAAGCACTTGTAGTTTAACTTTTAGAGAAGATTGGAAAGGTTTTAACCCTGTGACTAATTTGCTTTGGATCGAATATCTTCTGTGGTTTTGTTTACAACACGAAGAGTAGGTTTCTTTGCCAATGCACACGTTAAGATTCTTGTTAGTCCTAGTTATTTAAAATTTAGGGATGCTAATACGAAAGCTTATCAACTACTCGATTCATTCTTGAAACGTGTACGAAAGTGCTGCAAGTTTACTTACCAAATACCTTTTTAATGTAATTTTTTTAGGGTCCTCAACGGAATTAGTTAATTCGAAGGAGTTTAACGATATCGTCGAACACTTGAACGCTTAAATTTACGATGCTTAGGGTTTGTACAGATTGTGATATGGATTGTGTTTGCTTGTATTTTCTTTTTATCGTGCATAATAAAGTATTTTACCCTTTTTCTTTTGGCTGAATATTAATGTTTTTAAATGTTTAAATACTTGGGAGTCCACCACAATCCTATGGCGAAATTTTCCATGCGCAATTCTTTCTCTCGAATTTTTTTACGTTCACCAAATTCTTATTTCTTTTAGTGGCCTCCGAAATACGCAGATTTTCGAAAAATGGCGAAACTTTGTCTTAGTAAGTGTTTAGTTTCTCAAAATAAATAATTTTCTACTCTTTTAGAAAAGGCTAGCAAGAGAAAGTCTTTTGCCAAACAATACAAGATCCAGAAGAAAGTAAAAGAGCACAATAAGAAGAGTCGCAAAGAGGCAAGACTTCAGAAACAGAAAGGTAGCATGCAATCAAAATAAATCTCATCTTTGAAGTTTAGGTAAAGCTGCTAAACCAATCGCCGTGCCAAATTCGTGCCCTTTTAAAGAAGAAATTTTGCTTGAAGCTGAAAAAGCTCGAGAAGCTCTTGAACAACAAAGAGAGGTAATTGAGCGGTTTTTAAAAAATAAATTAAAATTTTTAGGCTCGCAAAGAAGCGGCTCGTGCACTCGAACAAGAGCGAAAAGCCGGAAAACGAAAGCTTGTGGGCGGAGGACTTGATGATCTTGTAGCAAAAGCCGCCAAAGAGGTGAAGCCTAGTCTTGTGTCTAAATGATAACTGAACTTTTTTAGGAAAAACAATTTGCCAAGGGTCGTGAAGCTGAGGAGGAATTTGGCAAAAATGAAAAACTGGCCGATAAGAGTGTTAAGGTATTCATGCACTCACAAATTGCAAGCTTCCTGATTTAGGTATACGCCGCTGAAGTGAGAAAAACGATAGAAACAGCAGATATTATCATTGAAGTTTTGGATGCGCGCGACCCACTCGGAAGCCGATCAAAGACCGTGGAAGAACAAGTACTTTTAAAGTTTTTTCAACATTTGGTTTTTCTATAGGTTGTCAATTCTGGAAAACGTTTGGTGTTACTTCTTAACAAAATTGATTTGGTTCCAAAGGTTTGTATAGCTTTGGCATCAACGAAAGTGTAAAAATTTAGGAAAATGTTATTGCGTGGCTGAAATATCTTCGTCTTTCTTTCCCGACAATCGCCTTTAAAGCAAGCACACAGGAGCAAAACTCGAAATTGGTACATTTTTATTTTATTAGATGCATATTTAAATCTGATTTTTAAAATTGGTTAACTTTCAGGGACGTTTTGGTGGATCCAATTTGTCGAACTCATTTTCTGCAAAATGTATTGGTGCTGATTTGGTGATGAAATTACTGGGCAACTATTGCCGAAACAAGGACATCAAAACAAGCATTCGTGTAGGACTTGTCGGTTTGTTACTTTTTGCTTAACTGTTATCAAACGCTTTGGCTTAAGGTTATCCTAACGTGGGGAAAAGTTCGGTGATCAATTCGTTGAAGCGAAAACGAGCATGCAATGTCGGAGCTACGCCTGGAGTCACCAAGTATTGCAAGGAATTTTATTTGATTGTAACTTCTTTTTAGACAAATTCAAGAAGTTGAGCTAGACAAGAACATCAGATTGCTCGATTCACCTGGAGTGGTTCTTGCCACCAAAAGTCAAGTCGATACTGTTGAGGTAAAGTTGATAAACTCTCGTGTTGGCATCCCTAAATTCAAGTAACTAGGACTCGCAAGAATCTTTTTGTAGAAACGCTTAATATTTAATTTAGGTGGCGCTTAAAAATGCAATCCGAGTCGAGAATCTCGCTGATCCCGTTTCACCCGTTCAAGCTATTCTACGTCGCTGCACAAAAGAAACGGTCTGTGTTGCTTTTAATTTTAATCTAAGAGATAGTTTATGCAAGAGATTGGAATATCATTTTTAGTTAATGCTTCACTACGTGATTGCTGATTTTTCATCATGTGAGCACTTCTTGGCTCTGGTTGCGCGAAAACTTGGACGCTTGAAGAAAGGGGGTGTGCCGGACATCAATGCTGCTGCTCGACACGTAAGACTATAGACTTAATAGGGGCTCACTTGTGTCTAATATTGTATCAACTAAATGTTCTTATCTAGGTGCTCAATGATTGGAATAGTGGCCGGCTTCGTTATTATACTCAACCTCCCGAGCAAGCACCAGTCAATGAAAACTTGGAAGCTGCTCAAATAGTGGCCCAATTCAGCAAAGAGTTTGATATCGACGCTTTGGAAGGCGATCTTCAAAATTTGGTGGAAGGTAGTTAATTATTTTTGACTTTTAAATTGTTTTTTAGATTTACCAATGGATTCTGCGAGTGATGTTGCTACAACTTACAAGAACGATGGACCAGCTCCTACTGAGCGATGGGGCGATGAAGAAAGTGATGATGACGATATGGAAATGGACCAACAGGGTGTGTATAGCCATTGACGCTTACCGCGTTAAGTGATTGTTTCGGTAAACGGTGACCGTTTAGGCGGAAAGACGATCGTTGTTGCAAAGGACAAGAAACCAAAGCGATCTGATCGAGAAACCAACAAGGATCTTGATTTGCCAGAATCGTTGGCTCTCGGTGGAAATGTACAACTCAATCGATCTATCAAAAAGGCGGTGAAGAAACAGAAAAAGAACCAAAAGAAAACCAGTAAGCTTTTTTTGTTAATCCACTTGATGATCAAATTTTAGCTCAACGAGCAGACGCGTTGGCCGATGCGATGGATATTGGATTGTCGACAAAACAGGACGATTACGACTTTTCAATGGCTTAAACTTCTGTTGTTTTTTACCTTGTTACGTTATCGTTGTTGTTAGTTGATTGGTTTTGTTGAGTTTCCCTTGTTGTTATTGAATTTTAAACTAAATTTTATGTAAAATTTTGGGATCGTTACACGCCATAAGAAATTTCCTCGGGAAATTTGATTTTCCCAGGACCTGTCATTCAACAAGAGTCATTTGACAAGCCCCATTCTGGAGCTCTTTTATCGAATCTGATAACGGGGCTTTTTTTGGTGTTTCCTTTACTGAGGTTGCAAGAATTTTAAAGCCTGTCAATCATTGACTTGAAAGGTGACGGTGCAAAGGTTTTCATAATCGGGTTCAAGTCTTTTTCCGGAGACATCAAAAAATGAATCCCGGAGGCGGTTGAATTGAGTTGATGTAATGGCTAAATATTAGCACTGTTAACGGCAAAAATTTTGCTGTTTTGGAGAAATTAACAGGAGTCTGTAAACTGTGTTTTTTCCAATTGAAAGTTCTTTGCATTGACATAATCAAATTGTGGAAACTAAAAGGTTTTGATGACTTTTGTAAAACGTAATCGGTAAATTTCTTCGCATTTCACAAATTTCAGTATCTAGTTTAAGCTTTTGAAAGAGAACTGAAGTACATAGAAACATTGCAAAAATCGGCTCTTGACTTTGAAATGGAAAAAATGGGCAAAAGCGTTGACAAATGGAAAATTGCCTTTATCCCACAAAATTATTAACACCTTTTTTACCGGGGTACAATAAAAACAAGAAAAACCAACTCTTTGGCCAATCTAAATGCAAGTTTTATGTTTTTAACGGAAATTCAAGAATTTGATCAGACGCTTTTCGAGAAACTCCTCGACTTCATTTTGTGATCGATTCCAGAGTGCATCTTGGAAAAAATTGAGTGAGAAATTTGGGGGGATGGTCATTTTGTTTGGCGATTGACAGCCACCAATAAATGACAGGTATTGTATGAAAAATGATAAGAAAAGAGTAGAAAAGGACGGGGGAAATTGAGGAAAATCACTTCGCAGTCACCGGGGTCTGTCTCTTCTCGAAAAGATGAGACTCGCTCTGGTTGCAGCCCTTTGTGGCATCGCCCTCGCCGCCACCTATTCCTCTAATCAACGCATCGACGCCAAGTAGGAGATTTTTTTTTACTCATTGAGTTCTATTCCTAGAATCCTTCTATTCTAAACCCTTTTCTTTAGATGGTTCTCCGCCGATAAGGAGTTCATTTATGGCTGGGAGTCTCAACTCTCATCGGGTCTCCCAATCGAGGGAACCCAGCACGCAACTCAGCGAATCTCCTCGAAAATTCATCTCCAGATTCGTGACCGTTTCGCTTCCCTTCAACTCCGCAAGTTCAACCTGTTCGCCTCTCAGGTTTCTAGCAATACATCGTATTTTTCTTTTAGACTAAAGAATTCTAAGGTTTCAAAAGGAATCTAGTTTTTAAGCTTCTAGTATTCGCTGATTTCAGGAGACTCTCCGTACTCCATCCCGCTTGGCCCCGACCACCTCATTCGAGCCGATCGAGCCATCCAAGGAACAGGTCGGTGGATTTAAATTGTTCAATTTTTTTTGGCTTAATTCAAGTACTTATTTAAAAACTCTTCGATTTAATCTTTTGAATTAAATCCAATTCAATTGAATGAATTCAATTTCCAGGAGGAGTTCTTGTCTCTCCCCGTTCGTTTCCGCTACGAGTCTGGCCGTGTGTCCGAGCTCGAGTTTGATTCTTCCGATCCAACCTGGTCCCGAAACATCAAGCGCGCCGCTATCAACATGCTCCAGGTTTGCTTTTAGACAGCCGTCTTAACTCCGCCCTTTTTTTGATTCGTTTGCCATTGGCGCTCTCGTATTTTACTCGTATCTTAGTCGGTTTTGTTTGGAAAACGTTGAATTTCCTTTCATTTGACTCGAAATGAAATTTTCTATTGAATGAAAGTAAACTCAACGTTTTTTCAAATAAACCCGGAAGCCGGACAAGAAAATTTAAATTGCCAACGGCAAAGGGACCGAAAAAAGGGCGGAGTTAAGATGGATGGTTTTAGATAAGCAAATTGTACGTTCTGTGAACAAGCTCTAGGTTCTACTCTAGTTTTAAATGCAAATTTGACTCGACTCGAGTAAATTGAGCCCTTTCTAGAATGAGCAAAGACTGACTGGATGTCTAATAGTAGGATACAGTATACCTGATGAAATATCCAGCGTTTAGGTCTAGATTTTCATATTCTTATCAAGTTCTACGTCAATTCGAAACTCTAGGTGAACATGGAGTCGAACTCGGAGAGCCGCATCGATGAGACCGAAAAGAACTACCGTGTCAAGGAGGTGGATAGGGATTTAATCATTGGATAATTTAGAAATAACTCTATAGAAACTAAACAGCTGCTCGAATTTCTTAGTCAGATTACTGTACAATCATATTACCTAAAGCTAAACGGAGTGTAGGATTACTGTAAAATGAAGCTAATCTGATTCGATTCTAATTTTGATAAACTTTTCCCCAAATTTCAGACCACTCTCGAGGGTCAAGACTGTGAGGTCGTTTACGCCAAGGTTGAGGAGCTCAAGAAGTGGAATGTGAGCAAGATTTAGATCTATATAGCTAGATCTATAGATCTATATAGCTAGATCTATAGATCTATATAGCTAGATCTATAGATTTATATAGCTAGATCTATAGATCTATATAGCTAGATCTATAGACTTATATAGCTAGATCTATAGATCTATGAATTTATATAGCCAGATCTATAGATTTATATAGCTAGATCTATAGATCTATATAGCTAGATCTATAGGTCCATAGATCCATAGCTTTCTATTTATAAAACTATAAAATATCTACAAAAACTGTGTCTAGGACGAGCAAACCGAACAAGAGGAGACTGTTGTGAGCAAGACGATCGATTTCAACAAGTGCACCACGCGTCCCGACGTTTTCTACACTTTCCGTATGAATGATGAGTGCCGTGAATGCGACGATCATGTCAACAAGAGATACAATGAGATTCAACCATATCAACCATCAACTGTGGGTTATGCAAAAGATCGCCTAGATAGTTTAGAGGTTCTAGTACCCATTAACCTTAAAGATACTGTAAAATGCCAAGCAATTTTCAAAATCTGGACTTACCGTAACAATTGACACTAATTCTTTTTGCTAAATAACTTACTGTAGTCACTGTAGTCAGAATAGTCGAGCAATCCAGCTAGTTTCTGTAGCCTAACGCTTTGATTGTGAGATTACTGTAGCATGATAGCATGGCTCCGGATAACCATGTCTCAAGCAGCTTCCTAGCCACCTGAGATTACTGTAAGATGAAGTTTATCTTATTGTAAGATTATGATAGGATAATGTTTATTTTATTGAGCCTGAAACTAATCTAAACTGATAACCTGATTCACCTGATAAGCTTGTCCATTTCAGATGATGCGTTTCCGTCTCTCTGGCTCATCTCCATCTCGTTTCTTGATCCGCGAGGTCGAGCTTCAATCCACCTACGTCTTCTCTCCAATCGACGACAAGCAACCAATCATCAACAACGAGGTGAGGCAAAATTGGTTATTCTGAAAGATCGAGATAATCTCATAGACAGTTTTTTTTCCAATTTTCTACACTATCATATTCAGGTTGTCGCCAAGTTGACCCTTTTGGAGTCAGGAGAGATCAAGTCGACCCTTCCAACAATTTCCCCATCATCAAAAACCACTTTGATGCACTCGAACAAAATCGCGAAAGCCCGTGAACAATGGGAAATGAACGGTGACGAGAAAGCGCTCCGTGAGCACAAAACTGATGGAGATTACGAGGAGGTGAGCGATACTATAATGGAAATGGATAGATACTGTAAGATAAAGCTAGGCCATCTAGATTAGACTACTAGAATGTCTAGACTCCGTAGGAGTGCTGTAGCTAGGTCAGGCTCTGACATCAAAATCTATCTGATCTAGCTTTAAGAGAATGATGCTCAACGATGCTGTTGAAAGAAAACGATGCTATTGTAGGAGTACTGTAAATATAAGTATAAAATCTAGTGAATTAGTTAGTTTCTAGAATTACTGGGCAACATCTAGGACTAAAATTTTGCAATTTCTTAAACTCTCTAGCTAGTCAAGATAATAAAACCCAGGTTGAGGCCGCCAAGAAGACGATCGACGAGTTGAAGAAGTTGATGAAAGAGAATGTCGAGGTTGAGTCATCGCACATGTTCTCTCGCCTCATCTCGATTCTCCGCCGCTCCACCTACACCCAAATCGAAGCCATCCACCGCTACTCCAACCAAGTGAGTTGATGCTGATTCCAAGTGCTTACATGTGTAATTTAGCTAGTCTAGCTTTATAAAATGAATTCCAGGTTGAGGAGAGCCTTGCCACGATTTGCGTTGATGCCATTGCTGAGGCTGGCACCAAGGTGTGCGTCGACTATCTTGTCAAGCTTGCCGTCAACGAGGAGGTTTGTGGAAAGGGAATGGGACAAGAAAATAGATGTAAAGCTTGGAATTAAAATTAAAAGATAAAGAGTTATCAGTCTCTACTCTTTTAGGTGACCCCAATCCGTGCGGCTTTCTTGTTCAAATCCCTCTCCGCGATGCGTCTCCCCTCCGAGACGATCATCATGGTTCTCGACCGTTTCGCCAAGGACTCCGGTGGGTAGGTTGAAAGGGCAACCCCGGGGCTTGGCGCGGTGGGGGGGGTGTTGGGCTTGGGCTGGGCTTAGGCTTAGGCTTAGGCTTAGGCTTAGGCTTAGGCTTAGGCTTATGCTTATGCTTAGGCTCAGGCTTAGGCTTAGGCTCAGGCTTAGGCTTAGGCTCAAGCTTAGGCCCAGGCTTAGGCTCAGGCTTAGGCTTAGGCCTAGCACAGAAAGTGATATCCGTTTTGATACAACAGAGAATTCACAGGACTACTGTAACTTTATCCATTCGTTTTTCAGTTTGTGAGAATAACCCAATCCTCAAGCAATCCGTCCGTCTCACCCAAGGAGCTCTCATCAATGCTTTGTGCGTTCCAAACAAGAGCAAATGGGCTCACTCTCGTGAAGAGGTTTGAAGAAGAAAAGAAAGCTATTAAATGAAATTTTCTAAATACAAAGTTTTCTAGGTCTGCCCCCGTGAGCTTAAGGAGAAAATGGTGGAAATGTTGAACTCAATGTACAACAAGGCATCGAACAGATACGAGAAGACGCTCGCCTTGAAAACGATCGCCAACTCGGGATTGGAAATGAACATCATCTTCCTTGAGAAGGTTGGTTATTTTTTTAAAAGTCCTTTTTTTAATCTTTTACTTTAGTTAAATTTAAAACTTAGTTTTAAAACTTCTTCAGATCATCTACGACAAAACCGAGGAGAACACCGTTCGCATGCAAGCCATGGACGCTCTCCGCCTTCTCCGCACCCAGGTTTGTTCAGATTATCTAGAGCTACAATTGAATTTGAATTTTTAATCCACAAATATTCAGATTCCCCGCCGTCTCGTCAAGACCCTCATGCCCATCTACAAGAGCCGCTCGCAGCCAACTGAGGTTTGAATTTGTCATATTAAGACAGTATTCAATTGGTAGAGTACAGTCCCTTTTGCTTTAACTAATTGCAATTTTTAGATTCGCATCACCGCTCTCTTCCACTTGTTGCACACAATGCCCGAACGCATGGTCCTCGAACAAGTCGCCGACCAAATCAACAACGAGCGCAACGGACAAGTAGGCGAAATTTGAAATTCGTTTTCCTATGGCGTGCCCGTACTTCTAGTTTTACCGTACCCCTTTCCAGGTTGCCGCTTACTCGTACCGTATGCTCAAGTCTTTCCTTTACACTGAGAACCCATGCGAGAAGGAGTTCGCCGAGCGATGCAAGGTTTGTAAAGGATAATGTAGAGCTAGAGTACTCTAGCTTAGCTGTAGAGATTTCGATTTTAGATATTTAAATAATATCTAAATATAAACAAAAATGTTCAAATGCAAATCTCTAGATTGCTCTCCGTTTGGTGCGCGAAGAGGTGAAGAACCGCTTCGAGAAGTTGTCCTCCAGCTACACCCAGGCTTCCATCTACTCTGAGGTGAGTGATTCTTTGTATAGACTCTCATAGACTCTAGAAGTTTCCCAAATCACCCAGATCACTTTTTAAAGTTTTAAATGCAAATTTCTTGTCTCAAATCTCTTTAAGAGGCATTCGATGACGATTTTTGAGTAGATTAGAGTAGAGTAGATTAGATTAGAGTAGAGTAGAGTAGAGTAGAGTAGAGTAGAGTAGAGTAATGTTCTTTCTAAAAAAAAGCCTTTTTAGAAAACTAGCGTAATAAAAACTTCCAGTTTACATTAAAAATAGTTCATTTTTTCGAATAATCTGAAAATTAGGCTAATTGAATGAATGAACATTGCTGGTTTAATTGCAATGTTGCAATGTTTTCATTTTAACAAGATAGTCAATAAAATTTGATCTGATTTGTTTAGATTGTATTTTCGACTGTTTTACCAACGATATTTCATTTTTTTCTCGTATAATCTGGAATCTGGATCTGTTGATGATATTTTTAGAAACTTTTTCAACAATCTTTACTCTTTTGTTGAGCTAGCTGTAGTCGAACTGTTGCAAGGCTAGAAAATGAGGCCAAGAGTGAAATATCAAGTGAAATCTATCCAAAAAACACTTTAAAAATATCACCAATAGATGAAACGTATTTGATTACGCCAGAAAATGCAAAAGCAGACTAGAAAAGTAGACTTAAACACGCGTAAAATAGGTCAACGTCAAGTCAAAATCCCTCCAAACTTTCTTAGTATTAAACTTTAAAAAAACAAAACGTGGAGTCTTTCAAAACATAAACTTATCAAATATTTGAATTGATTTGCAGATGCTTCTCTCATCGGGATCCATCGAGTTGTCGACGGTTTTCTCGAACGATTCCGTTCTCCCCAAAGAGTTGATGGCCTCGATGGATGCTCTCCTCGCCGGATACTGGAATAAGAACTTCCTCCAGGTAAAGAAAATCGTTTTTTTTTTCCCATAATTTCCATAATTATTGTTATAATTTCGGGAAATTTACAAGTTTTTCTAGAAATTTTCGCCTAAACCTTTTTAAATTCAAAACGAAATCGACACTTTCCAAGCTTTGCAAACTTGCAAACATAATCCTATTTTAGGTCGTTAGATCTTTTCAAATGACTATTAGCTAGCTATAAAGAGGTATAAAGAGGTATAAAGAGGTATAAAGAGGTATAAAGAGGTATAAAGAGGTATAAATAGGTATAAATAGGTATAAATAGGTATAAATAGGTATAAATAGGTAAAAGGGGAAAGGGGTATAAAGAGGTATAAAGAGGTATAAAGAGGTATAAAGAGCTATTAGCTTTAGTTTGAGATGTTAGCTTTCAAGTTTTTTTCATAAAACTCAAGAAGATTTGAAGTTTTCTATAAAATTTTCGCGAAATTTCAGGTCGGAATCACTCAACAAGGACTCGACCGTGTCCTCCGCGAGAATATGCCAAAGGTTTGTTTTTTATTCTCAAAACTAATCTTTTGTTTTTGCTTAATCTATAGATTCAAAGATATTCAATCATTTTTCATTCCCATTTCTATTCCCATTCAAATTTCCATTTCCAGGTTGAGTCAATCCGCTCAATCGATGACGTGATCACGCGCGGAAAGCGCTCGTTCTTCGAGCAACCCAAGCAACTCCTCCAAGTAAGTAGCTTATAGATTTAGAAGATACAGTAGCTTATATTATCTAAATACCTATTTACGGTACTCTTTTTTCCAGGGACTCTTCAACAAATTGAGCATCGTCACCCGTCGTCGCTCTGACGATTCCGAGAAGGACCCACATGCAACGATTTACATCCGCTATCGCAACATGGACTACGCCTTGATCCCACTCGATGAGCAAATCATCTCAAAGGTTTCTTTTCAATGTTAAGGCTCGTAAATAGGTCTAAAACAGCTTATCTTATAGAAGAGACTGTACAAAGAAATCTAAGAGAAATCTCTTCTAATTTATGATAATTTTCAAATATTCAATCGAGTATTTTTATTTAGGTCATGCAAAACGTGATCTCTGGAGATAAGTTGAACCTCGAGCAACTCGAGCAAATCCTCGTCCGCGGAACAAAGCTCAACGTCAAGACCGCCTCGATGATCTATGAGGTTGGAAAGGAAAGGAAAATCTTGATCTCATTCTTATTCACAGGTCACTCGCATCTTCCCAACCACTTTCGGTATCACGATGATGGTTTCCACAAAGATGCCCGTCGTCTCATCCATTCAACTCAACGCCAAGGCTGATCTCCTCCCCAAGGGAGAGTCAAGCCTCAACGGAATCCGCGTATGTTCACGTAGAATGAAAATCCTAAAACTTGTGTTGTTTATCTTTGGAAAATCCTAAAATACAAGAGCCTTATTTAACTTTTTACTCTTTATAGACACTTTAAAGAGAACAAAAAAAGCAAAAAGGTTTTGGCAATTTTACCCAACGTTTTTTCTCTAGGCTGAGATCATTGGCGAGCCCTCTGTGACCATCACTCATCTCTGCCAATCGATGACCCTCTCGCCAATCGTGCACACCGGAATCAAGCTCCAGAACTCGATCCTCGCCGTTTTGCCCATCGATGTCACCATCCAGGTAATGAAAAATTACTTTCTAATAAACAAGAGCTTTCTAATGATTCAAAGCCTTGTAAAAATACATTTATTTACATGAATAATGTGATATAAACAATGCATAAGCACAACCTAATTATGGGGAAGAAAAAAACCCATATATATGGGAAAAAGAACCAACAATCTGGGGTTTGATACAAGGCTCTTAGATACAAGAACCGACTAAGATACAAGGCTCTTAGATACAAGAACCGACTAAGATACAAGGCTCTTAGATACAAGAACCGACTAAGATACAAGGCTCTTAGATACAAGAACCGACTAAGATACAAGGCTCTTAGATACAAGAACCGACTAAGATACAAGGCTCTTAGATACAAGAACCGACTAAGATACAAAGCTCTTAGCCAGTCGGCCATGATCATATTAGTTTGAAATTTAAAGTTTACTAATCTATGGAAATAATTTCAAGGCCGAATACCGCAACAAGGAGTTCACGATGGAGACGATCTTCAAGTCACCCCGCGAGGAGAAACTTCTCTTCAAGGCACTCACCCGTCCAGTCACCTACATCCGCAAGGTTTGTGATTAGCTTTCTATTTAGAGGACTTTATAGTACCCCATTTTTCCTATCCAACATTTGCATATACACTTGCTATACTTTTCTTCTTCTTCTTCTTCTGTCGATTCCTGTCGTTTTATGGCTCAAATTGGTTCTATAATAGAACTATTGGAAACATTTTCAGATGAAGATAACAGAAAATAATATCAAATATTATATTTATATGTATCATAATCTATTTTATAGAAAATTTACTATTTATCTTTTTGTTTAGGTTATCGGCGAGTCTCGTCGTTACGCTGAGCCCACTGAGAAGATCATCTATGTGCCACGTTTCGACAAGATGAACAAGGAAGTTGACTTCGTTTTTGGAGAAGAGGTTCCTTTTCTAAAAAAGCATTTATGATATCGTAGTCTATTCTAAAAAAGTTTTCTAATCGTAATCCTTTATCTAGATGACCGGAATGGGCTTCCACTTGACCGGAAATGTGTACACCAAGTTCGACAACTATCAAATTCTCCCAATCGTCGCCAACGAGAAGCAGGTAGATAAAAAGATATCATAGATATCTAGTATTTATATAAATTTACATTTATAGTTGATTAGACATTTATAAAGCATTTTTAACTTCCCCAATTTTTAGATGGAGATCCGCGCTCTCATCACCGACGAGACCCCACGCGAGTACAAAGTAAGAAAAACAGAAGGATTAGATTTGTTAGCTTAAGTTTAGATCTATATCTACAATTTGTTAAATACAAATTTCCAGATTCAATCCGTTGTGCGTCTTTTCGAGGACCTTTCCCTTCCCACGACATCCGTTTTCGATTCGTTCTTCAATGAGGAGAACCGTCGCCACTTTGCCGTCGAAAAGGTACTGTAAAAGTTAAAAATTATCCACTATTTAGATTAAAAAAATAGCTAGAAAATAGATTTCCAGTAAGATAAATGTTTCAGGATTCCACCGAGAGCTTCGAGGAGTCCGAGCGTGAAGAGCTCGTCAAGAAGAACTCGCGCAAGTTCAACCAAGAACCAAAGGTTTTTGATTTGATTATCTATCTCATCTAATAATTATCTATTATCTAAAGCTATATCTATACAATCTAATACTTATCTAACATCTAAACCTATAGATTATCTTTAGGGAACCGGACACTCGTGCAAGATCACCATCGAGTCGATCGGTGGCCGCAAGGAGCGCAAGGCTGAGCTCTCGGTGAGTGAAAAGGAGGAATTAAAGCTATAATTTATAGTGAATCAACTTGCAGAAATCTCTAAATAGTCTTAGATTTATCCAGGAAATATATCCAGTTTTTAGGCGAAAGCCGTGTGCGACAAGGACTCTCTCCGCATGTGCCACTTCTCCGTGGAGGCTCGCCGCTCGCCACTCTTCAAGGGAGAGCGCGACACCTGCAAGGCTCACCTCAACGCCTACACTCTCTTCCCTGAGGTTTGTTTAAGGATTGAACCTTTAACAGTGAAGGGTTAACAAAAAGCCAAATTTGGCTAATTCCAACACCAATTTTAGACCAGCCAATTGAAAGAAAGTTGGCTTTGGCTTTAGCTTAGCTTGGCTTTGTTTTTGCTAGCCCTGCTCGTAACGAGTATACAATGAAATTCCGTTTCAAGCTCAGCATCAGCTCATCATTTTTCATTTCAATCAATTTCAGGAGGCTTCCTCTTTGAAAGAGTTGAAGGAGCAGAAACACCGCGAATTCCACTCGGTCATCCAAGGAAACTTCGGATGTGAGAAGACCAACGAGTTCACCGTCAAGGTTCAAGCTGAGCAAAACAAGGAGATGCGCAAATGGATCAACTACGTCGATACGGTGAGGAAAGAACTACCGTAACTTACTATACTAATCAATCAATTTCAGTCCCGCAATGCCGAGGTTGACAACTTCAAATTGTTGAAGGAGGCCGGCTACCTCAACCAATACAAGATCGACGCCGAGTACAACATCGACAGAAGCTACGAGAAAGTGATCACTCATGTGAGTTGCAATGATGAAAGCACTTAAATGTTTCCATTCAGGGCTACCGTCTGCTCCGCTCGTGGAACTGGTGGAACACTGATTTGGAGATTGTTTCCAACTCGAACAACCGCGTGTCAGCTTTGGTCGAGATTGAGCCCGAGAATCGCCGCTACGTCAACCTCACCATCAACACTCCCGAGACAAAGGTGAGTTGGAATTTTATTTTGAATCTAAACATACTCCAGTCTAATCGTTCGTAAAGATTTAGATATATTAGGAATAAAGAATTTGGAACTAAGAGGGAATTGAACCCTCGACCTTCTACTTACCAGGCTGCTCTACCACTAAAATATTACCGCCTTTGTTTCCCAAAAAGAAATAGGAAAGACAAGGAAGAAAGAGAGCGAAATAGGAAATAAGCTTTCTTATTTGTAATCAACTCTCTAATGATCTCAAAATAATCTCTTCTCTTTTCTAGATGTCGATGCGCTCGATGCGTTGCCCATTCAAGCTTCCTCTTCTCAACGTTTTCCATCCAGTCGAGATGCGCTCGTACAAAACGCACGAGTACACACGCTCGGCGTGCGAGATTCGCTCAACCAAGGTGAATTTAGAGAACTAGAACTCTAGAATTCACTGTACGGCTCTTTCTAAATTCTTTAACCTTAGCAAATACTTAGCATTCAAAAGAGAAATAGAAGAAAGAGATAACGGAATACCTTTGGAAGTACTGTACATAGCATTTAATCTGGATATGAATCAAGTTCTGATTGAATATCTCTTTCATTTTCAGATCCGCACATTCGACGAGGTTCTCTACAAGACTCCACTCACCACTTGCTACACCGTTGTCGCCAAGGACTGCTCTCATGAGGTGAGAAAGATTAGCTAAAAATTTAGATAACTAAATCATTTGATTAATTTGAATTCATTCATTTCATTCTTCCAGCAACCATCATTCTCCGTGCTTGTCAAGAAGATTCGTGAGAGTGGCGAGGAGAAGATGTTGAAGGTTGGCATTGAGAATTGATCTATAAAGATTAGATCTTTATCTAGACCTTAAAAAGGGTCATTGAATCACGTCTACTAGAAATCACTTTATCTTTATCTAAACTTTGAACTTTTTCAGGTTATCACCAAGGAGAAAGTTGTCGAGATGTGGATGGAAAAGGAGGAGTTGATGTGTGAAGTGAACGGAAAGAAGATCAAGGAGGAATCCCTCTCCAAGCACGATATCGTCAAGCTCGCCGATCGTGTTTACAAGATCGAACTTGAGGAGGTGAGAGTGTTAAAAGGGAAACGGGGAGGATACTAATTAGAGTTTGTCTATAACTCTTTTCCAATAAGAACTGCCAGAATTTGGAATTGAATCCCCAGAGTTTTGAGAGAGTCTAATAATCTCAAAAACTTTAAATCATCTGTAGATGATCTAGATCTTGAAGCTCTAGTGGATCCTTGACGTTATCTGTGCTACCTAGAGTGTGTTCCTCGCGAGTAATGCGTTTTTTTAAAATGCACATTTGGGGAAAAAATTACCGTACTTTTAGCAAAAATTATTGCAAAAAAAATGGCGCAAAAATCACGAGCTCCGCGTTATATATGACACTTTTTAAAGATACTCAGCCGTTTAACTGATTTGGTGGAAAATTCCCTTCCAACGTAAAAAAAATGATTTCTTTTTTGAAAAACCTGCGGCAAAAAATTGCTTTTATATTTTTTTTTTTGCACAGGCGCACTTTTTAGAAAACGCATTACTCGACAATTACTCGAGCTATTACTCGAATCAAAAAAATTACTCATACAAATTTACTCGAGTATTATTACTTACTCGCGAGGAACACACTCTAATACTAACGGCTTAACCCAGTTTTTCTAAGCTTAAAAACAAGACTAGATGATGTTCTTTTGCAAATTAATCAGTCCAAAAATTTAACTTTAACTTTTTTCAGCTCTCCGTCCGCTTCGATGGACGTGTCGTTCGTGTCGAGCTTTCTCAACAATTCAAGGTTTGTTTTCAATTTTGAAATTCAAACCAAGATTTAAGGGAGTCCAATGCGGACTTTGCGGACACTACGACGATGATCGTGAGAATGAGTTCCGTCGTGCTGACAATGAACACACTGGTATGTGAATGTTGAACTTTAAGCGCTGTAATTGAAAAGCTAATATGTTTATGACACTTCTTTTTCAGAAGACCTCGAGGAGTTCCACCGCTCGTACTTGGCCGAGGAGTGCAAGGTCGAGGAGGAGAAGGTAACGCTTTGAAAAGCATACTTAAAAGTATACTATAAGATAGAATACTATAAATGGAGTTTATTTGAATATCCGATATTCTTCCAATATTCTTTTCTTTACAGATCAAGGAGAAGAAGAACTACGGCCGCGTCGAGGAGTCCTCATCCGAGGAGCTCTCCGTTTTCGAAGAGATCGATCTCGCCATCGCCATTTCCGACAATGATGGTTTGTTTTGTAGATAATATTTGTAATTAAAAATACAGTTTTCTCTTTATTTCAATGATTTCATCGATATCAAGATCAAGAATAAGAAAAACAAATTTTTTTTTGGTTTAAAAATCTCGGGATTCATTTTCAATCCATTTTACTGTCCAAAAGGGTTTTAGAAATTAAAATTTTAAATGTTTACATGAAGATTTGTGCTTGTATCAATATCATATATCAATTCTCAATTTGCAGAGCTCATCGAGCGCCAACAAGTGATCGAGTACGCCCATCGCACTTGCTTCTCGCGCACCGCCATCAAGGAGTGCCCACGTGGAGAGCCTTTCCGTTCCGAGAAGGTACAAATTGCAATCATTTTTTTTTGATAGATTCTTGATATTAATAATCTTTCAAATCAGAATATTGATAATCTTTGAAAATCTTTCAAATTTATCAACAAAGTTATCAAATCATTTCTAGGTGAACCTCCGCTTCGTGTGCTTCCCACGCGAGTCCAAGGAAGCTCTCCAATTCATCCGAGAGTCAGTTTATTTCTAAAGTTCAGTTGCATAAACTAGCCAGAAATTAGATTGAAATGGTTTAGCTTTTTATTAGAAGAAATTTATCAAATCTGTTTCAATGAAAAGTGATTGACCAAACTAGTATTAGTAGTTAGTATTAGAGGTGTGTTTTCGGAACTAGTTAGTATTAGAGTGTGTTCCTCGCGAGTAAGTAATAACCAAACAAACCAAACAGAATAGGAAATGGTTTTCGGTAGAAAATCCGAAAAATAAACTTCACCCCATCACGTCGTCTATTTAGCATTAACTTTATATGCTGTACAGATTATTTATGTAAAATTTCTAAATCACGAAATGAAAATTCTAGGATCCGTCGTGGCCCAATCTCGCTCGAGTCCTTCCAAGACTCGTTCGTTCAAGGCGTCAAGTCGGCCATCCAATGCCGTGCCTAAACACTCAACACCAACAAAAACAACAAAAAACATTAGAATCCCAAGATCGTCTTCTAATAATTCCTGTGTTTTTTCTAATATGCAATAAATTCATTCATTCAAGCAACTAGTTTCTCGAAGAAAAAGCACAATTTAAAGTTTCTCAATGAAATTTGCGAGTTCAACATCGCGACTGCTTAGCCCGCTGCACTCATGAGTAGCCAAGAGGATTCGCACCTGAAAATTCTAGCGTTTTGAAAACTCAAAGCCTACAATAATTTTTTTAAAGCTTTAAACAACTATGAACTTTAAAATTGGATGATTTTTGATTTGATTTTGATTTGATTTGAATTGCTGGATCTTCTGCTGGACAATTGCTTGATCTCCTCACCGTATTGTAGACGTTGAACCACTCGGGATGATGGTCCATTTTGTCCGCTTTTAGCGCGATTCGTGTCATGAAACCGAAAGCCTAAAAGTCAATTGTTTGATCATTAGCTGAGTGTTTACAATAAAATAATACACCAAGAAATTCACCATATAGACAAGAGATAATACACCAAGACAGCTTTAGTCAAACCGAGCTAGGATGTTAGCTACGTAACTTTACCAGAAATCAGGCTAACGATAAAGCTAAACCAAGAAAAAACCAAGAACGAACTGGTGAAGTCAGACTAGATTAGTCCATAAACCATACCAAGATTACCTTTTAGCCTGATGCTGGTCTCAGTTCTAACCATTATGACTCATTTTGCAGTTAAACAAACCTCATTGAAATCCTTAAATTTGAATGTTTTCTCAATGGCATCCCTTCCCTCAACCATCGCCCATCCTTTTCCCAACAATGGCTCGATTTTCTCTTGCCTTTCCGCGTCGGTCAGTTTAACGATCTACAATTTATAGACACTAAACCACTTTCAAAATTTAGTACAAATTTAGAGCCTCTAGAGTTCTAGAGTTGGGTTCAAAGCTAAACCAAGCCAGTCGACGACTTGCACCCTCGATTGGCTTTCTAGTTTGTTGGGATAGATTCGGCTAAATGTAAAGCAAGCCAACCAGTTGAGACTTTGGGAAGTAAAGTTGGATACTGTTGCCTTACTGTTGGATACGCCGGTCCTTTTATGGCATGGTTGGGGCTGAGAATACAAAACATGATCGACACTGGGATTCGAACCCACGACCTCTCGAGAGCAAGCGAAGCAAGCACTCTACCAATGAGCTAGCCCGACACGTGTTCGATTGCCGCTAGAGTAGAGCTTTATGCCTTACTGTAGCACTTGTATGGCTGTTTGATTAAAGCAAAGGAAACATACCGTCATTCTTCCAAAAGAAAGAGAAATACGAGTGAATAGGAAATGGGTTTATTGACTGAAAAAAGGAGCGATTCGATATCTAGTTGTGTTGTGTTGGGGTGGGATCAACCCCCCCAAGTATCGGTCCTTTTTGCCCTTTTTTGGCGGATCAAATCCTCCAAAAGGTTCCCAATATTTCCGCACTCACAAACGCTCCTTTTCTCGTTGTGTGTTGTGCAAAAAAGGCAATTATCTCTTTGCGCTCTCTTCTCTTTTGTTTTCTCTTAGCCAATGGCCTCGTTGAGTATCGCTATCTTGCCTACTTTGCAGATTTGAAAATAAATAAATAAATTATTGATGGTGATAAATAAATGGTGAAACTTTTGCTTTGATACTAACAACTAATGTTGTTTTTTTTACTTAAGTCTACTTTAGAAACCTACCGTAAACCGCGAATTTACATTCAATCATTTAATCAATCCAATAAAATTGAATTCGCATTGATTTTTGGTATAAATTTGGGGGGCTGGCGTATGGTTTTGCACCGGGTGAATTTTCGTTTTTTGGCTGTTACATTTTCCCTATTGATGCTATGTCGATGATTTTTGGGGTTTAAGGGTTATTTTTGGTCCTGAATCTAACTACGTTTTCAGCTTTTTTTCGTCACTGGCACGGAAGCCGCAGAAAATTGAAATTTAGGGGGTGGCGTATGGTTTTGCACCGCACAGAAGATTGGGGATTTTGTGAGCATTCTCTAATTCTTTAAACGAAAGTGAACTAGTTGATGTCACCAAAAATTTGCATTTATTTCTCGATAATTGGGAAACGGGCAATGATTTCTTTCTAGAAATCGAGACAAATAGATGGAAAGTTTTCGTATTTCGGAATCCCAAAAAGAGCTTTTGTTCGAAGCTGAGATTATGGGTTTTGATGAGGATCTGGAAATTGGATAATGAGCCACTTCTGTCGACTTTAAGACACTTATGAGCACAATCTTATTCTTGCTATATTCTTGCTGGAAAGTATTCAATGAATCTGCTTTCCTATCTTTAATCTTTAAATAATCTTAACCTAAGTGTTCATACCGTAAATACTGTAATAGTACCCGACCCCCATAATGACGGTGCGGATTGTCGTGTAGTCTAGCTTTGAACGAGTTTTTCTCGGCATTGGTTTATGCTACAATGCGCGCTTAGGTATCAAAAAATGGCCCTGAATTTCAGCTATTCTTTGATACCAAAGACACATTTTTTGAAAGTACGGGCGCTTTAAAAAAAATGAAATACTAAAAAACTTTTGCGACTACGCGACCGTACGAGGGGAGGGTGGGGGACTATTAAAGTATTTACGGTAATTTGTTTAGTAATTTGTTTACTATAAAACTACTATAATTTGTTTAGTAATTTAGTGAGTTTAATGCAAAAAAATACATTATTCTGTTATAAATCTTTCAAAATCGGACCTAAGATATAGAGATTCGACTACGCGACTGTACGAGGGCGGTGGGGGACTTGCATATCGGTCACTGCGATAAACGCTGACACGGTCACGAATAGCAGCACGACACACTCTGTAATCATCGTTCGAGCGGCTCGATAAGCTGGCTTTTGCGTGCAATTCTACAGTTCGTTCCCTGCTTGCACAGTGCATAAACATTTGATTGCTCATTTTACCAGGTACTTAAAAGGTACTCCAGGCACATGTTACTAGACACTATCAGTCACATTTTACCAGGCTATTGGGTTGGTGAATTGAAAACTGCGGAAAACTTTGAACTAAAATTTATTCAACATAAAACCATAAATTCTATTACAGTATTTACGGAAAGTGTCTTAAAGTCGACAAAAGTGTCTCATTGAGTTAGTCTTATGATACAAAAATTGTGTTGATCGAATGATTACGATAGCTTTTCAAAAAAGATCTTTTATAGAGCACGCAAAAACGCAAAAGCGCCTCTCAAATCAGCTTTTCTTGCTTTCTAAAGCATTTCAAAAGTACCGTACCTTAAACTTTTTTGTACTGTATCCAGAAAATTCCCTTATCTAATAAATATTTTTATCTAAAATCAAAGAAATTAAAAATTTTCGGTAAATTTTATGATGACAAGCGATTATTATGTTCATTTAGAAATGAAAATGAAAGCAGAAAAAAAAGCACACAAAACAGGAGGAAAAGGCGAAGAGAAAAAGGGCAAAAAAAAAAAAACAAAAATAAAAGAAAAAAGCTCATCACAGTGATGTGAAACAGTGAAACATTATGCAAAAAGTTAGGCAAAAATATATAAATGGCGGAGGTTTAAAAGTTTAAAAGTATTGTAAAGTCTGAATATCTTCTCTCATTACAGTTCAGGGATCAAGACTGAATATCTTTAAATGTCTTCAGTTTAAGAAAGAACTTTAGCTTTAGCTAAATACTTTGTATTTCTCAAATGATCTGTTGGGGTAGGCTAATTTCCGCAATTCTTTTTTTGCGCAACAGGGTCATTTGCGCAGTTCGCCATAACTTTCTTTCTTCTAAGTCGGCCAATCTTTATGCTTTTGGTTTCATTTTGTTGCACTTATTGAGATCTACAAAATGAAACCAAAATCATAAAGATTGTTCCACTTAAAAGGAAGTTATAGCTAGTTGCGGAAATTAGTCTACCCCCATCTGTTTTCTAAAACGTGTCACTTTCTCGACTATCGTAATCTTGGCTTATCGAAAAAGATTTTAACAATAGCGAACATCTTTCAAAATCATCAATTAAAAATGAAAAGTATTTCATCTTAATACTTCAATCCCGGCATACTGTAATGAAGCGGAAAAAGAAGCGACTCGTATGCACCAAGTAAAGAAAGCGTTTACACGAAAGTCATCTAAGAAAATTTCCGATAATCTAAAACGATTTACTGTAGGTATGATAGTTTTAAGTTCACAGAAATTGCACCGTGAAAAAAATAATGACATGGAGGCGGATGAAGAACGATTTTAATGTCTAAACAATTATAATGCAAAAAAAAAAGTGAATCAAGAATCAAGAAGCGAACGAAGGAAATACAAATAGAAAAGGCAAATGGAAATTTGATATTGGGATTACTAGACTGGTTTCTTTCCTTTTTCTAAAATGTGTCATAAACTACCGTAAATTTTGTCTCTAGTTTTCATCCAATCTTTCCACGTTTGGTCGATTTTGTGCCTTTTCACAAAGGGTATCGAAAGATACAAAAAGTGATTGGATTAGATAAAAACTAGAGCCAGGATTACGGTAATTTCTGACACGTTTTAGCGAACGGTTTATTCGGAGCGGTGCCATCCAAGTAATCGTTCAGCAAGCAATCGTATTAAACAGCAAGGCTATCAAAAAGAGTGCCAACTTTTAAAAGTATCTACCGTAAATATTCTAATAGAAGAGCTCACTATAGGAGCGCCGCGTAGTCGAAGTTTACACTTTAAGAATGGCGTGCAGGCACAAATGTCTGGTCGTCGGAGATATGAGTGTTCTTTGAGTGTAAACTTCGGCTACGCGACGCTCATATAGGGGGCTCTTCTATTAGAATATTAAGGTATGTAGTGGCAATGTTATACACGACTTATCCACTGATCCGCATCCTCGTCATCACCGATCGTCACATAGGTGATATGATTGGCCGAATGGGTGACACCCGGTGGCTCAGCGGAAGGCAATTGGGGTATCCTAAATGAGAAATGTAAGAAATTCAAAATTTACCATATTATTAAGTACTACCATAGTTTAAATCTGGTCTACCACTTTCCTTTAGCCTAAACCTTTTTGCCGTCTAGCATACTTAATTACTTTTAAGGGGTTTTAAGGGTGCTCGGTCTCGGTAAATCCAATAGCTACAGTGCACTTCATGATTAATTACAATTCAATGCTCAACTGGACTAAAGCTATTTTAAGCTACAAGCTTTATTTTGCCCAAATGTCATACCTTTTCGGTGTTTTCACTTCGGCATCGGCAGTCGGCGACTCATCATTGTCCCCACCGCGTACCACAAACACCTAAATAATCTTTATGGTATTTTTATCTAGCTATTGTATATGAAGATAAGATTTCAAGTTGTGTTTACCATTTTGCCCGAGTGTTCATCCTGAATTCCCACCGTTCGTACCGGTGAGTTCTGCGCACCATCGGGCGTCCGATTTTGCACATTGTCATAGGTACTGTTTCTGATCATCGAGTCGTTTGATCTGAAAATAGGTTTTAGATCTATCGTATTTTCTGCACTTATCGATCATTTAAAGACGGCTCAAAGACTTGAGAGTTAATAGCGCCAAATGTGGGGAGTCTTAGAATTTTTTTGGGGTTGCCTGGGTCCAACTTTATTGGAAAGAAAAACTTTTTTTCTTTTCTTGTGAAGGTGGACAGCCTAGATGTAGGATACGGTAGGTTAGGCTAGCCTGAGCCAGATCATCGGGTGGGTATGGACAAGTTTGATTAGTTAGATCCCTTTTGTATTACCCTAAATCTACAAACTGCAGGATGAAAGATGGTGTGCTAAAATATCATATGCCAGATCTGCTTGACGTCACGAATTTCAATTATCTATCACGCATTACCTCGAGACCGCTTCCGGGTTCCCCCTCGTTCGCAACGAATTCGACGAAAGTTGGCTGAATCGAATTTTTGAGGTTACGGTTTTCTTGTCTACCTTGGAGGGAGTCTTCCCTGTGAATGTGCTTTCATTTGTTCTCTCCCCGCTAATCCCATCGGTCGAACCGCTCGAGTATTCGAGGCTGACGTGGAAAAGCCGGAATTTGACTCTCTCAATGAGCCACGGGACGGAATCTGAAATAACATGCTCAAACTGATAGCTGGTTTTTCACCTGGAAAGGCACTTGATGGCTCGGAATGGCTGTCTCGTTTATCGGACTAGGCCCTGTATTAAGATCTGAATTTCGTAATTGTTGTTAGTTCAATTATTGTTGTTACCTTTCTTTAACGGAGTTGCGGGTAATTGATAATTTCGGTCATTCCTGCGCCGACTTTGCGGAGTTCGGCCAGTTGCAACGGCTGAATTTTTGAATTGTTGTCTTATTGATTTCTGAGTAATTCATTTTAAGTGTTTTACTGATCAATGATTACGGTAGTCAGTCCTTTTACAACTGTAGGAGAAAACAAATGCTTTAAGGTAGATTTTCCAGCTAATTTTCTGTTGTTGTAGAAATTCCTAGACAGCGTATTTCTAGAGTTCTTGGCTTGATAAATTGATAATCTCGCCCGCTTTGTGATTGCTATTTGTTAAATAACCCTTATTTGTTATTCGAGTGAAAAAAGCACAAATCCACTTAGTATTTAATATTTCTTAATATAAAGAAAAAAGTGAAAAATATTAAATATGCACCAAAAACGACGAAAACACTCATTATTCTTATTACTCACAAAGTAGGTTATTTCTTTACAATTCAAAAAGTGCTAGGAAACTCTACTAGTATTACAATTAGCTCGACTTGATCGACTCCGCAATTCCGACACTTGATCCTGGATTTCTTTCAGTGAACGAGCTAGCACTGGACCAAAAGCCTTTGTCGGTCTCTAAAAAAATAAATGTTAAGAGTGAGACAATAAAACACAAGTTTGTTCAGGTTTATCTTTCGTTCAAATATGATACCTTCAATAATTAAAACAAAACAAACCTCGGGTAATGCTCCGGGGCCTGGTGGTGGAGGGCGTTGTGTACGATCACTCTAAAATTACTCATAAAAACAGTAATCACATCTACAACTCACAATCAATTTTGTCAGCACTTCTCGCAACGATTTCATCACCTCATCATCTGGAAATTGAAAATCCTCGGCCATCGTTGACTGAATAAACTCCATAAACGTCTCCAAAGTTAACTTCCGTATTGTTCCTAAACCAAAAATATGTAATTAATAAAATTTTTGAACAAACTTTCATGCATTTTCATAATGTTAATAGCCATAGCCATCAGTATCGTGTCACCCTCATAAAGAAAAACATCCCAAAGTCTCAGAGCAAGCGGAAAAGGTACCCGATCCTGAATTAACCCAATAATCATTACAAAAAATAAACTTGCCAAGAAACACCCGAACCACCATTTTGTTAAATAGATGTAGGGAATTCCCTCCTTTTCCTAAACATACATTATCATATACCAATTTGCAAACTGGAAACTCACAAATTGTTTGTACACTTTTGGTTTATACTTTTTGAGAATTTTCTGAAAGTGCTCTTCAAATCGTTGAAGTTTTGGAAAGCCGGGCACAAAGAAACCTGCAAAAAATATATTAAATACTACTCTTGAAAAAAAAATACACAGGGTGTCCAAAAAAAGATATTTGAAACCGGAATTCCTAAGAATTTCTGGTGGCCAGAGGTGGTCGGTGTGGTGTCATTGTGAATCATTTCTGCTCTAAAATTTTTCATATTTTTTCATAAAACGCATATTTATGAAAAAATAAAAAATTTCAGAGCACAAATCCACTATGACACCACACCGACCACCTCTAGCCACCAGAAATTCTGAGGAATTCCGATTTGAAAACGCTTTTTTGGACACCCTGTATAACCCACCATGCATTGAATGCCTTTCGGAAATCATTAAAGCGTGAAGACACCAGAAAGCCTCTTCTTCATCAAGAAACATCAGGAAAAGAGCAACGATTTGGGACATTCCCTGAATAAGAAAAGTTGATAGCTGATAAATAAATCGTTCACCTGACAATAACCGATCTCCGTGTTGTACATCGAATAAGCAGCCAGTACGTTTAACAAAGATCTTTGCCTGAAATGATATTATTGTTTTTGATTTTGAAATGAATTGCTATTCAGTCGTTAAGTGTTAATACTAATTAAAACCGTTACTTGATATCATATCGTCTGCGAAACGTCTGATTGTCTCGATATGTTCGATTGATGTCTAGGTCAATTTGTTTGATGTCCTTAGATATTAATCGGGCTCTGTCCACTAGTTTGACGTAAATCTAAATAATGAGATCGATCAGCTGTAAATAAAATTTTTACATCGTCTCCTCTGTTTTGGGCTTTCAGCTCCTCAATTCCAAGTAACTTAGGCCATACCTAAAGTGGTTCAATTTCAAACAAAGCGCACACGTAACAAAAATAACTTTTAGGCTTAAAGCTTTATGTAAATCTTACTCGTATCCGTAGCTTGAGAGGCACTCCTTTCCACACTCGTTCATTTAACTTTTTCACCGGGCGTTTCGCGTCCCATTGTGATAACATCGAAAGCCATTTTTTCTCGCGTTTGATCTAAAGGCTCGACATTTGAAAGCTGCTATGGTGCATTACGATTGGTTAAGCTTGTGACGTTAAAAAAAATTGCAGTTAAGCCCTTGTGAAAAAAGAAAATTCCAGGAAATCTTTTGAAAGATCGACAGATAGTTAAAAACGGTTAATCGCACCAAAATTGGAGCTTCCTTTTTTCTTTGTACCAACAAACGGGACTAAATTTTGTTAGTTAGTAAAATAGTTATTATGGTTCGTCAATAAAATCTTACTTCTGTTTCTATTCGTTCTTTTTCACTTTTAGCACGATCAGCTTCCGATAGGCCTTCTTTGCTAAATTTATATTTATTGTTAAAAACACATGAACCAAACTGTATAAAACCGTGACGATCTGTCTTTCTGTACACATCCCAATCGGGGTTCTCCCAGTCATCGATCCTCGGATTCTCAGGTCCCTAAATAAATCCATTAAAACGTATTTTTTTTGAACCCTTTTAAGATTAAACTGATATCATTCGAAAAGCTTTACCTTTTCATACATTTCGATAATCCTTTCTCGCTCGATTTGCTCCAACACTTCCGGGTCGTCGCTTTCTGCCTCTTCACTAGATGATGCGACAACGTCATCAGAAACTAAAATAGAAAAGTTGTAAAAATAATATTCACATTTCTCACTTAAACTTCTGACGCTATTGTTCAGAAACGCTGGAACATGAAGTTTAGCCGAGAATAGTTCAACCTTCTTCTTACTCTCGCGTAACTCGGTGCTAATTTTATCAGCTCGTCTCTTTAGAGGATCACTAAGAGTGTTTTGCACTTGCTGTCGAACACGTAAGCTCATTGTTCGCAATATAGGGGCCACTTGAGTCATCGTATCGTCTATTCCTTCGATAAAACCATCTTTGAAGTTGGCCGATATCGACTCAGAAATGCATGGATTTTTAGGGTGACTATTTGAGGGAAACAATAAATTTTTTGTTTGAGTGCTGCTTTGAGTGGATTGATTTCCTGAAGAAAAGTTCAATTCGCGACGACGACGGATTGGTGTTCGAATTTCGTCATCCGACGAATCACTTTGCGCCTCATTAGATTTAGCAGCCAATATTTCGGTTTTAATGACTGGCTTTGCTTCCATCCTTTGATTATTCAGCGAATCATTATTCGGAGCAAAGATGCGAACGTTTGAGCTTACAATAACCAGTTTTTCTTGCCGAATACTCGTAGGGACCACTCTAATATCACTGCAACAACATGGCATAAACGCTGAAATAAGAAGTACAAATTAAAATATGAAGAGAAGAGATAGGCAAGGAATGAGAGCAAAAGATCAACTATATGAGTGCAAGAGAGCCGAGAGACAAAGAGGTAATTCGATCTGAGCACTCAAGCATGACTATTATAAATATGCAAGAAGTTTTTTCTCGAAAGAAGCACCGCCGACGATCGCTAATTAGAGATCTCCCAAGAAGGAAAAGAACAATCCCTAAAAACCTCACCACAAAAATGGGGCGCTAATTTTGTCGGGCTGTGAAAATTTTAGGGTATCCATGGAAACTCAAGAAAAATCCAGGAAAATGGGGGAGAATCCTCGGAAATTATGTTCAACATTTGCCCCGGGAATTCTTTAAGCTTTACTTCTTTGAAATCGGGAGATACCTGTATGTAATTGAGGTCGGTGCTTCATTGCTTTTTCCTCTTCTTCCCCCGAAGATGTCTCATCGCCAAGAATGTCCGTCTCTTGTATCTAAAAATGTAACCTTGATATAATCTTTGCAAGATTGATATAGATTTGTAAGACTTTTTAACGACATGATCATCAAACTTTTATTTAGAACTTAATACAAACCTGTGAGTCAGAAGTTGGATAGGTTCCATTCTGTAATCGCACATCCTTCTCGTTCCACACTGTCGGCCGCATTCGATTGCCTGAGCTTGAATCTCGCGAGAATTCGGTAGTTGACGGTTGAAATCTAAATTTAAAAGCTTATACTCTATTTTATCAAGTCTTACTTGAACTGGGATGGCCGGGGCTCATAATCAGGCTCCTCAAAACCTTGAACAAATCCTGATGTTAGTTCTTCATATTGAGAGTACTCTTTCGAATAAAATCTAAAGAAAAGAAAATGAATGGGCAGAATAGTAAATAGTAAAAAACAAAATTTAACAAATACTCACCTTCCTCCATTCAGCGGTTGTGGGAAATTCGGTGGATGTGCTTGAGGTGAGGTGCTCCATCCCGGTGAAGACATCTAGAAATTTTTACTTTTCTAAAAAACACCAATTTTTGCAAGTTTGTCATTTAAATGGCATAGCCTTGAGGGGTTGGGGAGAAGGCTTACAGAGAAAAGAGACAAAATCAATGAGGAAGAGGTGAAAGAAAAGCGGTGGAGAAAAACTGCGTGTGACCCCAAAAAAGAGAGAGTAGCAACTTTTGCATATTTCTCCCGGAAAAGGGGAATTGTGTTTGAGAGAAAGGAAAGGTGGTAGAGACCCAGAGGTAAGTGATAGTTTAGACAGAAATGGGGTTTTCAAGGCACAATTTGGATACTTTTAGCAATGATAGATAAGCTTTGGTATAAATAACACAACTGTTGTACATAACTATCAATTTTAGCCCAATAAAGTTTCAAGTAAATGTCTCGAAAATAAACAGCACTAGAAAGATAATCACTCATCAACTTGACCAATAATCAATCAAAAAATCTTCAAAATAAGGAGATCAATGTGATTGGAGACTTTCCCCCTTCAAATAACAAACAGTCGTCAGTCTTGAAAGGAAAAGAAAAGAGTGGTCGATTGTAGGAAAAAGAAGAGGACGGCAACCAAAAGAAGAAAGGAAAAGAATGCACAAAGTCTTTCACGCGGAAGCGGACCCACACACGCACACTTGTATGAGCGAGGGAAGAGAAAATCAACAAAAAAAAGAGATTCGATTGAATTTTAAAGTTTTGCACAGCCCATTATTATTTTTGAAGCAGCTTTTTATGACGTCACATTTCAATACTTGTCTATAAGAAAAATCGTCACCAGTATGTGCAAAATTTGACTCTTAGAATCTAAACTTAACTTATGTTTTGAATGTCATGAAAGATGCGAAAATTATCTAATTCAGAGATTCATACGTTGTACGACAACGAAATAAAACTGGAACCCGTTTACGGCAATTGAAAGCCCCAATCATCCACTCCCCAATAAAATCGCAAAAAAAGCGATCGAAAGAGAAACCGGCATATGTATTGGAACAAGACCAACATGCGAAAAAAATGATCCATTCAAAATGTTTATTATGTACATTTCAAACAAAACAAACTTAAACAATTATGTCTAACTACTATCTAATAAACTCTTTGAAAACAACAAACAAAGTAACAAAAATTCCTAGTAACTAACTAAATTTACTTTTTGTCCATTCTACAGCTTTTTCTGCTCGATCATAAACGGTTATGTTTCTTGTTTCTTCATTGAGTCCTACACTGCCAATCACCATCAAAAGCATTATCACCGGTAGGTAAAGCAATGAAAAAAAGAAAAGCTTTCTCGAGTTTTTCGAATCCGGCGCTTTATAGAACTTGTATGATAAATATACCTAAAAGTGAAAATGATCACTAATTGATGTAAATCACCCACCAGCAAAGCGTTAATCGGCAATGAATCAATCGCAAAAGAGACTGTTGTCAATCCAGTGAGAGGAGCAGCTATCGAACACAATCCAACAAGAGCCAAAGAATGTCGCAATGAGGTCACTCGACAAAGGCGCTCATTCGTCACGCACATCACTCGGTATCCTGCCTAAATAAGTGATTAGGACAAGAGCATATATTAAAATTTACACATTTATTTTCAAACTAAAAGCCAATTTCCGAATAACAAATAATCAACCCACCTTACTATAGTCGGGCCTCAAATTCCAAGACAATCCATTAAAGTGTGGAAATTGCCAAGAAAATAGAATACCGGCCAAACATCTAAACAATCAAATGTACTCAAGGCACATGGGTTTAAAAAAGTACTATGCACTTACAAAGAGGCCATATCTAAGGTTCCAGAAGCAGCCGCATAACCCATTAGCGGAGGAATCGCTCCTACCTAAACAGAAATTGCAAAAAAACATTAGAGAACATAATACCAAAGCACCGGCCCATGTACATCCAATATGCATCCTCTTCAGCGGCGTGTAAACACCAGCGTATAACAAAAAGTTCACTGCCCCTAGGTAGGCGGTAATCGGGTTACAAACTAAACAAAAATTTCTTTGTATAAGTAACTTTCATATTTGAAATTTTGAGTCATTTTTAAACAACTCAAACAAAACTTACCACTGTAAAGCAGCCCACACCCTACTGCACTTGTAACACCAGCAAATGTGAGTGCATGAAGAGGAGAAAATCTAAACAGAAGTTTCTGCTAACTATTGGAATCCATTCGCTACAATCAATAGCAAATAATACCTGTGAACTACAAGAACTCTCGATTGTGTTCGTTTCATTTGGGCATCATACGGCGCCTCCAAGAGTTGATTACAAGCATTTGCTGCTGCTGATAGTAGAGCTGTACCCGCTGAACAGGCCAACAATGCTGGGACGGATATTGGTCCTGTCCCCACAAGATACCTAAACATCCAGCATAATTTTTGGCTGTAGATATTCTTTTACCCTGCAGCTGCCGTGCTTGTGATGAGCATGGTGAGCTTGGACTTTGATAATTGTAAATATGAAGAGATAAGTCCTCGCGGTTCCATTTTGTGCCAAGCAGATAGGTTTACTTCTGTTTCTGGCACTAAAAAAAGACTTTAAAACAAAAAGGATAACACTGTTATGGATAGTTCAAAAACGAATAACTTACAGAAAAGTCCTGTGTCTGCATTTTTCCGCGTCCTTGCTTTCCGTTCCAGATTTATTGTATTTGTTGGGAAGGGCTAAAATGAAACAACAATGAGAAGCTTTAATTTTGCAACTAACATTTGGTTTTAGGGGAATTGTTTCGTTTCCTTTTAAAAGCTCATCTTCATGTGGTTTCGCTCTTGGTAACGAAGCGTACCTCGTACACCTAAACAATAATAGTGATAATTTTCAGTAGTTTCAAAATTATAATAGTCAAGCACTCACCCAATGCTGCTCGTCGATGTACATGGAGATAAATAGTGATATCTTGAGACGAGTGGCGACAATATTCGATTCCCTTTACAAGATATCATCTAAAAATTGAAACTTTATAAATCAAAAAGACATAAAAAGGTTAAAACTTGAAAATTTTGTTAAAAAGTAGACTATGAGTCATAAAGAAAGCTGCAAAAACGATTAAAAAACAACAAAAAAATTTAGGAACTAGCTTTTATACTTCTGAAGTACCGCCCCCAAGTGTCCCCATATGAGGAAACCGAAAACGAAGCATTTCAGTATCAAAAAGTGGGGCTTGGGTACTTGGGGGCGGTACTTCAAAAGTATATTAGCTTTGAAACCGAATGTTTGCTCAATAAAACGATCCAAGAATTTTTATATATCACTATTTTTTATATATCATTTTGATATATTTTTATATATCACGATTCAAAAATTATTCAGGCAAGATATTAAAATTCTTATTTCTCCTTTTAAGAAGTTATAAACAGTTTTGAGTGCCAAACGATTGGGTAGTTGTACCTATTTTCTAAATTTCTAATTAAGTTATTATTGATCTTCAGTGAATAATACATAATAGCCATAACATAAACAGCTTGTTGCTCATCGCTTTTTCTCTCTTATGTGTGAAGGGGCAAAAAGTCGGCGAAACTTGTCCACTGGCTACTGTTTTCGGTCATTCAGTGTTTCGTCTCGTAGTGCGGCACTTTTGAATCGCGCTTTTTGAAAACCAGCACCTGACCTGACTTTGTTTTTATGTTCGTTTAACAATTTGCCTCTGGATTCTTCGATTTTAATTTTTCTTTTTTAGGAAATGGCCAGAGTGAACATCGTGAGTGTGAACTTCGTCGACAATCCGTGCTCCTTCAAGCAGAAGTTCAAGCTCGAGGTCACCTTTGAGGCGTTTTCACATCTTGAGAAAGGTAAATTTGTGTTTGATAAATGAAATTAGTAAGGCTAATAGTAAGTGTAATAGCTACAAGTTTTATTGGCAATAATTGCTCAATTGTTTCTTATCGTTGATTTAAATACCTATTTGCGTACTGCTAGAACCACACCATAGCGTTTATTCTATTTTCAAAATCATTCTTGTTTTAGATATTGAATGGCAGCTCATCTACGTCGGCTCTGGTGCAAGCAGTGAACACGACCAGCTTCTCGACTCTGTTTTCATTGGGCCTACACCCGAAGGACGACATCAATTTGTTTTTGAGGTTGTGATGTTTGGGTGTTTGTGTATGCCCCGTTTTTTTTAGACTGATCCGGCTGATGTATCGAAAATTCCAAAAGATGACCTTCTTGGTGTAGCCGGGCTCTTGCTCAAGGCGAAATACGATGGACAGGAATTCATTTGTCTCGGCTGGTATGTGCAAGTTCAATACAATGAGCCGGAATTCAACGAAAATCCACCAACCGAAACCAATGAAAGCAAGGTATTTTGTTTGCAAAGTAATTGCTCGACTAAAAAATTCTATTTAGCTAGTTCGTCAAGTGATGGTCGACGATGTTCGCGTTACGAACTACCCAATTAAATGGGATGATTTAGTCGTCGATGAACCAATTGTCGAGGAGCCGGTAAGTTTTTATATTGTTAACACATTTTACTGTGTATTCAGATTGGTGACGAAGACATTGCCATCGATCTTGGTGCTGAAAACAGCGAGGAGGAGATGGAAGAGGAATCATCGGATGATGATGATGAGGAGGAGGCCGACGAAGAAGAGTCTGATCTGGGAAGCGAAGATGTAATAAGACATTAGAGATAGATGGCCTATTCATATTTTAGACGGATGATGGAGATGAGGAAGAAATTGAAGACGGCGATGCTGGTAACAAAGCGACCGATGAACACCAGGGTTTGTTTCCATTGATCATGTTTTTGCAAAGTTCAGTTGCGAAGATGTAGCTTAACTTTTAGACATGGAAGTCGAGAATGTTGCCAATGTTAACAACGAGACTAACAAGGAGAAGGCCAACAATGCCTCGACTGAAGAAGCATTAAACGACGTTACCAATGCGTAAATTAACCGGTTGATATTCATTTTTCTTTTAAATTTACTGCTAAATACGTGTACCCCACTGATTGAGAATCTTTGAAATGCTTTTGGGTTTTCGTGTGATTTATCGATCTCAAATAAAGCTTTGCCTAATGTGTTGCAGAACAGCAGTAAGAATTTTTAACTTTTGCGAGGAGAGATTTAAATCATCAAAACTTTATTGCTCTTTATCAACGGACATTTACAATTTGGATTTCTGAGCGTTTTGGAGAATACCCTGAAGTTTTTGGAGCATCATGATGTTTCCCTTTGCCTTCAGCTTGCCAGTCATAAATGCCTGAAAATCTGAGGATGTTTCCGCCTGTTGCAGTTTTCAAATACCTTTGTTGGTTCAAGCTCTCCAGCGGCAATTTTCACGAAGTCTTCATCATCGACCGTCACCGTCACCGAAGCCTGAAAAGTTGTTGATGCGGAATTGTCATTTGTTTAACCTTCTCTTTGGCATCTCCCTCGTACACATCTCCATCGCCGTTTTTCAAGTCAATTGCTGTAAATAGTTGGTTTTTTGTAAAAATAGATATTTTGGAGACTTACTATATTTGCCGATAACTTTCCCGCCGGCAGTAAGCTCGTAGAGGATGATTCCCTTGACTTGTTTAACCTTTTCTTTGTGGTTTGGTAGCTCTGCCTAAAGATCGCTGAGATATGTATTTAAGATATGGTCCAATGACAAAATTTTTGAATTATCAACTAGCTCATTTCAGTTTCCGGTGCCCTACCTTGATTTGATCGAAGAGTGCCGCCGACTTCAGAGTCATTCCCTAAATTTTTGGATAAATTTCAAGAAAAAAAAAAGATTAATTCTTTAAAAATGGTAAAGAATTTCATAAATTAAAGAAAATGGAATTTGTTCTTTTCCCAAAAATGGTGAGGGGAGTCTAGGCGAGTCTTTGATAAGGGAAACTTTCGAGTGTCTTTTTGAAAGAAAGGAAAATGAAAAGAAATGATAAGAAGAGGTAGCTGTCGATTAATGAAAAACTTGGTTAAGTTGAGTCCAAAGAGATGAATTTACAAAAGTCAATTTACTGTAGCTTGTTGGGTTACTGTAAACAAAGCTAGTCGACTTCAGCGTTACTGTAGGTGCCGTTACTTTAAAGTACGGAAACGTGTACGTTACTTTTGAGATTGCTTGAGCTAAACAAACCGATGAATTTGATTGATTAGTGGATGGAGCTTTCCCATCAAGACCATCGAGTTTCGCCCAAGCGTTCGCGATCACCACTTTGCCCGTCTCTTTCACCTGAGTTTTGTTTCAAAATACATCTAGAAATGTAGCTAGCAAGTCTACTGTTAGATTACTGTAGGTTTTGAATAAGTTCAGTTACTGTAGGTTTCTTTTCAATTCACAGTTTTGCTCTGGTAAGCTTAACACCGCTACAACTTGTCAACGCGTAACTCAATGCGGGCTTTCTGCGAGCTTAGCACGGTAATCCGTTATCATTTCTTATTTAATACTTGTCAGGGAAAGGTTGGCTGAAGGTCAGCTTATGAAGATTAGATCAAATTAGATCAAACTCTGTTTTTGGTCGAATTGAGACCTTTGTCTGGAAGATGACTCGATCTCCCTCTCGCCACATCTCCGTTTGAAGAGTCTGTCCGGGGAGTACCGGAGAAGAGAAACGAACCTTGAGTTCAGGATTTTATTCGTTACTTCAATCAATTTACTTTCACAGCACGCAGCTTGTTTGCATCATTGTCAGCAAAGGCTTCAACGACGTGACGAGTCGAGAAACCGAGAGTGCACAAACCGTGAAGGATCGGCTCTTTGAAGCCGGACATCTGTAGGGAAATCGATTAGATATTTAAATAGATAAAAATCTATATGGATTACATATTTAAATCAAGAAAAATCTCAAACCTTAGCAAACATTGGATCGATATGTAGAGGGTTTAAGTCACCGGATCCCATACGGTAAAGAGCTGCCTAAAATGATTCCGTTGATTGAAATTTCGATTTTTCAACTACCATAAGCAAGAGCTCTTCTATTTAATGCGTTCAAATTCTATTTTATGCCCTAGCTAAAGTATACCCAAATTTTCAAGAGCTCAGAACAACGGTTTTTGATTGATGTTTTTGATTTTTTGAGGTTTTTGATTGATTTTCATCTGCTTTTCGACGCTATTAAGCTATTTAATCTATAAATATTATTTAAAACAGTTGATAGCCCTTAAAAAGTCGATATATTCTTTTGATTTCCCTACCTGATCAATCGTCGTCTTTTGTTCGATCACTTTGTCGGGATTTCTCTGTGGGATTGCGGCGGGAGCGAACTCGTGTGGAGAGCTTCGATTGCCGCCAAAACCGCCAGAACCCACCTGGTTTAAAAGAAATAAAATAAAAATAGATTTCTTGGACTTTAGAATAACGTTAGTAAAAGAGAATGTGTAATTTCTGTTATAATTAGCCGTAAAATAAACCTGAAAGGTTCCGAATTGTTGAAGGGACAATTTCTCGCCATTTCGATCATTGAATGTTGTGACTAAATTAAAGTTTAAGAAATAGTCTTTTCCCCAAATATTGATATTTTTTCTAGAGTTACTCTGGGCTAAAAGAAACAAATTTTGAAAAAAATAACGATAGCTTTCTCTTATTTTCTCTTATTTTCTCTTGACTAATAGGTCTATTAGTCAAAAGCCGAATTCCGTAAGAATCTCACGTTTTTAGTAAACGAAAAACAAACTGTTTGACAAAATGAGAGCTCCTTTTCCTTTGTCGAGAATGTCAATCACTTGACGCTCCGAACTGAATAAGGATTTTAAATGTGTGAATGAAACTAGACTACCGTAGTTTAGCGTCTGTGGGCAATGGCTTGAAGATCTCGATGTACTGCTCACCGTGCAGGATTCGAGTCAAATCGAAATCGATTCCTGGAGAATTTCGTATTGCTCGCATGTGGATTCTTTGATGTGCTAATTTTTGAACAAACCAGGCCATCCAGCTACTCCAGATCCCATGAGGCCCGGCGCGACGACATACGTGGGGAAAACCGTGAAATCCTCGGCTCCCTCGTACAGATAACGAATATCCTCTTTTGCGCGCGCACCAACTGAATGTGTGAAAGTCTGTATCACATTTAAGTACCAGAATTCGATTACAGGAACCCCGTTTGCAAGCTAATTGTGGTCAATAAATAGATAAGGCAATTTGAAAGGGCCAAGCACTTTTTGTCTTCAAAATCACTTTTTCTGGGGTATTTTTATGTGTAGATTTCGAAAAACACAACGAAAGGCTTGGGAAAAGGCGCTTTAAGCCAAGTTTCGGCGCTTCAAAGTGCGCGCTCATACAGTGTGATGAGAGGGATAGAAAAGAGGTCTCTCAAAACATTTTTTCAAGGTTTTTACACTTTTTGAAAAAATTTAACCTACTCATTACGTTTCTGATCAAATTAGAGCAAAAAAATCAAATTTTTTTCCAAATTTTGCCCATGTGCTCCCCCACCTGAGTCAAAATCGCTCCAAATCTCAAAAAAAAAAATTTTTCAATTTCTTTTTCTTCTACCGAAAAATTTAAGTTAGAAAATGAATATTTAGTGGTTAAAAAATGTTTTTGGCTCTAGTTTTGACCTTGAAAAATCCCCTAATAGTCGATAGCTTGAAGTGAAGCACACTATAGAAGCGCGCACTTTGGAGCACTGAAACTTGGCTTAAAGCGCCTTTTCCCAAGCCTTTCGTTGTGTTTTTCGAAATCTACGCATAAAGCTACCCCAGAAAAAGTGATTTTGAAGAAAAAAAGTGCTTGGCCCGTTCAAATCGCCTTATCTATTTATTGATCGCAATTAGCTTGCAAACGGGGTTCCTGTAGTCGAATTTTGGTACTTAAATATGATACAGACTTTTACAAGTCTATATAAACTTCGAAAGCTAAAGCTTTTTGGGTTACTCCGTGCATAGCCTTTTCACTCACTTCCGAGCGCATAAACGATTGTGTCCCGTTGATTGTACTCAAAAAATTCGGGCTCAGCCTTGTGCGCGCGTGCCTTTGCTGGATCCATGAGTAAGAGGGGATCTTAAAATTTACATTTTTAAAAGAAAAAAAGCCATATCTAATAGAAGTGAGTAAAAGCAAATTAAGTGAAAGATCGATTGTCAGTAGCTAGAGCAACTGGATAGATTTAATTACTCAGTCATTTAACTGATTTGGTGGGAAATTCCCTCCCAATGTAAAAAATTATTTTTTTTTTCTGAAAAACCTGCGCAAAAAATTGGTTTTGTATTTTTTTCGCGCAGGCGCACTTTTTAGAAAACGTATTACTCGACAATCACTCATGCAAATTTACTCGAGTAATTACTTACTCGCGAGGAACACACTCTAGTTTTAATACATTCGTTTTCTTAAAAGCTTATTATTTCCTAAACAAAATCTTATCCACTTAGCTAACAGTTAACAAAAAAGAAAATTTTATCTAGAAAAATATCTCAAAAACCATTCGTTAACCCTATTTTTCCTTTTTGATATAAGTTTTAAGTCGTTAATTACTGCAATGTCTACAGTAAAACCCAATTGCCATATTTTAATTAGTTACAAAACTCTAAAAAGGGCTTGAGCTCTAGGAAAGATAATTTAAAAGTTACTAATCTTAAGAAAAGATAAATTTACAGATATTTAATAAGAATATTTATTTAAAAATCTAGATTTAGATATGGAAGATGAGTGCAAAATACAGCATTTTGTTTTGTAGAGTGTTCTCAAAAAGATGGCCTTCATTGGGGAAAATGAGAAAAGAAGGTTTGATAAGGAAAAAAAGAAAAAAAAAAGAAAAAAAGAGATGGGATCAAATTTGTGCCACAATAGACTACAGATGGAGAAGTGAGAGTAAACTACGAGGAAATTATCTATCTCTTATCATTTGATTCCCCTCTAGAAATCATCGAAATTTTTCTCTCCAATCCCCGCAAAAAACTTTAACTTTTCAACAACGAAAACATCTTTTTTTTATTCATATAAATCATAAATAGCACTAATAAATGATTTTTGAATATTTTTCTAAATAAAAACTATCTTTTTTTGTTAGCTAACTGGATAAGATTTCAATTGAATAACTCTAGATTTACTTTTCGATTTCTACAACTTAAAACCGTACTTAAAAATCGTTAAAACTGTTTAAAGACATTCGTTTTTAAAAGATCGACTGTCAGTAGCTAGAGTAACTGGATAGATTTCAGTAACTTTTTCAATTATATCATTTAGAAAGCGCATTTACTTGGGGGAAAACTCTAAAAAGGGCTTTGTGGCGAATTGCCACTGCTCTGCAGTTAGTCAAAATTCAATACACAAGTTAAAATTCAAAGCTGATGGATAAATTACCGTATTTCTTCGAATAGAAGACCGGGTAAAGAGTATCATCGCGTACTCCTGCGTAGCAGCCCTTTTTAAAATTTCTTTTCTGCATAAAAACTTTCAATGAAGTGCTATAGGGCTGGAAAATGACTCAAAAATACCACATGAGCTAACAGATTTTTGAGCCATTTTCCAGCTCTATAGCACTTGATTGAAAGCTTTTATGCAGAAAAGAAATTTTAAAAAGGGCTGCTACGCAGGAGTACGCGATGATACTCTTTACCCGGTCTTTTATTCGAAGAAATACGGTATCGTAATCAGCCACTATTCAGTTGTCCGTTTATTCAGTTGATATTCAGTTGTCCGTTTGTCGTAGCTTGTGTACTTAAAAACCCATTATTTAAGCTTTTTCTTGAGTCAGTTGTGTGCTCCTTTTTCTATTCATCCTTTTTTACACACGCAAGTGTTGAAGTAATTGTGATAGTGCCAGGTTGCTCCAGTTTGAGCGAAGTTTGCCCTAATAAGGGAAAGTTTTGATAAATTGTGCGTTTTCAAGACATCTACCATTAAACCACACCGAGACACGGTCTCACAAGAAATTTTAAAGATCAAAGTATAAATATATTTCTTACAGGCTTAACTAAATGGATAAGATTTCAATTGGATAACTCTAGATTTACTTTTCGATTTCTACAGCTTAAAAATCGTTCTTAAAAATCGTTAAAACCGTTTTAAGACATTCATTTTCTTAAAAGCTTATCCACTTAGCTAATAGCTAACAAAAAAGAAAATTTTATCTGGAAAAATATCTCAAAAACCATTCGTTAACCCTAGTTTTCCTTTTTGATATAAGTTTTTCAAGTCGTTAATTACTACAATATCTACAGTAAGACCCAATTGCCATATTTCAATTAGTTTTATCTGTTGTTTTCTTTATAATCCTTTAAAACCAAAATGAAATTGTTTAGATATTCGCAAAAATGGATGGAGCCAACGTTCTCTGTCAGGCTTTCAAACAGCAGGTAAAGTAAATATCTGAAGAGCAATTTCAAATGAAATGCTTATCATGATTCTCATGTTTATCTAATCATTTTAGGGTATTGAGTACATGTTTGGAGTGGTTGGTTTTCCGGTGATCGAGGTGGGAATGGCCGCACAGGCACATGGAATCAAGTACATTGGATGCAGAAATGAGCAGGCTGTAAGTGAAAGGGAAAACTACAATAAAACTGCAATAAAATTGCAATAAAACTACCGTAATCTCTCTGGTTTTATCCAAATTATGATTTGTTTTACCTATATTTCTATAGGCATGTTATGCGGCTCAAGCGATGGGCTACTTGACTGGCCGGCCAGCTGTTTGCCTCGTCGTCTCCGGTCCGGGAATCCTTCATGCCATTGGCGGGCTTGCGAATGCTACGATCAATTGCTGGTTAGTTTTTTTAAAGAACAAAGTACATTTATATTTAATTGCGATACAAACAATACAAAAGCAAAAGCAAGCCCTAAATGCCCTGTCAGCCTTAGAAGTAGGGAAAACTTATGTAGATGAAAAAAGAACAATCTAGATCTAGGAATCTAGCGGGATTGAACCCTTGACCTTTCGACTAAGATACAAAGCTCTTAGCCAGTCAGCCAGACAAGCAGAGTATTCAACAACTACTAGACTTGACAGCATCTCGTTTTCTGAAAGTGTAGTACTTAAAAGAGTTCACTGAAACTAAAATAACCGATCGGAAGATGCTTAGACGTTCACCTCTTCTGCCTACAGTATGCAAAATTAGTTTGTGAAGGCTCGGAGAAGGTAGAAGTTGAATACCTTTCAATTTCTCCAACTCTTCACCAATTCTAACTCTCAGGCCAGTGATTTGCGTCGGTGGCTCATCAGACGTCGATCAAGAGGGACGGGGAGCATTCCAGGTAGAAAAATCTCATCAAAAAACACATGCTAAGTCTAACTTTGCTAGTTTTTCAGAAACTTTTATTTTTTAAAGTTTTATTTTATCATAAAACAATAATATTATATAATAAGACTTATATAAAACGTAAAAATAAAAGTGATTAATTGAGGAATGGCCTCAACAAGAAGCGTCACGAACCGCATGCAAATTGGTTAGCCGACCGACCACCGTCGAGGCGATTCCGCTTCACGTGGAAAAGGTGAGTGAGTTGATATTGTGGAAAGCCAAATCTTGGTCTAATATTCAACTAATAAGCGCTCAACGTTCTCGTTCTTTTTTTGAGTTCGTGTAGAGAAATGATAGAAGAATGTAGAAAGCCTTTATTTAATTCAAAAATCTAACATTCTGCAGGCTGTGCGCACTTGTATGTACGGTCGACCGGGTGCAGTTTACCTTGATCTTCCCGGAAATCTCGTCCTCACCTCCGTCGATGAGAGCTCAATTCCGTAAGTAAAAGAGTAGGAGGTAAAAATAAAGCTTTAAACAATAATTACAATATAAATACTGTAATTTATAATAATCTTCAAATCCTTTAAGTTCAAATCCTTCTTAAAATGTTTACAGAACTCCAGCGAAAGTTGTGCTTCCTCCACCCGTTTCAGTTCCTCCACCCCCAATCACTTTGATGGCTTTGGATGTATTGAAGAACGCTAAAAAGCCGCTTGTTATCGTTGGAAAGGGTACTGTAGACATAGGGTTACATTATAAGTAAATATCTTTAGATCTTTAGAATATCTGCTTGCAATTTCAATAATTTTCAGGAGCTGCTTGGTCAGAGCGGGGTCCAACTGCTGTTCATCGTTTTCTCACGCGAACCCAGTTGCCTTGGTTGGTGACACCCGGCGGGAAAGGGGTGATCCCTGACGAGATGGAGAGGTTCGATTCTTAAAAGCTCAATAATTTTGTAGGGTACTGTAGGGTACTGTAGAATCTAAGCCTAATCATTAGATGCGTGGGCCCGGCTCGTTCTCATGCACTCAAAGAAGCTGATGTGATCTTTCTGATCGGCGCTCGTCTCAACTGGATTCTACACTTTGGCTTACCGCCTCGTTTCAACAAAGATGTGAAGATTATTCAGGTATAGTCGTTATCTATAAGGTATACGGTAATATAAATAAATACGTGTGACTCTGGCTGACGCAATTTTGATATTGAACGTGATTTGAATGCCAAATCTTTAATCATTTTTTTCTCAGCTCCTAGATTTTTCTTAGCTACACTTTTGGTGCCTAAAAAATACTAGATTTCAAGAGCTATCATTTGACACCCATACGCACACTGTAGCTTAAAGCAGCGCGAAGAACGGGACGCTCAAAGTTAGACTACGCGACTGTACGCCCGTCATTATGGCTTTCTATTAGCTTTACGGTATGCAAACTTGCGTGATAAGAACGTTTTAACGTTCTTCTGACTTTGGTCAACGCAAATCTTGTGCAAATTGAGTAATTTATGTTAATTTTGTATCTATAAATGGTATCCTCTGAAACCTAGATCGATCTGGCGCCCGAGGAATTCCACCAAAATGTGCCCACAGAGGTGGCAATGCTTGGCGATATCGGCGAGACGATTTTCCAGGTTTACACTCAAAATATTACTTTTAAATTGAAGCTTTATCATCATATCAAAAACGAGAAGCTATTTCAAAGATATCTATCAACTATCCAATTAGAAGAGCCCAGAGTTGAGCGGTCCGGATCCCGATCTCTACGCAAGAATGCAAAGAACTTTACGGCGGCTACGCGACACTACTAAACGCCTACAAAACGGCTAATCAACTTGATCTTGAAACGTCGCGTAGCCGCCGTTGTTTTTTGTATTCTTGCGTAGAGATCCGGATCCGGATCCGTCAGCCCTGGAAGAGCCTTTTTGACAAAATGATTCATTTTTCGGGTTTGCCAACGCTCTGATAACAAAATCTTCAACTTTTTAAAGGTTTTCAAAAGCTTTAAATAATATTTAAAAAGCTAAAAGCAAAAGCAAAAGGCTAAAAAAGATGAATGATATCGAAAATTTGATGAAAACCAACGATCAAATTCCTTACGAGTTCGAAAGCCATCAAATCACCCATTTTTAAGCTCTTGAAAATATACAATAGCTAGGGCAATATACAATAGCTAATAGGATTCCTGAGTGATCCTGGAAAATATTAGAGTATTAGAATGAATATTAGAATGAATATTAGAATGTTTTCAGATGCTCGACCAATTGAGCACTTCGTGGAAATTCTGTCCGAACAGCGATTGGTGGAAGGCGCTCAAGGCGAACTCGGAGAAGAATCGGTAATGATTGAAATTTAGAAATAAACTAATATACTGTGTACATATTTTGTTAATTAATCTACCTATTTACCTAAATCTGCCTACTTTTTGTTTCAGAAAAATCGTCGAGGGAATGGCGAACGATCACACGACTCCGCTCAACTATTATGCTGCTTATCATCCGGTTAGTTATCGATTTTATTAATTTTCTAATAGATTAGCTGAATATCTTTTATAAGAAACAAGTTACCGCAGATAAATGATAATTCTAGATCCGGGAATTCCTTCGACAGAATGACGTCATTGTGATCAATGAGGGAGCGAACACGATGGATATTGGACGGTTGGGGGAAACATTTAAGATTTGAAATTTATATTTTTCTGTTAATAGATATAAAGATACAAAGATGATTTCATTTTTCTTCGAACCGATAATTATTTACCTTATTTCCTCTAATAGTAGTGCACCCCGCTGAGCCGAGTTGATGATCATTTTACAGTTCCCAATCTTTCCCAGAAGCTCAACACTAAAATCCCCCACTAGATCTCATCGTCAGCTACATTTTCCGACCCCACATCGATAGGTTCTGATAAGCGCTTTTCGAGATTTCGAGTAATTTAGGCGACGCTCAGGGTGCAATACTATTAGAGAGAATACGGTAACTTTAAAATATTTAGAACCATGATGCCGAACGCGTTGCCAAAGCGACGCCTTGATGCTGGGACGTTTGGTGAGTGAAAAATGGGAAAAGTTTTCGTAAATTTAGAATATTTGACTGAATTATCGTTAAAGAATGACTTCTTCGAGAATTTTATAGTTTATTTTATAGGAACAATGGGTGTTGGACAGGGATACGCATTGGCGGCCGCTTTGTGGGCAAGAGATCATTCGCCGAAGACAAAGGTGAGCAGATGGTGGAAAATACCATAGGATAGTTGGAGAATCTAGATGATAAAGCGATCATTCCTTGATCAGAAATAGATTTAGATCAATTCTAGATCAAAATTCATGTCAAAATTGAATCAAAACAAATTCAAAGTTGATTTCCTTAATTCCTTAAGTTCCTTAATTAGCCTAGTCTACTTTGATCTTATTTGAGATTTAAGTGATTTGGCAGAATTGATAAAATGAATAGCTCAAAACGATTTGTGATCTCGAAAACCCAGCTGAATATCTTCTTTTTAATGTCATTTACAATTGAGAGAATAATGCGATTTAACTCGAGAGTTTTCTTTCCTCATTTCCCTAGGATTGCTTAGTCCAATCAGCCTCTATTTGATATCATTTGAAGTGTCTGAAAGTGTTCTCTTCCTCTATCAAAAGTTAACATTAATATCCTCTTCTAAACAAACAGTTTAGGTACTGGTAGTGCAAGGCGATAGCGCGTTTGGCTTCAGCGGAATGGAGTTGGAAACGATTGCGAGGTGATTGGGGGTGAAAGAAACATTGAAATCAACATTAAAACATAATTCTATTTATTATTTATCATTTTCAAATTCAGATATCGATTGCCCGTGGTGACGATTATCTTGAACAATTCGGGAATCTATCGTGGACTCTCGAAAGAAGATATGGACTCAGTTGATGGAGATCCGTGTCTACAGTTGCCTGTTCTCTCATTGAGGTACAATAGAAAAGGATGAAGGATGAACAATAGAAAATAGAAAAGTTGTACAGAAATTTCTACTATTGTTGTAGACTGTTTGAAAGAGCGGTGCCATTATTACCGTAATCTTTTTAAAATTTACATTTACAGTGCCGAATGTCGATATGATAAGATGTGCGAATCGTTGGGCGGTGTTGGGTACACGGCTCGAAGCGTTCCCGAAATTAAACAGGTTTGAAAAAGTGACTTGTCAAACATTAATCACTTGTCCTTGTCAAGCTACGGTAACTTTACGAAGAGTTACGGTAATTGGACGCACTTAGAATCGCTTTAGAGATCACTTTAGAGTAGTTCCCAAATTTCAGACTCTCGAAAAAGCTTACGGTAACACAAGCCAACCCTCACTGATCAACGTGTTCATCGCGACGGACAGTGAACGAAAGAAACAAGAGCACAACTGGTTGACAAGATCGAAAATGTAGCTTTATTTCTTCGCTGAATATCATGTTTTTTCTAGAGTTAATAAATAATAAATGAAGAAAATACGCATTTATTCTCTGAGAAAATCTTAAAACAATTAGATCATCAAAACTAATTTTCACTATATTATATATGTCGTAGCCGATGAAGGATTTCAGCCGAAGAAGGTTTCGCTAGCGAAAAAATTTGAGACTTCATCGGCTAGCCGAAGAAGTCTGAGACTTCTTCGGCTGAAATCCTTCATCGGCTACGACATATATATGCTTTATTCAGAGGTCGAATAGAAGCGAATCAGATAATCATAACCGCATATGTTTATTGCTAAAATACTTTCACAAAAAAGAAAGAAAACTAAAAATAGTACAGTAAGAATACAATTAGAAAACACAGGTATAAAAAGGTTAAATATAGGGCAGATTTGACATGGCAATAAGATCTATTGGGTTGGTGAACTGAAAACTGCGGGCTATTGTCATATGTGACAGTTTGAGCACAAAAATTCTTTGTGGCGGGATCCTTTTATTGCGTCGGGTTACGGTAGTTTCCGACGTTTGGCGCAGAAACGTCTGAAAGGCAAAGTGTACGGTGGACGGTCCGAAAGGCATCTGCCGTCAGAGTTTTATTATTTCAAGAGAGAATTCCTTTAAATTGATTTAAAGTAAAATGAAATTAAACCCAATTTGTTTAATTACTTTTTAAATTATTTATTATTTATTATTATTTTTGATTTATTGGGTTGGTGAATTGAAAACTTCCGGCTATTGTCATATGTGACAGTTTGAGGACTTTCTTCAAAAGAAACCCATTTTGGTGTCAATGGAAAAGTTGTAGAGAAACAAAAATTAAGCTTATATCCAAATTTTCAGAACGATTCAAAAACTGGTTTTCAATAAATGCGAAATTTACGAATTTTCACAAAACTTGCATTTTAAGCCAAACTACTAAGTGTATCTTTTGGAAATTTGGCTATAAGCCTAATTTTTGATTCTCTACAACTTTTCTATTGACACCAAAATGGGTTTCTTTTGAAGAAAGTGCTCAAACTGGGACATCTCCAGTCCTCCATTTTTGAGTCTCACACACAAACCAAAATCCTAATCCGCAAAGGAATCCGCAAATTGCCTGTAAAATGGGCAGAAGTCGTCAATAATAATGAAAATTATTTCGAATGAATTCATGGTTTTATGTTCAATAAATTTTAGTTCAAAGTCCGGCAGTTTTCAATTCACCAACCCAATAGAAGTTCACCAACCCAATAGATAATAGATCTATTATCGAATTTAAGCAAGTCTTAAGTAAATTTAGGTAATTTTTTTGAAATGAATTTGAGCAAAAATTCTTCAAACAGACATTAATATAACCAAAGCAATTAAACAAATCGCGTTGAGAATTCGGCGATATGCCGAACTTTTCAAAAAATTTTCGTTTTTAACTTTTCGATATGCTCTATCTTTTTTTCCACTAACATTAGAATAGGTTTATGTGGAAGAAAATGCTCAAATCCCCCGACATCGAGTGTTCATCATTTTTGGCCCCTCAACTTCTTCCCCCCCTTCCCCCTAGAAAACTACAAAATCGAAACTTTTCCAAATCTGCCAAAAACCTGTTTTAGAGAATAAATGAGCCTTTTTTTTATTGATAAAAACTGTAGATTAATTGGTGCACTAGTTATTTCTAAAAAGTGCAATGAATAAGCGTATCCAAATGCCAATCTAATAGAATACTACCTACCGTAAATACTGTAATAGTACCCGACCCCCTCGTACAGTCGCGTAGTCGCAAACGTTTTTTAGTATTTCATTTTTTTCAAAGCGTCCATACTTTCAAAAATGTGTCTTTGGTATCAAAAAATAATTCAGGGCTATTTTTTGATACCTAAGCGCGCATTGTAGCATAAACCAGTGTCGAGAAAAACTCGTTCAAAGTTAGACTACACAACAATCCGCACCGTCATTATGGGGGTGCGGTACTATTACAGTATTTACGGTAAATGCCATAGTGCATCTAGATAAATGTTAAGGCTAAAACGTAGGTTAGTGAAGGATTTGGCAAACAAAGTTGAAACTAACAAGGATTAGAGATTTTTCCGACACAATTTAGACTAAACGAAATGAGTACGGTAGTAGGTGCAGTTTAGAAATATTCTTTTAAGATTAACATTTTTCTTCAATCCGTTCATCACTATTACTTTATCAGCTTATCAAATACGTCTTATTTTTGGCACAGAATTCATCATTGATTCTTGTGAATTGATCATTAGTCATTAACTTTAATTGTTTAGTTGTGCGATGACGGCACCTGCAGTTTGCTTCTTCAAAGATTTCGATTCTTTCACACTGGAATCGGATTATTTGGAGATTGTTTATGGAGGCAAACCCTTTCGTTTTGGCTACGCAACCAATCATGCGGATCGGAAATTTTTCGTCAAATCCTTGGGCAAGATCGAGATTACCTTGCAGGAAATGTTGCTTCAGGTTCATTTTTTATTTTTTATATAACTTGATTATCGGTTAGTTAATACATTTCAGGACGTAATATAATTTATATATTTCTTTATTTCAGTATGAAGACCAAGCTGGGTTTGATACTGCTTATCTCGTCAACCTCTGTGCTGAATTTAAAGATGCACTCAAGTTTGGCAGTTTTGTGGAAAAACTCACAAGGGTTGCTGAATATCATCAGGTAGTCTTTTAAATTTTTGCTCGATTTTTGTTTAAACTCCGTGATTCTTGAGCATTGGTTTTACCTCTAATTTTAAATAGACATTAGGCTTTTCTCTGGAATTGAACCCATAAATTTTAGGTACAGCTTCCTGATTGCGACTTATCGCCAAATACCACTTCTGACTTTGAGGATGAAGATGATATGAATGAATCCGATATCCGTGAAAACACGTAAGTTTCATTTAAATTAAATGAAATACTTAAACGAGACTTTCATTCATTTTTCTTTATTTGTGTAATTAGAAAGTTTTGTTTAACAAACTTAACATTTAAAGGTTAAATAAAAACTAACATTTAGCTTGAATCAACATCAGATTTCCGAATCGGGATCCGAGAAAGAGGTTAGTTTTTACGATAATAATTCCTACCTTTTTTCTACAAAATAGCTATGATTTAATAGATTTGCTTAAGAGATGATGTAAATCATTTTGTTATGATATAGATTTTGATATTTAAATTATTTTAAATTTGAAGTTTTAGATGGATCGCCCACTGATCAAGTTTACCGAAGGACGTGCTTTATGGTACAGATTCGCTCAAAGCTACTTTGAAGTGTATCATCCCGAAACTGGAACGACCTGGCATTTTCTTCATGCTGACATTCGCCAACGTGAATATAAGTTCAACCCGCGAGGTCGACCCGCTAGAGCTGGTCGCGCTCGATTCCTTCTTTACAACGTTACCCTTCAGGTTGGTTTTCTTTTATTTTCTCTTGTTACTACAAATTTAAAACGTGGGAATTAAAATAAGTCTCGATTTTTTCGTTTTTAGGCTAGAAAGACTGCGGTTCGTGCCGGACGTGCTGCTCAATATGTGGACGTAGGACCTTGTGATGTGGAATTCGATGTGATCAGCACCACTCTCTCCGCCACCACCCTTTTGAACCAATTTGGGGCACACCGTTACACTGCAATTCTGTGATGACTTCAAATATCTTTAATTCGTTCTGATTGTAAACAAATAAAGGTCATTTTGTGATAACTTTTGTAAAATAGGGTAATTTAAAAATATGATAGTTGTAGAATGTTTAACGAATAACTTTTTGCTGATTTGTATCCATTGATTTATGTATCTCGTTGAACTAGAGTAAATAAATTGTTGAAATGAAGGATTTTATGATTTTTTGAAGGCAATGAGGACCTGCCATTTGCTTAACTTACAACAAAATTGAAACAAGATGCAACAATCTTTATGACACTACTCAAAAGCCTCATGATTCTTGGGAAAAGGGCCGGTTGAATTTAAACTGCACCTACTACCGTACCCATTTCGTTTAGTCTAAATTGTGTCGGAAAAATCTCTAATCCTTGTTAGTTTCAACTCCTGTTTGCCAATGGCTCACTAAGGAGCCTGTTGACGGCGAAGATATTTAGCTTGCATCGTTGCTAAAATAAAATAATGGGTATACCTATACCAAAACTACTAACTTGACAGATAAGGAACAAGACGATTTTGCAGATGAGAAGGAGAGCTGTCTGTAGTCATCATCGGAAACTCTCTAAACAAAAACCAATTAGTTCTTCATAAAATAGACAAACGATTGTTCGGCCGCATAAGGCTTGAATCGATCCTTGGTGTTTAAAGACAAAGCGCTAAACAAAAACGCCAATCAAATATAATCAATGAAACAAACCGCTGATGTGAGTAGATACGATCGATCAATTTTCTCTTTAAAAGCTCTCTTCTAAATAAGGTGCTGTGATTTCTTCAATCTCTTGGTCTCGTATGCTTTCAAACACATCTTCATTTAAACATAAAAATCCTGGGCGAGCACCAGTCTTTCATCGTTTACTGAAATTTCAAAAATTAAATATAAAGGTTATCAACTTTTTTGTTTAACTCAAAACCCACCTCCGATATGGAAATGAAATGATATCTTCCCAAGAATGTTCACCCGGTTGATTCACCCATTGATACAAGTTGTAGATCGTTCGTATGTCGTATAATGAACTAGAGCTGACGAGTACAAAAAACATGGTTCATTACAAACCTTGATGGATCACGATTTTGAAGAAGATCAAGTATCACGCCAATGCAACGATAACCACAACTCCAACCATCCATCTAAAAAACAATTTTGCCAAATTTGTTTTTATTGTAAACCTGTGGGTCGATGTCATACACGTGCTCAACAAACACCTCGTTTCTGCCTTCCTGGCAATCCAAATGGCCGAAGAGGTCCAGTATTTGTCACACGACCGAACTTGTCATCTAAAACGATTTTAGCTTAATTAACATAGACAATTACCGTATCTTTTAGAAATCGGTCCTTCATGCTAGCTTCGTTAAGTAGTGGATCATAGACTCTCAACAAAGGCTCTCCATCTTCAAACGTTAAATAAACCTAAAGCTTTTTATAGAAATTGAAAAACAAAAATAAAAACCGTTATATAATGCTGCCTGTATTGATCAAAGATGATTTGAATCACTTCATCGCCTGGCTTGATTTGTGCTTGCAATATTAGATCACACTAAGACCATAAATGATCTTATTCAAAAAGTGCAGCCACCAAGATTGATTAAATCGCAAAAAAATTGACCATTGACCTGCCGAGGGGCAACCATTTGTACTCGATCACCGAACACATTAAGCATGTCATCACAAAGACGAACACCAAATGGACCCCAAACGGAAAACTTTATGAATCCAATGCAGTAGTAATTTATAAACACGAGTTTCTAGAAATTCCGATCAAAAGTATGCAATAAACCTCAACATTCAGAGCTTCGGTTAAGCAACCCATTGTGGGCTCGTCTCCCGGCTCACCACCGCTTTCTGTCGCGTTGTATATCTTGCTAAAAATGCGAAAGATCTGGAAATTGAGAAAGATAAACGAAAAGGGGGATTTGAAAGGTTAAATGTCACAGGGAATCTAGATAAATGCTAAGGCTAAAACGAATCATTGATTATATTTGATTGGCGTTTTTGTTTAGCGCTTTGTCTTTAAACACCAAGGATCGATTCAAGCCTTATGCGGCCGAACAATCGTTTGTCTATTTTATGAAGAACTAATTGGTTTTTGTTTAGAGAGTTTCCGATGATGACTACAGACAGCTCTCCTTCTCATCTGCAAAATCCTCTTGTTCCTTATCTGTCAAGTTAGTAGCTTTGGTATAGGTATACCCATTATTTTATTTTAGCAACGATGCAAGCGAAATATCTTCGCCGTCAACAGGCTCCGCTCTTTCACGTTCAGCATCAGTATCATGGCTTGACGAACTCCCTTCCAACGAGCGAAGAGGAAGACGAAGAAACTGCGTCTCAGACATCTCAGACATCTCAGACATCTCAGACGTCTCAGGCGACGATCGATTGGGAGAAGCTTGTCCGACAAGAACTAGACGATCCAGTCGATTGGGACCGAATCGAGAACGAAAAGAATAGATGGGAATGGACGAAAGAAGACCAAGACGAGAACCAAGAACTCCAACAAATGCTGCTATTGCAAAGAGTAAATCGAGCGAGACTCTTGGAATACAATCATCGTGTCACAATGGTAAAACAAACGACTTTGTGGAATCCAAGGTAAGGTGGTAAAATTTGTGCACACGCTCATATGTTTTTTTTGAGGTATCATCTCATCCGAATAATGAAAACATCTCGTTCAGCTACTGGAATGCCCATTCGACGATCAAGCAGTCTAGTGAACCTGAATTCTCTTCCGCTGGAGCGCTCATTGGTTTACAATACTCAATTCGGCCTCTCCAATTCAGCCCCGAACTTGCCGACAGAAACGGTGCAAACGTGCTTTGTGGATTCGACCGACTCTTAGTTCAGGTTATTTCACGAGTTATTATGCAGTAGTTTTTTGTGCTTTAGCAACGAACAAAAAGTGAGGACGAACGAAATGCGGCTGACCATGAAGAGTCTTCAACGCTCACCTCGGGAAACCCGGATCATTGATGTTGACTTTTTGGAGACGACTTTGGATAATGCTGCATACGAAAGGACGATCTCTTTTTCAAGCATCTCGTCAATTTCCACAAATCAATCAATTTCTTCAATTGATTCGGATGACCAATACTCATCTGATGATGAATACATTAAATCAATACATTAAACGGGCATTTTTTTATTCAATTTTATCGCTGCATATATTTAGTTGTTTTGGTATGATCTTTCTGTTTTACTGGTAGGTTACAATGATTCTTTGTTTTATTCTTCTCACTTCTATACGGGAGATTTTTTTTGTTCCTAGTGATTATAATTATGGTTGAATAAATTTTCTGTATGGGCAGTTTCATATACATTGTTGCCAAAATGACAGCAAGTTTTGCAATAATATACCGCGGCGCCACTGACATACGGATTACCCCTTTGGGGGGAACGTAGGATTGCATCAATCACTAAAATTTGCATTTAGGACTCATTTAAAAGAAATCGAAGCCCACCATGTCTTAGCATTTTTCCTATTTCCTCTACATCTTCGGCTGATTTATTGCTATGGTCAATGTGGTGGGTTTATGTTTCTTTTTTTCACGTTAAGCTCTCTTTTTAAAAAGTTAATTCTTTATAATTTGTTATTGTATAGCTTCGAAAACATTGTTAGATCATTTTGTAAAAATTTTGTCTTTAACACCAAAAGTTCGTGGCTACCTTGGGTAGATTTTGTGCAAAGATTTTTTTTGTTTAGGAATCGCTGCCCTCGCCAATTGTGCGACACATTAATCGATTGACGATGGGTGGAGGCAAGATCACCTCGATCACAGTGAAACGCCGTCCAATCACAACAAACAGCAACGACGAGAACAACTTGAGTAAGAAAGGAGAGACGAGCCAAGTCCTTCTCAACAACAGCACTTCGACATTTCGCAAAGCCTCTTCATCCAATTTAAGTGTGTTATTTGATACTTAAGTGACGTTATTGGATGGTTAAGACCATTTCATTTTTTAGGGAGCACACGTCGCCCGGGTTGCCGCTGTTCTTTGTGTCGCAAAGGGGATGCCTCCCAGAAAAGGAAGAATGAATGTCGCAGTGGATCCAAGGTTGCTGTCAAGCCAATGGTTAAGGTAAATTTGTTTATTTGCTTACTTAGAAACTGTCTTGTTCTTGCTTAACGTTGATTCTTTGGCTCTCTCGCTCTCCATCTCCACCAAGCTGTCTCCGCTCAAATTGTGCTCCAAGTCGTCACCGTCGCTCTCGTCCATCGGACAGTTTGGAGAGTTCCGATCGCAGGGGGAGCTTTTTGAAAGTTATTATCTTTGGAAGTTGATCCTTTCACGTAATTAACATTTTTGTTTAGATGACCTACCCAGACACTCTGTTGTCGGATGATTTGAGCACCCATCGTCTCTTCCCTCCATCAAACATTCATCATCAACAACGGGAACTGGGAAAACAGGCCACCGACAGCCCGTCAACTTCGCGTCGTTCCCGCTCTTCAACGTCTCGTCGTTCCTCTGCAAAGCGAACAGAAACTACTGTAAGTGTTATGTATTTGACTCTATAAAGCTAACTGCCAGTCTATTTTAATCATATTGTTAGCTAAATATTGTTACTTTTAGTGGCCTCGTATCTTCAATGCAAGCGAAATGTCATCGGCAACTACCTCTGGTCACTCTGATGCGCAGTTGTGGGCACGCGGCAATCACTCTTGTATCGTTCGTGTTTTGCTGTATAAAGAATATAATTTTACATGTAGGATCTGATGGATGGTTATCCCGGTTACAAGCAACACTACGCAAAGAAGTCTCTTAAGAAGGTTTTAAATGTTTTTTTCAAGAATATTTTTTGTTTAGAACCGTCAAGTTGATCAAAGCGATTTTGAGGGCTTCAAGGATGTAAGCTTTTGTCCGTTGGGTAAATAAATCCCACTTTTTAGGCAATCATCGATGGATATGCTCATCGTTTGGGTGATGATGCGCTCTTCCCACCGGCTCGTGTTGTTAGGTAGGTGTTTGTTTTGCTGGCTATCTTAAACATAAAGAATAATCAATATTTTAATTTCATTTAATAATTTCTCTTTCAGTGAGACTAGTCAGAGAGGCGGCAAATATTTGATGATGTCATTGACGGGACTTTGCTCATCGGATTCCAGCCAGAGTTACGGACAACCGTGAATAATTTACCATCAAATGAGATCGACAACAACGACAACAACAAAAAAATGACAAAACACCACAACCGCACAATTAAAATCAATCGCATTCAACGTCCAATTTCTGTGCCAAAACAAGGGCTATAGAAGGAAATTAATTGGTTGAAAAAGCAAGATGCTAGCAAAAGCGTTAAATTTACGATTTTCAACACACTTTCCTACCAACCCTGATTAGCCATTTCCTTTTTTTTCCAGCTTCTCCTCGTCGACGATGTTCGCTATTTTGCCGCCTTCACCGGATCTGAAAATGTTATAAGATCGATATAGAAAGTAAAAAGTCCAATCGGAGACACAAAAATTACTGTTTTTGAGGTCTGTATCTAAACGTGTTTACTAATTGAAAACAGTTCGAATTAAAATTGTGAAGCAAAAACTGAAAAAAAAGAGTTAGCGCTATTAAGGTTGTGGGTGTGGTGAGGTCACTTTTTTTTCAAAACCACTGTTCGGGGGTAGTTGTATGCGTAGATTCCGAAAAACATAACGAGAACTTGGGAAAATGCGTTTTAAGCCGAGTTTTGGGGCTCCAAAGTGCGCGCCCATACATGTGATGAGAGGGGTAGGAAAGAGGTCTAAAAATGATCTCTCAAAACATTTTTTCAAGGTTTTTACACTTCTTCTGGCATCATTTAACCTACTGATTACGTTTCTGATCAAATTAGAGCAAAATAAAAAAATATTTTTTTTCCAAATTTCGAACATGTGCTCCCCCACATGAGCCAAAATCGATCCAAATCTCAAAAATATTAAAAAAAATATATAAAATAATGAATATTTAGTGGTTAAAAATGGTTTTGGCCCTAGTTTTGACCTTGAAAAGTGCCCCAATAGTCGATAGCTTGGGCTTCATATAGTGAAGTACACTATAGAAACGCGCACTTTGGAGGCCCGAAACTTGGCTTAAAACTCATTTCCCCAAGCTCTCATTGTGTTTTTCGGAATCTACTCATAAAACTACCCTAGAAAAAGTTTGTTTTGTCTGATTTTGTCAGAACATTAGATCTTCTTCGTCGACAATATTTGGAGCGGATTTTTCGAGCCAGTCGAAGATTTTCAAAGTGTTTCTTCTAGGTTGTTTTGCTTCTTTTTCCATTATCAAAATTCTATAGAAAACGCATTTTCGCGCCGATGTGCGCCCCCGAACTACTATAGCACCTAAATGCCATAGTGCATCTAGATAAATTTTAAGGGTAAAACGAATCTGCAGGTTAGTAAAGGATTTGGCAAACAGAAGTTGAAACTCACAAGGATTAGAGATTTTTCCGACACAATTTAGACTAAACGAAATGGGCACGGTAGTAGGTGCAGTTTAGAAATATTCTTTTACGATTAACGTTTTTATTCAATCCGTTCATCACTATTACTTTATCAGTTTATCAAATACGTCTTATTTTTGGTACAGAATTCATCATTGATTCTTGATGATACACTTCATCATTGATGAAGTGTATCATCCCGAAACTGGAACGACCTGGCGTTTTCTTCATGCTGCCATTCGCCAACATGGATATAAGCTCAACCCGCGAGGTCGAGCCCCCAGAGCTGATCGCACTCGATTCTTTCTTTTCAATGTCACTCTTCAGGTTGGTTTTCTTTTATTTTCTCTTGTTTCTCCAAATTTAAAACGTTGGAATTAAAATAAGTCTCGATTTTTTTCGTTTTTAGGCTAGAAAGACTGCGGTTCGTGCCGGACGTGCTGCTCAATCTGTGGACGTGGGACCTTGTGATGTGGAATTCGATGTGAGGAGCACCACTAGCTCCCTTGTGACCCTTGTGAACAAATTTATCGCACACCGTTACACTGCAACCCTGTTATGACTTCAAATATCTTTAATTCGTTCTGATTGTAAACAAATAAAGGTCATTTTGTGATAACTTTTGTAAAATAGGGTACTTTAAAACTGATATTTGTAGAATGTTTAGCAAAAATAACTTTTTGCTAATTTGTTTCCGTTCATTAATGTATATCGTTGTGTAGTAGAGTAAATAGATTGTTTAAACGAGGGATTTGATGGGTTTTTGAAGGCAATGAATACCCATTTTGCCTAGCTTACAACAAAATTGAAACAAAATACATCAATCTATAAATACTTCTCAAAAGTCTCATGATTGTTGGAAAAGGTGCGGTTGAATTCTAAACTGCACCTACTACCGTACTCATTTCGTTTAGTCTAAATTGTGTCTGAAAAATCCCTAATCTTTGTTAGTTTCAACTCCTGTTTGCCAAATCCTTCTCTATCTTTATTAAGCGAGCGCGCACTAATTTTTGCTTCTGGGGTTTTTAATGGCGTAGGTTCATAATTTGGTATTTATTTAAGCTTTAGTGGTTGTTTTCTAGTTGTTTCAAGCAGTTACATAGGTTTTAAGCCTCTTAATTCGGTCCCGCACCTCTAGACCCTCTAAACCCAATAGAGCCACTCTTGAAGGCTCAAATTGTTGCTCAAAATGGTTTGTAAGTACTTCCGATGGATTTAATGCATATAAATACCAAATTATTAGAGGTTATTAGACGACAATGGGCCAAGACTTTTTTGCGGCTCAAAGTTAATGTTTTTCGTAAAAAAAATTTTTGTGCTAAAATGAATCGCGCGCAATAAAAACAGCTGCTTATAATCTTCGATATAACGAATGAACATTGTGGCCCCTTCGCATTCGTTATATAGAGGTTCGACTGAATTTGATAAACTGATAAAGTATTTTCTGTATTTGCTGCGTTGCGGAACCAAAAGATTCCTTATTTCGTTAGTTGCAGCAAACAACAAGTGCTATGTTTACGCCGCAGCACTGGTACTAGGGTGTTTTTTCCTTTTTTCCTCTTTTTTTGCAAAATTTCGAATAGAAAAAGTTACAAATTTTCCCATTTGCAGAAGGAACAGTGCTGTGTATAGGTCATGCCCATTTTTTTCTTCAAGTTTTTTCAATATTTGTGCTGAAATGGGTCTTCTACGATTAACGTTTTTATTCAATCCGTTCATCACTATTACTTTATCAGTTTATCAAATACGTCTTATTTTTGGTACAGAATTCATCATTGATTCTTGTGAATCGATCATGAGTCATTAACTTTAATTGTTTAGTTGTGCGATGACGGCACCTGAAGTTTGCTTCTTCAAAGATTTCGATTCTTTCACACTGGAATCGGATTATTTGGAGATTGTTTATGGAGGCAAACCCTTTCGTTTTGGCTACGCAGCCAATCATGCGGATCGGAAATTTTTCACCAAATCCTTGGGCAAGTTCGAGATTACAGTGCCGGAAATGTTGCTTCAGGTTCATTTTTTATATCTTTTCGTATATATCAACTTGATTATCGGTTAGTTAATACATTTCAGGACGTAATATAATTAAAATATTTCTTTATTTCAGTATGAAGATCAAGCTGGATTTGATACTGCTTATCTCGTCAACCTCTGTGCTGAATTTGAAGATGCACTCAAGTTTGGCAGTTTTGTGGAAAAACTCACAAGGGTTGCTGAATATCATCAGGTAGTCTTTTAAATTTTTTTGCTCGATTTTTGTTTAAACTCCTTGATTCTTGAGCATTGGTTTTACCTCTAATTTTAAATAGACATTAGGCTTTTTTCTAGAATTGAACGAATAAATTTTAGGTACAGCTTCCTGATTGCGACTTATCGCCAAATACCACTTCTGACTCTGAGAACGAAGATGATATGAATGAATCCGACATCCGTGGAAACAGGTAATTTTCATCTAAGCTAAATGAAATAATTAAACGAGACTTACATTCATTTTTCTTTATTTGTGTAATTAGAAAGTTTTGTTTAACAAACTTAACATTTAGAGGTTAAATAAAATCTAACTTTTAGCTTGAATCAACATCAGATTTCCGAATCGGAATCCGAAAAAGAGGTTAGTTTTTACGATAATAATTCCTACCTTTTTTCTATAACATGGCTATGATTTAATAGATTTGCTTAAGAGATGATGATAAATCATTTTGCTATGATATCGATGTTGATATTTAATTTATTTTAAATTTGAAGCTTTAGATGGATCGCCCACTGATCAAGTTTACCGAAGGACGTGCTTTACGGTACACATTCGCTCAAAGCTACTTTGAAGTGTATCATCCCGAAACTGGAACGACCTGGCATTTTCTTCATGCTGACATTCGCCAACGTGAATATAAGTTCAACCCGCGAGGTCGACCCGCTAGAGCTGGTCGCGCTCGATTCCTTCTTTACAACGTTACTCTTCAGGTTGGTTTTCTTTTATTTTCTCTTGTTTCTTCAAATTTAAAACGTGGGAATTAAAATAAGTCTCGATTTTTTCGTTTTTAGGCTAGAAAGACTGCGGTTCGTGCCGGACGTGCTGCTCAATATGTGGACGTAGGACCTTGTGATGTGGAATTCGATGTGATCAGCACCACTCTCTCCGCCACCACCCTTTTGAACCAATTTGGCGCACACCGTTACACTGCAACCCTGTGATGCCTTCAAATATCATTAATTCGTTCTGATTGTAAACAAATAAAGGTCATTTTGTGATAACTTTTGTAAAATAGGGTACTTTAAAACTATGATAGTTGTAGAATGTTTAGCAAAAATAACTTTTTGCTGATTTGTTTCCATTGATTTATGTATCTCGTTGAACTAGAGTAAATAAATTGTTGGAATGAAGGATTTTATGATTTTTTGAAGGCAATGAGGACCTGCCATTTGCTTAACTTACAACAAAATTGAAACAAGATGCAACAATCTTTATGATACTTCTCTAAAGTTTCATGATTGTTGGAAAAAGATCCGGTTGAATTGAAACGGCACCTACTACTGTACTCATTTTGTTTAGTCTAAATTGTGTCTTTGGAGAAAAGGAACGTTAATAATTCCTACCTTTTTTCTATAACGTAGCTATGATTTAGTAGATTTGCTTAAGAGATGATGATAAATCTTTTTTATTATGAGATATATTTCAATATTTAGTTTATTTTTAATTTGAGGTTTTTGGATGGAGCGCCCATTGTTCAATTTTACGGAAGGACGTACTTTGCGACTCAGATTCACGCGACGCGGCTTTGCGGTCTTGCATCCCGAAACTGGAACGACCTGGCATTTTCTTCATGCTGACATTCGCCAACGTGAATATAAGTTCAACCCGCGAGGTCGACCCGCTAGAGCTGGTCGCGCTCGATTCCTTCTTTACAGCGTTACCCTTCAGGTTGGTTTTCTTTTATTTTCTCTTGTTACTACAAATTTAAAACGTGGGAATTAAAATAAGTCTCGATTTTTTCGTTTTTAGGCTAGAAAGACTGCGGTTCGTGCCGGACGTGCTGCTCAATATGTGGACGTAGGACCTTGTGATGTGGAATTCGATGTGATCAGCACCACTCTCTCCGCCACCACCCTTTTGAACCAATTTGGGGCACACCGTTACACTGCAATTCTGTGATGACTTCAAATATCTTTAATTCGTTCTGATTGTAAACAAATAAAGGTCATTTTGTGATAACTTTTGTAAAATAGGGTAATTTAAAAATATGATAGTTGTAGAATGTTTAACGAATAACTTTTTGCTGATTTGTATCCATTGATTTATGTATCTCGTTGAACTAGAGTAAATAAATTGTTGAAATGAAGGATTTTATGATTTTTTGAAGGCAATGAGGACCTGCCATTTGCTTAACTTACAACAAAATTGAAACAAGATGCAACAATCTTTATGACACTACTCAAAAGCCTCATGATTCTTGGGAAAAGGGCCGGTTGAATTTAAACTGCACCTACTACCGTACCCATTTCGTTTAGTCTAAATTGTGTCGGAAAAATCTCTAATCCTTGTTAGTTTCAACTCCTGTTTGCCAATGGCTCACTAAGGAGCCTGTTGACGGCGAAGATATTTAGCTTGCATCGTTGCTAAAATAAAATAATGGCTCAAAGCTCTGAATCAAAACTCAACCGAAGCTCTGAATGTTGAGGTTTATTGCATACTTTTGATCGGAATTTCTAGAAACTCGTGTTTATAAATTACTACTGCATTGGATTAATAAAGTTTTCCGTTTAGGGTCCATTTGGTGTTCGTCTTTGTGATGACATGCTTAATGTGTTCTGTGATCGAGTACAAATGGTTGCCCCTCGGCAGGTCAATGGTCAATTTTTTTGCGATTTAATCAATCTTGGTGGCTGCACTTTTTGAATAAGATCATTTATGGTCTTAGTGTGTTCTAACATTGCAAGCACAAATCAAGCCAGGCGATGAAGTGATTCAAATCATCTTTGATCAATACAGGCAGCATTATATAACGGTTTTTATTTTTGTTTTTCAATTTCTATAAAAAGCTTTAGGTTTATTTAACGTTTGAAGATGGAGAGCCTTTGTTGAGAGTCTATGATCCACTACTTAACGAAGCTAGCATGAAGGGCCGATTTCTATAAAAGAAGTGCCTTTTTGAAAGTGTTACTCGAAAGGAACACATTTTATTTGATATACTGTAGTGGGATGCATGGTAGATAAGTTACAGTATTCTTATAAATGAATTTTTGAGATATATCGTAATTATTCCAATAGACGGTCACCCCTAGGTAAAAATTATCATTTCAAAAATGCGTCTTTGGTATCAAAAAATAGCTGAAATTTAGGGCTATTTTTTGATACCAAAGACGCGCATTGTAGCATAAACGAGTGTCGAGAAAAACTCGTTCAAAGCTAGACTACACAACAATCCGCACCGTCATTATGGGGGTGGGGTACTATTACAGTATTTACGGTAGATCATTTACAATTTATAGCATAACAGAACAGACGTTTAGATGTTTAGAAGAAGAACGAAAAAAACTGATAATGAGTCTTAACTTGAGCCGTAAATCAAGTTTTGTTTTTAAATTTCTGAATATCCATTGCAAATATGTCTCTAATGTAAGAAACAATGAGAAGAAAAAGACAGAATGACTTTGTTTTTATCAATTTTCCACTTTAGTACTATTAGAATTGGAAAGTTTATTGAAAAAAAAATGTGCATTTGCTTTTACTGGCTGTTCTGGGACACTGTTTTTTGAAGAATTTTTGAATAAAGTTCAGGAAAACGTTGAACTCTACATGAAAAAATGAATGTACTTGTCCTTTTTTGTTCTTTTGAGGTCACCAGTCACAATTATTTCGCTTTCAATCACTTTTTCGCGAAGAAATTCCGCCTTTGATGTGGAAAGATTTAACGATCGAATAAACTCACGCCTCATCAATAACTTCTTTTTTTTCTGAGATAGAGAGCTAAAAATAATGTTTAGAATAAGGTGAACGTTTTAAGTGCGATAGAACTCAATGGAGTTTCATTTTGTTTTTGGGAAATCCAGAAATAGAATGTAATTGTTAGGCCAAACTTGAGAAAAAGGCTTAGATCGAAAAAAGAAAAGATGATTTTCTAAGAGATCTAAAAATTTTAGATCGGAGAGCTAAAAATAATGTTTAGAATAAAGTGAACGTTTGAAGTGCGATAGAACTCTATGGAGTTTCTTGTTGTTTTTAGGAAATCCAGAAACAGAATGTAATTGTTAGGCCAAACTTGAGAAAAAGACTTAAATCGAAAAAAGAAAAGATCATTTTCAATTTTTCTATTGTGTGATGCTGATCAGGGGAGCAAGGAAACACTTGTAATCACAACGAAGAGATTGCGTCTTTCGGAAGACTTTATTTGTCTCCTCTCAAATACTCAAATAATTCGTTTTCTAAAACGTTTCTTCTTTCTCAACTACCGTAATCTTGTCTCTAGTTTTATCCAATCTAGTTTTTCGGCTTTTAGGCTGGTAGATTTGATAAACTGTAGGCAAGATTACGGTAGTCGAGATACGTTTTAAAAAACGCATGATCATCTAATAATTACCGCTAAAAGCCTAGCTCAAAATTTGGCTTTGGTTTCAAAAAAATAAAAAAGAAAAAAGTAAGGAAAGAAACCCTTTAGAAATACATTTATTATCGATCCAGAAAAGACTTATCCAAGTCCTTGTGATATCTTACAGTAATCAATGTTCTTCACCACTAGAAATTGGACTTTTTAACGCGTGTATTCGTACCCAATGTGATCACAAAAATCTCACCTCTCCTCATTCTAAAATTGGAATTACGTGAATGCACCGAATAAGAATCCCTTTCTCTCTCTCTTTGAACCCATCACCCTTTCCAATTCACATCAAATGTCCCCAAATGCTTATCACCAATGCCAATAAATAGAAAATAAATAGAATGATCCTTTGAGAAGTAATCACCCCGCTGGGTACTTGTTATAAAAGATGGGAAAAAGTGTGAAAACGCCTTTCTGCATTTTCTCAAAACAGTTTCTCTGATTACAGTAATCGAGTTTGAGTGTATAGGTTTATTTCTTCTATTTTTCGACTAAATCAGAAAGTTGTCATTGCCACAATACTCTATCGACTGTACTCCTGCAACTGTGGTAATTTGTCTTCAAGAGCTTTCTGCTAAAAACTGATGAGTGAGAAACAGTCGCCGGTCGGCATTCACAATTTGGCTTTTCAGAGAGGTTTCTTTTACTCTTCAGCTTTTATTTTTTTTTTTTCAAAGGGTAAACGGTAAAGCTCGTCATCTCAGTGCATACTTATATTTCCAAAAGTTGAACGGAAATCTCATAACAAATAGCGATAAGTAGAACCTACACATTTCAATCTTTCAAATGACACAAAATACAGCTTATTTGAATTATCCGTTCTCATAAACGAGGAACACACTCTACCCTGTATAGTATTGCGCTTAATGCATCTTTTTGACTTTCTAAGACAATAGAAAAAGCTGAACTTAAGCTGAAAAACAAGAATTAATAATAAAATCTACGCATAATTTTACATAGAATAGAAGAACCGTAACATTTTTTTAATGACTTTCATTAACCCTAGCCGAGCAGTACAAAACAAAAAACTGTAAACTCTTTTGGTTTTTGAGAAAATCATCTTTTTATAACGCAACATTATATAAGCCGAACTATGTATTTAATGCCATTAAAAAGCTTGAAGTGCCCTTGTTTCAACGATAGCAAAAGTTAACAATGATATCGTCTCTGAGCAAAGTTATAGGCCATCAAAGCTTGGTCACTCATTCAAAAGCCCCGGATTTCGGCTAAGAGTCAATGATAAATGATCATTCTTCTAAGTTCGAGAGATTTTGAAATACAGGGGTATTTGAATGCAATCTCCAGTTAAAATAGTGTCCTAGTGAGAGGAAAGTGAACGATCACTGTCTAGTCATCCCCAAGCAATCTTCAAAGACTCCCCCCTTTCGCCTCTTTGCCAACTTCAAAAGGACATAAATTTTTCTGCTTTTCCAAATTCTCCCGTCTCTTTTTTGTTTTACAAGTGTGCAGGAAAGACACAGGTAATAAATTTTATACTCAATAGAGAAAACGAGAGAGAAAAGTGATAACAAAAAGGAGAAGAACTGATGTATTTGCTTTTGATTTGGCCTTAATTTCTTGCTCATCAAAAACGCATTCTAAGATTTTCTAAAAAAAAAATTGCTTATAATAACGGCAATTCATCGATTCATTTTCGTGCGAACAATCTGTGGATTTCCGTAACTTTTCATGGCGAGTCTAAAAATTAGTGCGTTTCTTGGGTGTTCTTTTAGATAGATCACTTTATTCAGCACATTAAATAAAGTGCGCAAGATTTAAGATTTATACACATAAACACGAAAAGGATCGATAAAAAGCAACACGATATAATGTTTATAATATATGGGTAGCACGGATAACGTCAAGAATCAACTAGAGCTTCAAGATCAAGATTATCAGCAGATAATTGAAAGGTTTCGAGACTGAATAGTCTCGAGACTCTCTCAAAACTCTGTGTAGTCGATTCCAAAATCTGGGAGCTCTTATTGGAAAAGAAAGAGTTCTACTAGTTCTAAAAGAGTTCTACTAGTTCTAAAAGAGTTCTACTAGTTCTAAAAGAGTTCTACTAGTTCTAAAAGAGTTCTACTAGTTCTAAAAGAGTTTAGGAGATAAAAAGGTTGATAAGAAGAGTTTAAGTTGATAAAGCGGAAGAGTTTAAACGAAATTTTGAAACTTTAAAGATGTTTTTTTTTTTGATTAGATCGATCTTGAGAATAAACAATTTTCGCATATGTAACTTGGGATTTGACCAAATTTTGATGAAACTCAGAGTCTAATTTTCATCAGTCCAATTTTTCGAATCCAAAAAAAAACTCCAAAATCCCAGTGTTGATTATAAAGAAAAGCCTTTATTAAAAGGGTTTTTCAAAGGTTTTTTTTTTTCTTTAAAATCTTTAAACCATTTCTTTTCAAATTCTTTTTTTGAGTATGTTTTATTAGATAATTCTAATGACAAGTTACACTCGCACTCGTCAAAAGTCGTAATGATAAAAAAGAAAGTCAAAAATGATAGAGTGAATGATCAAAAATTGTTGAAGATCAGCTTTGGCTAAAATTCTAAGCTTGAAATATAATATTCTGTAAACATTTGGTACAAATTCAGTAAACAAATAAAATTTCAAATCTCGAAAAGGAACGGATTTTTAAAAAAAAGCTTTTAGAAGATGAAACGGAACTTCAAGCGAGGTCGAGAATCGTGCGAAATGCTTTCAGGGATGAGAAAAATTGCATTGTTTTGAAGGTAGTTAAAGAAATGAACTTAGTTAAAGAAGAAGAAAGAAAGTTAAAGAATTTCATTTCATTTCAATAAGAAAAATCCAGGTGGACACGCATTTCAACACGGAAAAGGGGGTGAATCCGTTCGGATTTCACTTCGAAATGGACCCGAAACGCTACACGGAAAGGAAAAGGCAGTTGAAACGCGAAAGTGAGTGGATTTTCTTTACAAAAAATATTGCATTTTGAAAGAGTTTCAAAGATTTAACTGTGAGCACACTTTCTGGTGCACTTTCTAGTGCTTTCTGGTGCACTTTCTGGTGCTTTCTGGTGCACTTTCTAGTGCTTTCTGGTGCACTTTCTGGTGCACTTTCTAGTGCTTTCTGGTGCACTTTCTGGTACACTTTCTGGTGCTTTCTGGTACACTTTCTGGTACACTTTCTGGTGCACACTCCTCATGTTATTGCCAGAAAAGATGAGAAATCAGTGCGAGGAACCAGAAAGGGTGCACTTTTCGATTGATCAACCCGCGAACAACTTTGCTTATTCGTTAGGCTCTAGGGATCACGCGATGGCTGGCATGGATTGCCTATTATCATCACAAATTCGGCATTCGGCATTTGATATTAGTGGCCGCATTGACAGGATATGTTTTCGCAGGTGGATTGCTGTTCAACAAATTGGAGTCAAAGCACGAGTTAGAGGTTTGAAACTTGTTCACTACAGTAGACCTACTAGACCTACTAGACATGGGAATGTTTCCGTGTGAACGTCAATAGATGTTCAACGAAAAAATGGAATATCTTGACCAATTTCCCTCTAATCTTTTTCTCTTTGATTCCAATCGATAGAAAAGTCAATTCTGCGTCAATTGATATCAAAATCGAAAAGATCGGAGTGAAATTGGTTAAGATATGGAATTTTTTCGTTGGACACCTATTTCACATCAGTTCTAGTGTCTACAGTAGCCTATACATAGTACCTACATAGACATAGGAGTATTCCAAGCCGAACCTAATTCCACCAGCGTTTTCTGCATCAATTTTGCTTATTCAGGACCTGAAAACCACGCTTGTGATGATGCAGGGAATCATTCGCGAAATGAGCGCTGAAGCGATCAATTTGACTCTTGTTGAAGTCGTTCAAAAGAACAATTACACTGTGGGAATGGACAAAATGGGGAAATTAATAAAGGTAAATGGTAATTGAAAGTAGTTGGAAATAGGGCAGATCAAAAACTCGCGCCGCCACCGGGACTTGAACCCGCGACCTTTGGCTTACCGGTCAACTGTGGTGCTAACCATTACACCAAAACGCACTCGATCTCCCTTCCTACAGAGGGAGTTAAGTAAGTGAAATTTTCAAAAAAAAGCACAAATTTCAGCGTTACTACAAAGAAATGCTCGAGGCGGAGGGTCGTTTTCATGGAAGTGTTTGGCATAAGGTTAGAATTTTGAGAGAATTGTAGAAAATCCTTGTGCAAAATGCAAAATTTTGTTTTCATGCAGTTTTCATGCAAAGTTTCATCGGTTCTAAATCTCAAAAATCCATTTTCAGGCTGAAAATCTCGAATTGCATCTGATGTGGTATTTCTCGTCGGCCACTTTCTACGCAATGACACTTTTCACGACGATTGGATATGGTTTGTTGAAGAAAATATATATAAAATATTTTTAAAAAATTAATAAATTAACTTTATATTCAACTGGATATTGGTTCTTTAATGTCTTTAGGGTTAAATGAAATGAGCTCAACATCACAAGCGGTAGATCTATTCATTTTCAATCTCATTGTCAATAGATTTACATCAGAAAAACGAGATCATCAAAGTAATCAAATCTCGTTTTTCCGTTGTACACCTATTGACAATCAGATCGACAAATAAAAAAACTCTAACAAGCGGTATTCTTCTCCCGTAGTCAACTCGTGTCAAAGCAAAACTTTACATCAATCTAGCTTCTGATTTGTGTGCATCAATTCTTAATGGGGTAATTTCACGGGGCTCTTCCTCTTTAGGATCGATCGTAAATGATCAGTTCATTTTCATTCCTTTCTGTGTCATAAAATTCCCGTTTTGGGTAATTTACAGAAGCTTATCGCACGTCTCTCCTTTTTTGGCGTTTCCCGAAAAAGCTCCGAAAATTTTTGAAAATCGTGAGATTAGAAAGAGAAATATGGATGCCAAAGATCAGCAACAAGATTGCAAAATGGAGATTTTTTAAAAATTGTAAAGAATACAAAAATTTTCTCAGGTACGATCACATGTCAAACATTTTGGGGACGCTTCATGTCGATCGTTTACGCATCGATTGGTAAGGGTTTTTGTTTATTTCGGAAGGGAATATAGATAGTTTTGACATGTATGAGTATTACTATTAAGCATTTTATCAAGACAAAACTGTGAATTTGAAAGCCCAAGAGCACTTTCAGGTATCCCATTGATGTTGGTGACATTGGGCGATGTGGGTGAATGGTTCCAAAAAGCGATCACAAAAGGATACGTGTTCTTGCTGATCAAATGGAAGTGAGTAGACAAATGTTTTCCAAAACTAGTCAACTTTCAAAAAAATCTCCTAATCAAACATTTATTGCACTCATTTACAGTTTACCCAAAACATTTATTGATAGAAAAAGAGGCAAAATTACGAGAACGGGATGAATTTGTGGCTGCCATTTGACGATGCAGGATCATCATTCAGGACTTCACTTTGCTTCCTTTGAGGCTGCCGATTTGCTGCGATTTTCTCTTTGACTTCTTGTCCTTATTCTTGCTGCCGAACTTGAACATTCCCCACTAAAAAGTGATACTTTTAATCACTGATGACTGGACAAAAACCAACCCCCGTGCTCTTCTTCGACTCATTCGGCGCTTCGGCCTTTTTCTTTCCCTTATTTTTGGCCAATCCTTTGTTGCCTTTGTTTGACTTCCGCGGTCCATCGGCTTTCTTGCTCTTTTTCGATGCATCCGATTTGCCTCCCTTGATCGATGTCCTCTTCTTGATCTTCTTCAACAACAGCTTGCCCGAAGCTTGTTTACTAAAGCAAAAGCAGAATTCCAAAACTGCATAAAGTGTTTACTCGTCATTATGTGGTGCATTCGAAGGTGGAAGAGCTTCTGCTGACTTCTGTGCAGATTGGTTGGGAGGAGCAATCAAAGGTGCAACGGCTTCTGATGGCTTCTGTGTCAATTGTTCGGAAAGCGTTGGCTGAGTGAAAGCTAATGGACCGGCAGAAGACGGAAGGGGCATTGGTGCTTCGGGAAGCAGTTCGTGCTGAAATCAAACAATTGGAAAATAGAAAACACAAATTTACTGTAAAATGAATCAAAAGAAACCTTTGGCTCAATCGCAGTGGGAATTCCGGCAGTTGGTACTTCCTTTGATGGTGGAGTTGAAGCGATGAGTTCCTCGATGACACGGCGCTGTTCTTCACTTGGCATCGTTTGAAGAACCTAAAGAATGACAAAACATACAAAATAACACGATTAAAATTTTACCTGTAAAATGTCACTATCAGTAGCGTTGGGTACTTGAATGGCGGTTTCGTGAGCTGCAGCTTGAGGGGTGACCGTGGGAGTGGTGGGCAGTTGCTGATCTCGAGCCATTACAACTTCGGCAGCTGGAGTAGCTAATAAAATTAAGTTTGATTATCAGTAAAGCTTAATAGTTGCCTAGAATTTATAGGAGAATAAGGTTTTTAAAAGGCTCACTTTGTGCTTGTGGAGGGACTTCTGGAGGATTTTTCATCGATCCAGTGACGCCAAGGGGACCAGGCTTTTTCTAAAAAGACATTTTAAGAAAAGAACAAGAAAGATTACCTCAGCCATCGCTTTCATCTCGACTCCACTTTTCACCGTTTCCGCTTTCAACCATTTGATGCCGGTAGGGGTGCACGCTTCGGCGGTTTGAATCTCAGCTACAGCAGTGTGTGGAGAAACGACACTCTCACTAAAGAACAATAAAGTTAGAACTTTAAAAACACAACAGAACATATCTTATAAAAGCTTAAACTTAAAGAGCGATAGTAAAAATAACTCACGCAAATGGAGCAACAGCAGTGCGGCACGTATCGACACTCGATTGAGGATGGGCTGTCGAAACGGGGGTCGCCGTTGGGAGCGTCGATCGAGGCACATCTGATGAACGCTTTGGAGCTGGCTTTCGAGCATTCTAAACAGACAAATGCAACACAAGTAAAGCAAAAACAGCATGTAAACAGCAAACGAACAAAAGGTTTAATCAAAAAGAACTAAATAAACCAACTGCTTGATAGAAGTAGTAAGCGATAGCCGCAAAAGCAAGAAGGAGCAGTAGATGAAGCATTTGAGGAGACTCCACAGACAGGCGGGCGGCAAAAGTAAATAATGATTTTGAGAGAGGAAGTGCCGTTTTTTATTAGACGCTTAAATGGTAATTTCCGAATGATAATTAGGCGAGGTTATGGTTTTCCGGTCAGCTTTTACCAAATAAAACAACCTTTTGACAAATTTCTATTTTAAGTGGCTGATTTCCAGAAGCTTTCGAAAACAAAAGATCAAGCGGCCACTCGACGAGATCTATTTGCCAATTTATTACGCATTGGGCATTGTCACAGTGTACATTTTGATGTGTACAATGATTATCAAGGTGAGATATCGGTTTTGGAAATTGAAAAAGTTGAAAAATAAAAGATCTATAGATCTATAGATCTATAAGTTATAATGAAAGATTTATAAGTTTGCTAGAACTCGACCTAAAGAAATATTCTAGGAGTTCGATCGTCAAGAGGGCAACAAACCGGGCATCGACTTTGGCTCAGCCTTGTACTTTGTTTTCATCTCATTGACCACGATTGGATTGGGAGATGTGATGCCATACAATATTCAGGTAGAAGTGCTATATTTCCTATTAAATGAATCCATTTACAGTACTCTCCATTCTTGGCGGCAGCGTTTCTACTGGGTTTAGCGATGGTTTCGATTGTGAACACGTCGATTTACGCTGTTTTGTATGAGATCTTCTTCAAACAAGTTGAAAAGACGGAGAATTGTAGGAAGATCAGAGCTTTTTGGATTTATTCTGAACTTCAGGGTTGGATCGGGTTCACAGTCGACACAATAAACCCCATGGATGGAAGGTTTTTAAGGTAGAGTTTGAGAAAAAGTTGGAAATCAATGATCATGAATTTATAGGATTTGGAGCCTTGCATGAGAACATTGGTCTGCTCATTTCCACATTTCGAAAAATCGAATCGTGATCGATTACTGACAATGCTTGGCAAGAAATACAATCAACAAGGTTTGGAATGACAAAAGACATTTTGAAATCTTTCTTTGACTCTTTTTATAGATGCTGTCGGGACGGGTCTACAGAGTATGGTGGCAAGAACACTTTGGGCAACAGCTGGACTTCCACATTTGAATAATGGAATTGCAAATGGTTGGTGATAAGCGATACAAAACGATCTATCAATCACACAAAGCTGACCTGGCTTGTACACACCAAAAAAAATTCAGGTGATGTAGAGCAGGGAATTGTGGAAGAAAAATCAACGGACGATCCACAAGATCCCCAATCAAATGGGGATTTGGAGAAGCCAAAGAAGAAGGTAGATAAAGGCTCAAAAATTAATTTTACACTCAAAACAAAACCTAAAGGTTGGCTTCTCGATTGTGAGAGTTCGAACCAATTCGGATTTGGCGGCTCACGATCTAGATCATGATCACGATCAACCGGTGGTGAGTAGTGCAATTTATAAAATGGATATTTATCTAAACTAGAACCAAAAAACAAAATAACAAACACCGAGTAGTGTGTAAAAAGAAATAAAGCGGTTACTCACGTCAAAAATAATAATCAAAGATGGTCGATAATATCTCTGTGCCCGATCCCGTCAATCGCTCCATCTTCATAAGCGCGTTTCCAGTGACGATGCTCTTCTTTTGTCCAAAACTTTCTAAAATAACTAAAATACATAATTTTTTTAAAAAATACCTTTCGGTAAATGGGTAATGCCTTGGTGAAGTCTCTGGGCGAGGGAAAGTCTTTGAGCAGCCGCCCTAAAATAGATAAATGCATACATATTAGGTTGAGTACTATTTGTTGGTATGACATTTCCATTTTTCTCTGTAAAAACAATTAAAGGCTAATTTAGTTACGGTTTTCATCAAAAAAAATTGTTAATTGTCGCATTTTACATCTTTTTGAACAAATTTGGATGCATTTTGAGAAATATTTGAGCAGAAATTCGTGTTTTTCCGAAAATTCGTTAAATGGTCAAAAAATAAAAACGGCTTGACAAATTAAGCTGAAATTTTGGCTATAATCGTAATGTTTTGTGCTCTATCTTTTGTCTTATGACACCAAAATAGGTTTCTTTGGCTAAAAGTGCTCAAATTGTATCATTAGGCCTTTACTGCTTTTGATCTTTCAACTTCTTGCCCTCTGAAAAACCAGAAAACGGAAGCATTTCCAAATGCGCTAAAAGTTACTTTTAGAAGATCAATAGAGCTTTTAAATGGTAAAAATTGTAAGTTAATTGAAGCACTAGTTGTTTCTAAAAAGAGCGAAAAGTAAGCCATATCAACACATAGTACTCAACCTAATAGTAGAATTCACCCTATCTATCGTACTATAATAGTAATAGAAAATACTACAAACTTTTAGGATAAACTTTTCCATGCCCTCTAAAGCATTGGCTTTACTTGTCGTAATCGAGGCTGTAGACCATTGATCTGTCTCTAAATTGTACAATCAAAGAAATGATAAGAAAACAAACCATTATTTGTTACTGGTGTGGATCCTGGCAAACATTTTTCTCTCGATAAATATCCTGTAGATTCCAATGTGCTTGACGGATTTTGGGATTCGATGTCAGGCAAAAAAATCTAAACTAAAATCTAAAAACAATACAAAAAAGAGTTTGTTTTTTAATGGTTTCTAAAGCCATTATAGTCATAGATTCGATTTTAGGTGCTATAGTAGTTGGGGGGGGGGCAGTGTACATTCATCTCTATTGAGCTAGAGCGCACTAATTTTTGCTTCTAGGGTTTTTAATGGCGTAGATTCTTAATTTGGTATTTATTTAAGCTTTAGTAACTGTTTTCTAGCTATTTCAAGCAGTTACTGAGGTTTTAAGCATCTTAAATTGGTCCCATACCTCTAAACCCAGTGGAAATAGAGCCACTCTTGAAGGTTCGGAGTTGTTGCTCAAACTGGTATAAAAATTGTTCAGAATGGCTTATAAATGCTTCCAATGGACTCAGTGCAATTAATTATCCCAAAAAAGTTTTTAAAACTAGTAGCAAATTCGAAAAAAAACGGTACAAACTGGCCCCTTGTAGTTGGATACAAAAAGTATCCAACTACTATAGCACCGGATTTTATTTCCAAAAAACATAAAACTCCAACCTGTGAAAGTTTGAATGGCTCTGTGGTGGCAAGATTCAACGAGGTGGCAATCAAATTGCTCATCTTGACGATCGGGTAGTGAACGAACTCTAAAAAAGAAATAAAATGGATTAGCTTTAAGAAAAACTGAACAAGAAAAAGAAATAGAAAATGAACTTTTCAGACACGAATCCCATCGTTCAAAGGGCGACAACGAGCGCCAACACTGGGTGCTTTCGGCGGTTTTGAATTAAATAAATTCCGGAAAATGCGCGAGAAGCGAAAAAGTATCCAAATGGACTCATATACATCACCGAGTCAACGACATAATGATGATTCGGATTGAGAAAATTGTGCATTCTTCGTCTTATTTGCTTTAAGCCACAAAGTGATTTCATTGCCGGGTACTTGATTTTTCAGTTTTTAACACTTTTTGATGTTGATTGCAAGTTTGTAGGCGAAGAATGTTTCTTTGCTTGCAAGTTTGCTACTCTGTATACTTTCAGAGTACCGGCCCCAGTGTCCCCCTTGCCATTGGCAATCTACGGTATTTTGCCATTTTCTCGCTATCTACTGAATCAATTTTTATGATTTTAATACCATTCGATGGAGGATTAAATTATGCATCGAATGGTACAAAAATCATAAAAATTGATTCAAGAGATAGTGAGAAAATAGCAAAATACCGTAGATTGCCAATGGCAAGGGGGACACTGGGTGGCGGTACTCTGAAAGTATAACTCTGTGAATAAAAACTTTGAAAATTTACATTCATTTCACACAAATCTGAATTTAAACGCGAAATAAAAACGTCTCGTCTTCTCGTCTTACTTCTCCATTGACCAACTCAAAGGATTGACACTTTCCACAACGATGCCAAAAGATTTTCGCCTAACCTTAGTTGGTTTTTACAGTTTTTCGCTTCCTAATGGTTTGTTGGTTTTGTTTCGGAGTTTTTGGCTTGATCAAGGCTTGATCAAGCTTCTTTACTTGCGCGCTTTTAATTATGAGTTCTAAGCGCTCAAGCGATTTCCAAAGGCATCATTTTTTATACTTTTATGTTATTTGACAAGGTTTTAATATGTATTTCAGTGGATCTTCCTTCTCGGCCTCGCCGTACAAACGGCCTACGCTGAAACGACTAAAAATGTTGATTCTTTGATCTTGATAAGTAATTTAAGTTACGCTATGATAAGTTGCATATGTTTTATTTTTAGGTGGATCCCAAGAATACGCAAGAGGCACCCGAAACCATCAACACGACAAGCATTGTGCCTCCTTCCAACAAAGCCAGCCCAACCACGAATACAACGAATACGACCACGACTACATTCGCGCCTACTACAACCACGTCTAACACAACGATGCCAATTCCGGTAATTTTTGTACTTATGCTTAGAAAAATTGTATGCTTTAGACAACAACGAAAATCGATGTTCAATCAAATTGTACCGAGGGTCTGCCGTTGGCTTGCTGGATTTCACCGGAGTTCAAAGCATTAAAGGTTTGTATTTTGCAAAATGCTTTTGATTGTGTGATTGAGTTATAACAATATGTTACAGAGTAAACGATGCGAATGTAAAAACGGCACGACTTTCATCTACAATGCCACTCGCTGCGAGCACATGACAGTCTATCAAAAGCAGGAGTAGGTTTAGTTTGCTATTTTCCAGGATCTACTGTCATTTGTATTTATTGATGTTAGAATTTATTCGGTTTTTCTAGATACTTACCTGGCGAGTTTGAGCTGGCGCTGAAATGTAATTACACGCTGAATGAATGCTATCAACAGGTTTTGTGATTTCTGTTGTTTGTTAAAAGTTATTCATTTTAGTTCAAATTGACTACAGAGAAACTCAGCAAGAAAAAGAAGCCAAATCAGCCAGAGTAGACGCAAGAAGAGATTGAAGAAGAGGAAGCGGATAATTTCAAATTGAGCGAAACGGATGTGGAAGACTCGTTGGCTGGCAAGGGATACGCAATCGCACAAGCGTTAGTTCATTTTTTGTTTTTATTACACGTGTTTTTAGTGAGGACTGTTGAATTGGTTGAAAGTCGCAACATTTCGTCCGAAACGAAACGCTTTATGACACCGAAGTGAAGTACCCAATAGCGCCCAACAAGGATTTTCGAGAGAAATGCGTTGCGGGCAAGGTTTTTGACCAAATATAGTCGTTTTTTAAGTTTATGTTTATAGCACATCATCGATCGATCCTTTCTACTTCGAAGACGACGAGTGTGTTTACCCCGTGCAAGGTTGCACAGAACTGTTGGAAGAAATTGTTAGTTTTTGATGACATTTCTGATAAAAGCATATTTTTAGTTATTCTGCGATAAAAACGCAACAGTGAAAAAATTGGGCAACTTCATAGAAAAGGACTATAGTAAAGAGGAGGACAAATATGCCGCGCAAGTAGCCACTCACCGAAAATGGAATTTTGTACACGTTTATGGTTCGTTTTGAATAAGAATTGGATCAAGCTGATCACCTAGTTTAAACTCAAGATCATGGATGCTTTAGTGATCATTATGGCTATGTTGTTCGGCATTTCAATTTGTGCTATTGTCGTTGCGGCCCTCATTTACGTGTTAGCATTCAGGTATTTTCTTGCCAACGACTTTTTCACTTAATCTGTGTTTAGGAAAAAGAAGCGTTTCATCAAGGGTAAAGGTGCCAAAACGGGTCGGAACATCTCTAAAGTGAGTACCTATTTTTTAAACAAGTTTTTCAAATGATTCAGTCTAGGCCAAACAAGAAGGAAAAGAATAAGAAGGGTGCGAAGCTGTCGCCACAAGATGGTTCGTCAATGGATGTGTCGATTGGGCAACTACATGATGTTCAACCGATCAAGAGACGCTCGACTGCCGTGAGTTTCTTACAGAATCCAATATTTTCTGTCAAGTACCATGTCCTGGTTTATTCATGAATGCATATTTTTAGGACAACCAAACGACTGGCGTTGAATCGCAGACGGGCACCGAACCCCAAACAACGGCTCAAATTGTCTAGATGAACGATACCAAATCCCTTATATCTCAACTCTGTTCACATGTGTTTGTGATCTCTACTTTAAGTTCCTCAATTTGGGTGCCCATCTCTTCCTCGCATCGTTGCTTTTGTGGTCCGTAAGACTTTTTGTGTGGTTTTGGTTTGAAAAATGAAGGGTAAATTGGGTTTTGTTGTTGTTTGTTAGGAAAATTTTAAACAGGCAGTTTACCTGGAAAGTTTGAGCAACAGAATTTTCACAATCTTGAGTGAGTGAGGGGATCTGGGGCGCCAATGCCTGCCATTTTTGTATTTTCTTACATGTTGTATTAATCTCTCTCTCTCTCGACGAGTAAACACGGATTTTTGATTATTTTTGCAGTACCTGGATTAAATATCATTGTCGCTCTCGGCCTCTCCCAATATTTCTGTGGCCTCTACCCTACCTGATCTCTCCGTCAATCTAGTCACATCTCTCATTCACCCCCCCCCCCAATTCCCTCGATCCATACCCCGTTTTGTGTACATTGTTTTCACGAGTCGCCCTCCGATCGAGTCGGCTCTTCTCTCTTATGGTCGCCTTTTTCAGTGCTTTTCAAACATTCCCAATATACACTGACCTTTTCCTTTTCTGAAAGAAATCTTTTCGGCTTCAGCTTTTTCTTTGTTACAACATTTTCGTATAGAGTTAGTTTGTTTGTTTTTACCCTACTACATGATATACCTGCATAGAAATGGAGCGCTTGTAGAAACTGGAAACGTTGTTAAACATTGAGCCAAGATCTGAAAGTTAGACTTTAGGGAACCTTGGGATGATTCACGTAGACCTCTAGCTCTCTTTGTAATTAACTACCAAATTTTCTTTTGAAATCGTAAACCCTCTGAAATGAAATCCTTTTAGGGTGGCTTGTGAAATCGTTCACTTCAACTCGCTTATTCATTAGTGTCTTTTTCGAGGATCTCCTCTCATTTTGCAGCCAACTGTGGAAAGTCATTTGTTGTAGGGACCAGCTGTTGGGCAATGTCATTTGGTGGGCGACATATTTTTGTCTTCCCTTCAGGGCGCTGGTTGGCCGTTGTTGGCAGCCACTCACTCACTTCAACGACCGTTTTACTGACTTTGAAATGGGATTAGTGGCAGTCTTTTCGAAATTCACTACAATATTATTTAGCAATGATTTGTACCGTAAATCAGCAAATGGATCTGATACACTTGTGCAATGTTTACTCACGTGTTTAAGTCTGAATCATCACTTGGTGAATACACTTTGGGAATAATAGTGCCATTTTTTCCCTTTAAAGCTCCAATCGGTTTTGTCTCAAAACTCTTCTCTCTGAACTTTGTTAAAAATTCTACGCCCCAATTGCTCCACCAAAAGAGAGAGGCTCTAAATCGTCTAAATCTCCATTTTTCATGCATCCACAATGAGTTTCAAGGCTATTTGTTACGCTTTAGCATAAGTGAGTGGAGAGGTTTCCGCCTTCACAACTTTTCATCTTTTCTTTCTTTTTGAGGACATGTGTGAGATTCTATTGTTGGCACTGTGTTGTACTCTTCTTTGTACTCTCTTCTTTCCACATATGGCTATAAATTACTACTCGCACGCCGCATCTTTTGAATGGGGAAGGATTGTGAGAGGGGGAGTAGTAGTTAGATACCGATTTGTTTCCGCTTTATTGTTATGCTTGCGGCTTTCTGACTTCAGATTAGTGTGCTGTGTCACATTTGGTTATTACTGGTTAACCTGTAATGCGGACATGGTCACTTTCTAGATTTTAGCAAACAACATTTGTTTTCTGAAGTGTGAGATTCCTTTCAGGTCCACAAAAACAGAGTTCGTTTTCTAAAATGGAGAAAGTAGCTTGTTTCCCATGTTTACTGTAATGATTTTACCAAACGATATCATACTACAATTTCAAATTATCGAGTTTTTGCAGAAAGAAATTAGACATCAGCCATTGATCATTTAGATAAAGCAGTGCACTGAAACTTTAAAATGGCGTGGCAAAATTTTTTTTTCGCCAAACGAGCTAATTTCTTGCACCATCATCAATCGATTCAGCATAGTCAAAAACCCCTGGGTGCAAAAAAATCAGCTCATTTGGCGAAAAAACATTTGTCCCCCCTCAACTATAGCACCAAAATGGCGACATCAAGTCTATAAAGTAACCGGGGAAAGGCTTGGGCTCAAAATTCCGGGAAACAAAGGCAATAGTTGGGGGCCGTGACGCATCGGAGAGTGTTTATTTTTTCATTTGACTCAAAAAGAAAGAAGAGAATCAATGTAGTGTGAAGGAATGTTATTTGAATTATTGAACACACAACGAGATAGGGCGACCCGCTATCGATTGATCACCAAACAAAATTTGTCGGCCAGAAAAAGAAATGCGCGATCTCTCATCGTTTCTCTGTGTTTTACTTCGCCCCTTTTGTCTGACCTTTTTTCCCGTCTTTCCTCCCATTTCCCCCTTTCAATTTCGTTAAAAATGGTTGTGCCCATTCTAGTGGAAACCATTGTTGAAAAGTGTTATTTTTTATATTTTCTATTCATCCGCCTTTTTAAACGGTTAAAATTTCTAAATTTTAGGGCTTTGGTGGTTAGAAAAAACGGGGAAGCGTACTATTTGGATCAACAAACATCGCCCGAGGTTTGTTTCATTATTTTTTTTCTAGTATTTTTCTATTGAGCAATAAAAAGCAATAAGTAGATGTAAAATAAAAAGCCTTATTTTTGAGACAACCATAATATTCTTATTTTTGGAAAAATTTTGCCGAAATATTCTAAGCTTCAAACTTTATAACATTTTCGTTCAGAATGGCGGCACCGGCCTGTTGTTGTATGTTTTCCAACAATGTACGCCATTTAATTCTTCTGTTGACCACGTTTTGTATCACTCTACTTTTCTCCAACGTGGTTTTGTTTGGATTGACAACGGTTTGTTCTTGTTGTTTTTTATTTGTGAATGATTTTCTTTAGGTTTTACACGATGAAGGCGACCTGAGTGCCGGTCTCAGGACGGCTGATTCGACTGCCAACTTTCACGCACGTTTTAGGCGAGATGCAAATAAGACAACCACAGAAGATACAGCTTTTATGAACAACGATACCCTTGTTGACGCGATTGCGGCACCAGGAGGTTTGTACGGATTTATTTTTATTCTATTAAAAACTCTAAAGTCGATAATTAGTGTAATCAATAAATATGCGTTTTTAGATTATTAGTCAAATTAACAGTTTGATTTAGTTGATCCTTCGGCTCATCCAGTTGTTTCACACGAAATCTCGGAGCAACCGACGCCTTCTGCGACCCTAACAACAAAGGTTGGCCTGAGGTTTCTACAAATCATCGCTTGGTTTAGGTACAAGCTGAATTCTTCACAAATCGAATGATCACAACAAACACCGAAACACCAACGATTCGACCAGTAAGGCGAAGCACTTCCATCGATGTGAAACCTACTGAACAAGTCGCCAAAGTCAATAGTATTTTGTACGTTATAATAAAAATCTCATTTAACCTCTAGATACAAGTCTTGTTCCAGATGATAAAGATTTGGTGCGCCGAGAAGGTAACATATCATAATGTTGTTTATAGCTATGGTGTTTTATAGATCCCATTGGAAAAGATCACGAGGACGTTGGAAAAACACCTGCTGATGCCGTTCCTCAGTAAAATATTTTTCAAGGATTCAAAATCAAGAGTATTCTTTAGAACTGCTGAGTTTCAATTTGTTCCACTAACGAAGCGAGCGTCCATTTACGCAGCACCAGGACTCGGCATTTTATTGGGAACTATTCCGATTACGTACTTGATGCGAGCATTTGGAAGCAGAACGGTTAGTTTTACAATGGTTTAATTTCGAAAATGTGTTACTTACAATTGAAAGCTTTAGATTTTTGCACTTTCGATGGCGTTAGCTGCTTTGATCACAACGTTGATGCCATTTCTCATCTCTTACGGTTTTGTGCCACTTCTACTGTTGCGTTTATTCATTGGATTGACACTTTCGGCAGCTCTGCCATTGGCTGGTATGTGATTGTCTAAAGAAATAATCAGCAAATAGCAAGACAAAATATCAAATCCAAAACAAGTTTAGGCACAATCACGGCTAATTGGGGAACACTCAAAGAGCAGCTCACCTTTGTTGCTTTCTTTTTCCTCTTTGTTCCGGTATGCTGTTTTTATTTTCGAGATCCATGCTTGAGTTTAGTGGGCTCCGATCTTTTCTTGGAACACGACGATGCTCTTCTACACTTTGTATGCGCAAATGGGAGTCAGATATGCTTATTTCACACATGCGGTGATTTCTAAGTTCAGTTCGATTAATAACTTCTTTTCAGGCAATCACTGCATTCTTGGCATTGATTTTTGTGCTCTTTTATCGCGAGAAACCACAATTTCATCCATGGGTGAATGGAATTGAATTAAATCGAATTGTTGCTGGAAAAGTTCAGGTATTTTTTGACTGGTTAATAACATACTTGTAAGTCAATTTTAGGAATTGAAGAACAATCGCATCAACGAGTCTCCTTTATCGGCCGTGCTGCGTTCAATTTCCGCATGGACCATTTGGACGGCAATGACTGGTTTTTTCTTTGTGGTTGGTTAATGTGTTCAATTTGAACGTTTAATAACATTAATGCAAAATCTAAATTTTTTTTTAGATTACCGTGATTAGCACATTCTTGCCGACTTATTTCGCAAATATGGACGTTTGGATGGTGGATTCAATGGGCTTTTATGGATCGCTACCTTTCATTGGAATGGTTAGTTCGGTTTCAAACAAGGCGTTAAACTTTTTCTCTTGCAGCCACTTTGTTATATATTGTCAGGCGCTGGAAACCGATCAATTTGCTGTCGTTCTACAACACAGGTGATTGTGGTTGTGTTATGATTTAAATATTGTATTTTTGCAGGTTCGTATCTGGAACACGATCTCATTTGGTACAACAGCCATCTTTCTTGTTTTTTTACCTCTTCTATTCACAATGACTGAAGATGGATATTGGTGAGTGCTGAAGATGGATATTGAGTTTAAACGAAAATCTATTCATCTATCATTTTATTCAGCCGATATGCGATGCTTTTCCTCACTTTGGCTCCTCTCGGATTCGTTGTTGCCGGTGCCTTGCGAAGCGTGACTCTTGTTGGACGGTCAGATATTTCTATGCAAAGCTATTTAAATGTACCCATCTTTAGATTTTACGCACAACACATTCTTTCCTACTTGGGGATTGCTTTTGGATTGGCGATGACGTTCGCACCGATTATGGTTTTGTGTCTCGTTCGTGAAAAGTGAGTGTTTTGCAGAAACACGTCAAAAAAATTAAGGATCAGACTAATTTGTTTTTTACAGTGCGGTCGCTGAATGGTTGCGTGTTTTCATTGCAACAGCCGCTTTTCTTGCAGTAACTTCTGTCTCCTTCGCCATCTTTGGACGTGGACGCAGTGCCGGATGGGCTGAGCACAGGTAAATTTTTAAATTAGACATACCTACCTATTGAAAGCGAAGATTTTTGACCTTACTTATTTTTACTAACATTTTATTAAAGTGTTGCTAATTCATTTGTCGACGATGGGGACGTGTATATGGATTTGCAGGTGGTCAGTTTGAGGCTGGCTGAAGTTTGTCAAGATTAGTAGAGAGTGTTTGATTAACTTTTCACTGTTCTTTTGATCATTTCTCTCTAACAAAAGAGACCCCAAGCTTTTAATTGCGCCGATGCGAGATTACTAACATAAAATAAAGGCTTTTACCGTATTTATATTCAAATTTTCAGTTGGGATCCGTCGCAAACCAAGAAAATGCTCAGCCTCGAGCCGATTCAAATTAATCGTGAAGAATGTGGATTGGTTGAGTTGCGAAACTACAAACCGAGTGCCAACTTTTATGGAGAATAGTTCGCGAGTGTTTATATTTTCTGGTCATTTTAATTCTAACATCTGATGTTATATTATTTTTCGTGTCAGCTTTGTTTTTGAGACTGCCTTTTGAGTGTTTTTCCAATTGGAGCCTTATCCGTTCTCTTGCCAAAAATTGGCTTCAGTTTTGTTCTTTCTTTTTTTGTCACCGTGCTCACAATGTTGTTGCTTTTAAATCTCAAATCGGGTGCATTTTTTTATTCCTTTTTTTTACATATCTTTTTGGATTATAAAAGTTTATTTTCATAGGCAAGGTGATACACGGGTTTTGTACATAACATTATAGCTCTAATCAGGGTAGAATGGGAGAGAGTTTAAGTAGCGAAAAATGAGGCGGCAAGTGGGGGAAAACTTTCGACACAATTTTGAGCAAGCAACCCTGTTTTGAAAAAGGGATTCACAAAGAAATGGCAAGGAAAATAAAAAAAGACAAAAAGATGAAAGTGCTCTAACAGGTATCAAGCAAAGCATTGCAAATTTTCTCGATCACGTTTACCCGTCTCGTTTCTTTTTCTCGCAAAAAAAAAATATCAAATGAAGCAGATGCAAAAAAAGATTGTTCGAAGCAATATTATGGAAAAAAAGAGAAATATATTGAGGCCTGGAATAAGGCGATGAGGAAGGGGGAAATGGGGGAACACCCGTTTTTGGGGAGGGGGGGGGGTGTGAAGCAAGAAAGAATGGGAGAACAAGGCTATGAACTTGGACTGGACACTGTTTTGTGGATATTTATACCGTAACCCAGATCCATGAAGCTCATGACCGAATAATTTCAAAAGAAAGCTAATTGAAGCCATAAAAGAAATCTCTGGTCACCTATGGTTCGCAGAGGAGTGGCCGATTGACGAGAAGTGGTCGAGCGGTCATGATTGGGTGGCCGAGCGGGGCGAGCTGGGCTACCTGGAAACAAATTCGAATAGATGATTGAGCTGAGAATGAGTTGGACGCGTCGAATTCTTGATCCTTTATGAAATTAAAGTTTGCTACTGATGTTTTTCGAAAGGTACTCCAGAAAAAAAAGTTGCTGTAAACTGGCTGTTTGAAAAACCGGCTGTTTCTTTAGAATACTCTAACTGAAAGGTTACAGGATTATGGGTTTACGGTAGCTTCTTCTAAGCCCAGAGTTACAGTAATTTCACAAATATTATTAACAACAAAAGTACGGTGATTTTTGCTCAAAGCTCAAAAAGCACCAGTTTCCTTTCTACTTTTGAACCGTTTTGAAGTTTCGTAAATCACCATTTGCTCTTAATTTTTGCTCACCTTTGCCTGCGGTCTTGAGAGAAACGTGTGCACGATGTAGGCGGTTTCGAGAAGGACAACAAAAAGGAGAATACAGGCAACGATCCAGCCGATCATCGACGGATCCGCGTCGCAAATGATCCTTTGCGGGCGGGGTTCCATCTGAAATGAGAGATTGTTAGGGTAAGATTCTATGCCATGCCCCGGCTACCGTACCCTTCGCCCGTTTATTTCATTTTGTTTCCTTCTCATTTTTGAGAGGAGAGTCGCGATTTCCCAGTAATCTTTCCTTCTATCTAATTTTGGTATTCTGTTAACTTTTCCTCCGTTTATTCGTCTCCGATAAAGTTTTTACTAATGTTTTCAAGGAAAACATAAGCAATTAACACAGTTGGAATTGTAAACAGCCTCTGTAAACAGTAAAAGAGGTGTCTAGGGCGATGGAAAACGTGTTGAGGTGGGCTTACCCTTAAACCCGAGCCCAGGAATCCACACAAACGGGGAAACTTTAGTTGGACGTGAACTTTAGCTATTTATCTAGATACCTATATCCTCGTAAAAGAACTCTTTACGTAAAGCATTTCACTACTCACCACAACGACCGGCTCGATGTTGTCGACAACCTCTCGCGGATCGCAGTCGCCGTGCTCTTTCTGGAAAACGTTTATGTACTAAAGTTTGGATGGTACTTGTACAATAATACTATTTGCAGGGATGTTTCAAACCCAAACCCAAGGCCCGGCTGACCATTCCATTCAAGCCCTAGCCTGGCTTAGCCTGGGTTCTGACCGGGCTTGGTCTGTCTTACAGCCCCTAGGGCCCCTGGACACATCCTCGTTACTTACCTGGGTGTAGACCTGAACTAAGCCTCTGGGTTCTAGCCGAAACTGGTTTACAGGCCCTAGGGCTTGTTACTAATACATATAGTTCTGATTTTCAAGTAGGAGCCCACGATTCTGAAGACCCGGATATTTCGTTCTTTTTCTTTCTTCTTTTCTTTCTTCTTTTCTTCCCCCATGTCTTTTCTTCTTTCTCTTGGTAAGTTAAGGTACTAGATAGCTCAGTGGTTAGAGTAATCTCCAACTAGAAAGCTAAAGGTCGAGGGTTCGATCCTTTCGAGGGAAATCTACTTTTCCTTCACTTCTTTATTACAGGAAACATCCAGGCCGGCCATTGATTCAGCCAAGGTTTAGGCCTTAAGTTCTGGATCCTAGAATCCTATTGGGACATTTCTATATGTACATTTCTATATGCACTTACCACTTGTGTCACGTAGCAGCACGTGTGCGCGGTGGTGTTCATCAGTGGACGGGCGCCGTACTTTTGCGCGTCGGCCGGATTGCATGAGATCACTGAAAACGAGAGTGTTTGATGAATGAGGCTTTTAGATAGTTTCTTAGCATGTTAGCAGTGCTAGGAAATGTTAGCTAACATGTTAGCAGTGCTAGGAAATTAGCTAAAAATGAGCTCTCTCTCTCTTTCTTTTTTTGATATCAATTTGATGACAACAACTCACCAGTTCCGCAAAAGTTCATCTGTACATGATCGACTCCACAACTTGGCATTAGTGATTCAGCAATATGTAGATAATCAGTGCATTGTCCATTACAGTAAACGGTTCGAATCACGTCAGCGAGTGTGGATTCGATGAAGAGGGAAAAGATTAGGAAGGAGATCGATCGAGGTGACATTTTGGCGGTGATACTGCAATTTTGGAATAAGTAAAGGATAGGGAGGTTGAGGATTTCGAAGGACAATAAATTCACAGACACTTCATACAGTAACCCAGACTGAATATCTTTTATTCCAATGTACTGTAGTGAGTTAAGTGATTGGGAATTTACAGATTTTGGGGTAGGCTAATTTCCGCAATTTTTTTTTGCGCAACTGGGTCGTTTGCGCAACTAGCCATAACTTTCTTTTAAGTGAGCTAATCTTTATGATTTTAGTGTCATTTTGTTACACTTATTGAGATCTACAAAATGAAACCAAAAGCACAAAGATTGGTTCATTTAGAAGAAAGTTATGGTGAGTTGCGCAAACGACCTAGCGGAAATTAGCCTACTTTGCGCAACTCGCCATAACTTTCTTCTAAGTCGACCAATCTTTATGCCTTTGGTGTTATTTTGTTACACTTATTGAGATCTACAAAATGAAACCAAAAGCACAAATATTGGTTGATCTAGAAGAAAGTTATGGTGAGTTGCGCAAGATAAAATTTCGGAAATTAGCCTACCCCAAGATTTTCAAAGAAAACAATCAAGAAAATTTGGGTTTTCTAGGAAAACAAGATATTTAGAATAAGAAAGCATAAAAGCATCTGTATAAAATCTATTAGAATAGATTTTATACAGAAAAAGCTGTAAAATTTTGATTTTTGTCTTGGGATTTTGAAAGATTTTGAGAAAAATATAACATTTTTAAAAAAAAATGTGATCATTTCAAAATTTCAGATTGATCAAGTAAAGGCCGGCAATTCCTCGTCAAATATTTGCCTTTTATAGAATCGATTTTATGAATGAATGAATAGGAATTTTGAAAAAAAAAAAAAAAAAAGTAAAACCACATAAAATTCACCAATGTTTAGTTTTTTTTGTGAGTAAAAAGAGGTAAAATGAAATATTTTCCTGATTTTCAATGTAAAATCGTTTAGATGCGTTATAGCTTTTTTCAAAAATGGGTAATTAACAAACGCAAAAACGGATATCATGTAGAAATGGAATGGCACGTAGGTTGGTGGGGAAATAATGGGGGAAAATTAAAGACTAGTGTACTATGGAGTACTATAGACAGTAGGTTGAAGGGTTTTCTAGAACTTTCTTGACTAACTTTCTTGACTGATCTTGTCTTTAGTCTTATCCAATCAATCTTCTTTTTTTTATCTTTTGATTCCTTTGTGAATCCTCACAGAATAACCAAAAGTAGATAGATTGGATAAAAAGGAAAAAACGGTAGCTTTCGGCAGTAGTAGTAAACGGTAGCTTTCGGTAGTAGTAGTAAACAGTAGCTTTCGGCAGTAGTAGTAAACGGTAGCTTTCGGTAGTAGTAGTAAACTAGTAGCTTTCGGCAGTAGTAGTAAACCGTAGCTTTCGGTAGTAGTAGTAAACGGTAGCTTTCGAAAGTTGACAAGTTTTAGAAAACGAATTAGCTGAGAGGATTACACTCTAGTTACAGTAGTACTATTGTACAAAATAAGTGTGAAACTTTTCAGATATACCCATAATAACATACCGTAAATACTTTAATAGTACCCGACCCCCATAGTGACGGTGCGGAGCGTTACGTAGTCTAGCTTTGGACAAGTTTTTCTCGACACTGGTTTATGCTACAATGCTCGTTTAAATATCAAAAAATAGCCCTGAATTTCAGCTATTTTTTGATACCAAAGACGCATTTGTTGAAAGTACATGCGCTTTGAAAAAAATGAAATACTAAAAACTGCGGCTACGCGACTGTACGAGGGCGGTGGGGTACTATTGCAGTATTTACGGTATCCATTAAGCCATAAAGTAATGCAAGTTATGTAAAGTTAAACCTTTCTTGTACAATTAGATTTACAATTGAAAGCTATAAATATTCGTTAGGAGAAAAATGGGTTTGAGTTTCGTTTAAAATAAGATCGATAAACTGTTTATACGTGAAACGCTAAAGGAAATGGAAAAGGAAAAGGAAAAACTGAAATCGGAAGTGGAAAAAGGAAAAGAAAGAGATTGGAAGTGAAGATCGAATTTCGACTTCCCGATTTCTTTTTTTTTCACTAAAAGGAGATGAAAATGGATGATTTCACAGGAGGGGAGGAGTCTTGTAGTTTAAATTTACATTTATATTAACATTAACATTTACATTTAAATTTACATTTACATTTACATTTACATTTACATTACAATTTTACATTGTAATTGCAATTATTTCCCTTGAACGAGGAATTTCTAGTAAGTGTGAGTCATCCATCTCGCTCTTAATACCTTTTTATTTGTACTGCGATTTGTACACACCTGCTAGATTGCTAGATTGCTACCAATCTAGCAAAGAACCAAAAATTTCTGATGAAAAACAAACAAACAAACAAACTTTAAATAGACCCGGGGCCGAATTTGCCGTCTAACGCCACGTTCGCTTTAGAGACAAGCACGCAAGCCACTGAGCCAGCCGAGAAATTAGTCTAAGCCCTTGTCTATGTCTATGGAAAACGTTTTAGAAAGCGATTGCTCGAAAGGCTTGCCAGTAACAGAATCTGTTTCAGTAACAGAATCACATCAATCTGTTTCAGATCTCAAAAAGCTTTTTCATTCGATTTGCAGGACTAAAAAGCTCGAATCTAGACAAGCTTCACTCGGTTTACGAAAAGATAAACTTATACTACAATAGTAGATAAATCTCATGAATCTAGTACCCATCAAGTAACTGATACGTGCAATTTTTGATAATCCAATGGTAATACAAATCCAATGATAATCGGCGTTGTGAAATTGTGTGCATCGTTGTGCATCGAAGATCGAAAATCGTGAGGTTTATCGACAAAAACTTTGAAACGGATCTATAGCGATTATCGACAAAAAGATGAAAGGGAAAAGGGGAAAAGGGGAAAAGAGAAATCGAATAGTTTGAGCTGTTTGAGCTGTTTGAGAGAGAGAGAGAAAAGGAGAGAGAGAGAGAAAAAAAAGGAGAGAGAGCTCCGATAATAACCAGGAAGTACAATATTGAAAAAAAAGGGGAAAAGAGGGAAAGAGATCTGAAGTTTTCAGTCGAAAACTTTTCCTTTTTTCTGTTTTTTTCATTGAAATTTCTGTGAAAACACAAATTATTGATCGATTTGTGTTTTTTTTTGCAGAAAAAGAAGCTTTTTTCATCTTTTTTCATTCTTCTTCATTCTTATGGATTTTCTGAAAAAAATGATCTTTTATTGAATTGGAGCACTTCTAGTTATATTTTAAATATGATTGTAGAGAAATAAGTGATCTTTCTAATGATACTACTATATAAAATTTCAATTGTTCTATATGAATTTCTATGAATAGAATACTCGGCTTGAATTCTCTTTTAATTCATTTTTATCTCAAACATTCGAACAAACAAATTTTAATCGTAAAGCTGTCAAATTTTGCCAGAATCCCCCCAAAAGATCAGAACACAGAAAACGCGCTGTTTTTTGATCTTTTCACTATAGTTGCCATTCAAAAAGCACTTTTTTTGTTAGAGCTTTTGAATTCAAATTTAGCCTGAAATTTAGCCTAAAAAAAGTATGGCTAAAGTTTCTTTTAAATTCTTTAAGTTTCACAATTTTTTTTGGTTCAATACACCGAATGAGGGACCAAGCTGGATAAATCTTTCGAAAATTATGTCTTTTACAAAAAAAAAATTCTCGCAATTTGAAGATTTGAAGATGAAAAGAAAACAGGATTTGTGGTGATTGTGAAAAAAAAATAAATTTGAATGATCCATTCAGAACGGGTGTGAAAGGAAGAACGTTGAAAACTTGATGCCGATGTTAGGGAAACGGGAAAACGTTTAGAAAATCAGGAAATCAACCGGCTTTGCGATAGGTTTTTTAACGTTTAGAAACGATAACGTTTAGAAAATCGGGAAATCAACCGGCTTTGCGATGGGTTTTCTATCAAATGACAGCTTGATTCTTTTCTTTTTTGCTTAGAAAGTTTTACTTGTTCAGGGTCTACAGTGAGATTGCCGGATGCTTTAAAATAAAGCAGTATGCCGGAAAAGGTGCGTTTACGCGTTCAAAGTACAGCTATAAAGAGTCAGTTTAGTTGTGGGCAGTACAATTGTTACGCTAGTTTTGGGGAATTTCCGATTACTTCAAAATTCATCAACAGTTTAACTTGATGATTCAAAACAAGAATGACAATTGGCTAACCAGCTGAATAGAGATTCAGTTTACTCTGGTGGGCAGTACAACTGTTACGCTAGTTTTGAAGTTACGCTAGTTAAAAGAAATGTAATCAAAGTGAACTCTGGATAAAATGGGAAGAGAAAAGGAATGAAAGAGAATGAAAGAGAATGAAAGAGAATGAAAGAGAATGAAAGAGAATGAAAGAGAATGAAAGAGAATGAAAGAGAATGAAAGAGAATGAAAGAGAATGAAAGAGAATGAAAGAGAATGAAGAGAAGAAAGAGAATGAAAGAGAATGAAAGAGAATGAAAGAGAATGAAAGAGAATGAAAGAGAATGAAAGAGAATGAAAGAGAATGAAAGAGAATGAAAGAGAATGAAAGAGAATGAAAGAGAATGAAAGAGAATGAAAGAGAATGAAAGAGAATGAAAGAGAATGAAAGAGAGAATGAAAGAGAATGAAAGAGTTAAGGAAACTGTTTTCGAAGAGACCCTCATAAATCTTTCTAGCTTTATTTTAAGTAAAAAAATAGGAATCTGACAATACAGAAATGTCAGAAATTTCTTTTAAAGTTAATTTTCCCCCTTTTTAAAGTCTATTTTCGTTTCTACAACTTTTTACAACAGCACAGAATCGAGTTTGATTGTTAAATCGTTTCATTCAAATCATTCAAATCATTCAAATCATTCAAATAATCTTTGAAAACAGTTTTCTCCATTATAAAAACAAATGGGAAGCTTTGTAGTTTGAAGAAAATTTGCCAAAAACAGTATAGATTTGAATTTAAAACAAAAAAAACTTTTGCAAACCGTTCACGACAAAAAACCATTCAAAGAAAAGCCG